CACCGACAAAGTGGTCATCTCGGTGGCCACCAGCGTTAGTGAGGTGGAGACTCATGGACCGGGCAAGCCGCACAAGACCACAAAGCCGTCGAAGCCGTCGAAACCTTCCAGCACCGCCAAGCCCACCACAACAAAAACAACCACTGCGGCGACAACCACAGTGAAAACCACAGAGGCACCAGCGAGCAGCATAGAATTAGCCTCATCTACATCATCTTACACGGATCTCAGCAGTGAGGTGGCAGCCAGCAGCAGCAGCAGTAGTAGTAGTAGCAGCACCACTAGCACCACCACCAGCAGCCCAACAACCACAGCTGAAACCACCGATTATAGCGGCGAAGAACCGAACACAACGACCATCGAGGCTACAGGCAGCACCACCGTGGCACCCGCCAATGCATTGGAGGGCGTCGATTACAAGGAAGGTGAGTGCCGAGAAAACCCGTTTCCTGCGGGGAGAAATCTATTAATACCCTCGTGGCTGACTTTGGCCATAAGACAAAGCCAACGTGCGTGGCCATTAAATTCAATTTGAAGGCTAAACGCTGGCCTTGGGCCCGCATCGGGCTGAAGACCACGAAGCGGAGACATCTTCCGAGATGCTGTCCTGGGCCAGCTCATAAATGGTTACACCGGGAGAAAGTACAACTAAATCTGTTATCGGGCTTTCTTTAAACATTTCAAGGAAATAACAGAAGAATTGGTTATGGGTGTCACGATTTCCTGTGAACATAATGCCATAAAAATCAATTCAAAACTTAGCTGCCGCTATAAAGAAAGATCAGAGTCGCTTCTATCGACATTTTTTAAGTAAAGTAATCATGTAATGTGGAACTGTTTGGTATTACAAAATATTAAAAAATTTTATGATAAATAGTTTTTTCAAATTGCTAGTTATGCTATATTATGTAATTATTATAACTTAAACTAAACTATAAACAAACTATTCTTGACATCCTCAGTATAATTTGCATACAATTTCGACCTAAGTTCAATCGCTTTAATTTAATTGGTTTTAAAGCTCTTCGGTGAAAGTGTTAGTTAAAATGACGAGATCAACAGCACTGCCGTACTCATGAAAGTGCCTTCTAATAACTTAAATTGCATGATTTGATCTTTCACTTATAGTTGTTTTAAAAATGTTAGAAGTTACTGTGATATTTTTCGCCGTGCAAGAACACTCCTAAGCTGGACTTTTGCTAGACGCAGTCCGCAACAATTTTTACAGCAATCATTTACAATAATGACTGCATCTGCATCGAGTATGGGATCGCGTCGGTCATTGTGCCGCCTGGGTCACGTTGCCGGTCGTCTGCCAAAGCTCTCCAAAAACGAGCCAATCCGCACCCTGTTCCTGCACCCTGCTCCCTGTTCCCTGTTCCCTGTTCCCTGCAGCCCGTTGACCGATTTGCGGCGGCGAGAGCAATCTTGATGCACGAATCGAAACGAGTCGCGGGTTGTCTCGGCTCGGCTCGGTTCGGTTTGGTTTCGTTTGGTTTGGGCCAAGGCAAGACAAGTTGCTGGCCATAAAGTAGGCCGTTGACTGCCTGAGCCTGCCTTGCGGCTGGCCAAAGTCAAGGACTGGGCTGCTGCGCCTCCTTGGCCAAAGCACATTACATTTGGGCCGAAATGACTGAGTGCCAGTCGGAGTGATTAAAATGTTTAAGACCCTGGCGGGCCCATTACCTTAATTGTGACCTGGCGCAGGCCCATTAACCAAGATCCCACTCTGTATTCTGTATTCTGTATTCTATATTCTATATTCCAGTCTGCGGTCGTCGCATGTTCCCCGAGCCCCGGATCGTTGGAGGAGCTAATGCCGCCTTCGGACGCTGGCCCTGGCAGATCTCGCTGCGCCAGTGGCGCACCTCCACCTATCTGCACAAGTGCGGAGCGGCCCTGCTGAACGAGAATTGGGCAATTACCGCGGCCCATTGCGTGGACAAGTGAGTGGCCTTAGTGGCTTTTCCTTGAATCCCTGTTCTCATAAGTGTGATTTTCAGCGTGCCACCCTCTGACCTGCTGCTGCGCCTGGGCGAATACGACCTGGCCGAGGAGGAGGAGCCCTATGGCTACCAGGAGCGACGTGTCCAGATCGTCGCCTCGCATCCGCAGTTCGATCCTCGCACCTTCGAGTACGACCTGGCCCTGCTGAGGTGAGCTATGGCCTGTCCTGGAGAGGATTAACCAATAAAGAGTTTCGTTCCCCTCCAGATTCTACGAGCCAGTGGTCTTCCAGCCCAACATCATTCCCGTTTGCGTGCCCGACAACGATGAGAACTTCATTGGACAGACGGCCTTCGTCACCGGCTGGGGTCGCCTGTACGAGGACGGACCGCTGCCCAGCGTGCTCCAGGAGGTGGCCGTGCCCGTGATCAACAACACCATCTGCGAGTCTATGTACCGCTCGGCGGGCTACATCGAGCACATACCGCACATATTCATATGCGCCGGCTGGAAGAAGGGCGGCTACGACTCCTGCGAAGGTGAGTGATGGCCAGAGGTCGGGAAAGGGACCTCCTGTTAACGCCTCTGTCTTTTGTTCCCAGGCGATTCCGGTGGCCCGATGGTGCTGCAAAGGGAGGCGGACAAGCGATTCCAGCTGGGTGGCGTCATCTCGTGGGGCATCGGGTGTGCGGAGGCCAACCAGCCGGGTGTGTACACCCGCATCTCGGAGTTCCGGGACTGGATCAACCAGATCCTGCAGTTCTAGAGCCCGTCCTGGCCAGATCCTTAGTGAATGCCTAGCACGTCTTCCCCACAACGGCATCGGAATCCAACTCAAACTCGGACTCGTGCTCCGGTTATGAAGAGAGATCGGCGGATCAGATCGGACATAACCCGAGCAACGATTCCAGTTGCCACCATTTACCTCCACCTGCCCGCACAGCAACCACTGAACCAGAAACTGATAGCACTTCCATTGTCATAATCGTAATCTTACACTTAGCGTTGCCTAGCCTAGCCTAGCCTAGCCCTAAAACTAGTTAGTGAATGTGATTAACCAGAGGTCACTGTTGCAGTCACGGCTCATGTAACGTATTAATCGATTGGACTCCTAATTTATTCCCATTTGCTGTACATAATTTTCTAAATTATTGCATAACATTTACACTTAGCTTTAGTCCTAAACAATATTAATTTAGGGGACTCGACGGCGGTTGGGTCCCTCGGTAGGGCATATTATCACGTAAGTCGCTTCTACCCGAATCGATCCATGCGGCAGAAGCTATTGTAATTTTATTTTATAACTTACTGTAATTATTTATTTATAGCAGCTCATGCACGACAAAATTAATTCAATTAAAATGTTTAAAACAAACAAACTAAAGTGCGTTTATACTTAATTTATTTGTCAAATCTGCTTTTATTTAACAGCTCTTTAAATCAATGAAGTAATCAAATTAACCTTTTAAATTAAACTACAAAAGGCCAGCATTATCCTGATCGCAATAAGAATTAGCTTAGAAAAGTAATCGTACACCATAAACCTGATTAAAATGCCTTATAATTTCAATTTTAAATTGCATACGAATCAGTGCCTCGAAGTTTGGACACAAACAAACTAAACATTTATTGTTGGGCATATAAATGAGCAAAGTAAATTTTCCTCTGATTTTAATTTTTCTAGAAAATGAATCACCCTCCCCGCATCAAGACTCCGTGGCGCAACGGTAGCGCGTCCGACTCCAGATCGGAAGGTTGCGTGTTCAAATCACGTCGGGGTCATAATCATTTTTATAGAATCGCGATTAAAATTTAATTTTTGTAGTCACACACACAATAAAAACGCTAATTACAAGTGGTTTTTTTTTGTAAACTATTTTGTCTTAAATTAACTCACAAGCAAAAGATCATTTTATTGGGAAAAAAATTTAATTAATTTTGTAGGAATGAAATTCAATACAAATACAAATTCCGATTTTTATCAGGTTGGTTTAAAAGGAAATAACAAAACTTGTTTATTTATGGAATAGGTTTTCTTGTCAAAATATGCCTAATACAAACACCTTATGATCATCAGAAAGTAAAGTCGATATTAACATTTTAGTCTATCTTGTTTTTAAAGGTGTAATTTTAAACGTAGCCGCTGTTAGATCGTTTGTGATGGTGTAGTCACCGAACCAAAAATTACGTTTGGACACATTTTCCATAAGCATCGGTGGTTCAGTGGTAGAATGCTCGCCTGCCACGCGGGCGGCCCGGGTTCGATTCCCGGCCGATGCAAACTTTTTTTACTTCTATGATTGATCATCGAGGCATCCATATCGGCGTATACCATTATACCATTACCAATTATAAATTGGTTTTAATCTTCAAAATTTTATTCGTTTTGAATATTGTTGCAAAACGGCAACAAATTTAATTTAAATGTATGGGTTTTGTTTTGGTTGCCCTTTTCTTGGCGGCTTACCAGAATGTCTTGCATCTACTCGATCGAAATTAAGATATGTATTTGCTCACTTTCAGCTCACCAACTAGTTCCTCTAAATTATAGCTAACATTGGGGTCGGGACGGCACCTTTTAGTAGGGTTCCAAATAACTACTTCGTGGTTTTATTGAGTTATAAGTGCAAAAAAATCCTAAATAGGCTTTTAATTAAAAAAAAACTTCCTTTGCTTGACCCCGACGTGATTTGAACACGCAACCTTCCGATCTGGAGTCGGACGCGCTACCGTTGCGCCACGGAGTCGTTGTTAGAATGCGCGCCCAAAGGTCAACAAGGACTAAGTCTCTCAAACGTCATGTGATTTAGGTTTCGTTAATATTAATAATGGAAAGGGGCAATCTTTAGCCTCTCGCTTAAATTATAAAGTTAGTTTTAAGCAATTTTAATAGGACTTTGACTAAAATATGTTTAAATATTTTCAGAAATGCACATGCAGATGCGCAAAATACATAGCGCCATCTTGCGTTGAATTTTGCGCTCTGGTATCGATAGCCAGGCGAGCACATGTATCGAACCGCTGCATGCAGCCCTGCGTTTTCTTAATCGCAGCCAACTTCACTTCAACGCGTTCGGTGTATAAGATTTCGGGGCCATTTATTTATTCGCAACGAATGCGAATGTAAAAGCGAATTCGGTGATTTAATTGTGCGCGCACGGTGCTAGCAAACATTGCGACTTGACTTTGGATACATTTTTAGCGCGAGTGCCATTTGCCGAGAGCGCGATTTGTCGCTTAATACCCAGCTCTTTTTTTTCGCATCGCCAGCTTTTCAGCGGTGCGTTGGTGTGAGTGAGCGTGTGTTTTTCTACCGCCAATCCAGAGTTGAAGCGGAAAAATGGATGTGGCGAAGCTGGAGAAGATGAAGGTGGTAGACCTGCGCAACGAGCTCCAGTCGCGTGGCCTGGACACCAAGGGAGTCAAAGCAGTGCTCATCGAGCGCCTGAGGGCCCATGTGGAAGGAGGAGCCGGCGACGGAGGTGAGTTTGTGTGTATGCGTCATTTGTGCGCCTGTTTGTGTCTGTGTGTGCGAGTGGCTTGCCGCGTCTAACGTCTATGTGTGTGTGTGAGCGTGTAACTCAGCGTAAATTAGTTGTAAGTTCTCCTTATATAATGGCCAGTTCTTACCTTACAATTTCCCTCCTCCAGAGAATGCGCCGGTCACACCAAGCCGCAGACAGCGCCGCACGCGTTCCATGTCCCGCTCCCCTTCGCCCGTGCAAGCTGCTCCGGTAGCCGCAGAGCCAGTGCTAGACACCCTGGAAGAGGAGGAGCAGCCGGTCACGGAGGATAAGCCGGCGCCAGAAAAGGAACAGGAACCGGAACCAGAGCCCAGTGTACAGGAGGAACCTGAACCAATAGAGGAGACAGAGGAGACATCCACAAACCAGGCGGAAAATGAGGAACCGCAATCGCTGGCTGAGGAGTCTGATGAAAAATCAGATTCAGAAGACAAGGAGGAAACAGTGGAACAGAAAGACCCTGCCTCCGCACCACAAGATGAAGTGGTCGATGAACCCATGGAGGAAGACCATGACTCTGGCCCAGAGGAACAGGAGCAGACGCAGGCGGACGAGCCAAAGGAGGAGAAGCAAGAGAAAAACGCTGTTGCCGAGCATCAGTCAAATGGCGATAGCCAGAAAATGGACGTCGACGATGAGGAGTCGGCTGCCCCGAAAGCAGAGGAGAATGTAGAAACCGCTGCCAAGTCGGATGAACAGCTCCAGGAGCGACGCAAGCGCTCACACAGTCGTTCACGCTCCCGCTCGCGTAGTGGTTCCCGCTCCCCCAAGCATCGCAGTAGTGTGAGCGACAAGCGCGACTCAAAGTCGGCCGCTGAGGAGCGCACCGTTCCAGAGGACGAGCCCACCATCGAGGAAAACAAAGTTGGACTGAGCTGGCGTAAGTTTTAATATAAATCCAAATATAAAAACGCCTTTGGAAAAACTAAGGCTTAAATTAAATTCTATACAAATTGTCGCGAAACTGTCTAATTTGTATTGTTTTGTATACTTCTATAATTTACGTTAACACACATAGAATTCTTATTTTTGGATCACATAGTTTTTGTGGTGATATATATTTTTTTATATTGACGTAAAATTATTAGGTATAATTTAAACGTTTTTGTCAACATCAAAAGCGTTTGATTAGTTATTTTGTGTTGAATCATGAACTTACTTCGCACTTCTATAATTTACGTTAACCCACATAGAATTCTTATTTTTGGATCACATAGTTTTTGTGGTGATATATATTTTTTTATATTGACGTAAAATTATTAGGTATAATTTAAACGTTTTTGTCAACATCAAAAGCGTTTGATTAGTTATTTTGTGTTGAATCATGAACTTACTTCGCAGCTTAGAAACCAGATCAGTGTCCAATGTAAATAATATGTTCTTAATTATTTCACGTGAGATCACTTTGGATGAGCCAAATTTAGTTATTTTACATCAAGCTCAGTTTAATCTCGAGCGATTTATCGCACAATAGCCTATTCTTTCGCACAATATGTTCGATTTGTCATTATTCATGTTTATTTTAAAGCACCCAAAGTTTATTGAAACTAAAATTGTTTTGCATCTCTATTTTAGTGGATTCTGACCTGCATTTGCGCATTGATCCCACTACTTTTGCCTCGGCTAAACCTTTGTCATCGGAGATTTACTCCCTGATTTGGTCTGGAGCTCGAACGAACTTTGGAGTGCGCGAGGGCAAAGTGTGCTTTGAGGTGCGCCTGTCAGAGGAGTCCCTGCCGGATAACTCGCACTACTTCCGGGATGAGCCCCATGTGCGAGGCTTCCGCGTGGGTTTTTCTTTGCCACAGAGCTCCCTCCTGCTTGGCGAGGCAGAACATTCATTTGGCTACTGCGAGACTGGACGAAAAGCCAATCAGGGCGAGTTTTCCGACTACGGCAAACCTTACAAGCTGGATGACGTGATTGGCTGTTATTTAAATCTGGAGAGCGAGCCATGCATCATTAATTACACTCTGAACGGCGAGGATCTCGGTGTCGCTTTCGAGTTTGAAAAGAGCATACTCGGCGAGGAGGGAGCCCTGTTCCCGCACATTGTAACCAAGGGCTACGAATACTCGGTAAATTTTTCAGACTCCGAGCAGTTGTTGGTTAATGCCGAGAGGCCAACGCGCAAGCGCCGCAAGCCTCGCAAAGACGAGGACAAGGACAAGGACGACGACAAGGATGACAACGATGGCGAGAAGTGGAAGGTCTTGGACGAAGCCACAGCCGACGACGATGAGGTTGAGAAAAAGGAAGAAGATAGCAAGGCGTCTTCGGATAAGGACGAAGAAGAAGGCGAGAAGCCCGAGAAAGCAAAAGAATCTGAGTCGGAGCCAAAAGCAGAGCCAGACGCAGAAGCCGAAGCTGAGGCTTCTTCTGAAGCTGCTAAGCCGGAACCAGAAGCTAAAGAGTCTTCGGAAACTGGTACGTATTGGTTAAATTATAACACTTTCAACATAAATCTGCAATTATCGCGTTTTCTTTTTCCCCAGCTGAGGCGTCTACTGAAGCTACCGGAGAAGGGGAAGCTGTAGCCAATGGCGATGCGTCCGAAGAAAAGGCCAACGATAAAAAGCCAGTTGAGGAAAAGAAGTCGTCGGCCGACAATGATGAAGAAGACGAGGACGGCCCGTCACCCAACAAGCGAGTTAAGACCGATGGGGATTCTGAGAAAGCAGAGTCTGAGAAGGAAAAAGAAAAGTCACAGACCGAGGATGAATATGAGGATGTTGTGCCCGAGCCAAGAGATACGGCGGCGCTGTTGGAAGGCTATGTACTGATAGGCCTAGTGCCTGTCGAACAGCTGGTTTCCGGCCCACAACGCGCCGGCTCTCGAAAGGAGTGCGAGGTCATTCTTTTGGTTGGATTGCCCGGAGCAGGAAAGACCCACTGGGCCCTTAAACATGTGGCTGAGAACGCTGACAAGCGATACGAGCTGATTGGACCCGATTCATTCATTTCTAAGATGACAGTGCGTTAATTTGCATTTAAGACTATCAATTATAAACTAATCTCATCCGACCCCCTTGCAGATCGATGGAGCCTCCCGAAAGACTGTGCACAAAGGCCGCTGGGACAAGGTGTACGAGATATGCTTGAACAGCCTGGCAGCTTTGGAAGATATTGCCATGAAGCGGCGTCGCAATTTCATACTTGACCAGGTAAAACATAAACAAATGACTTACACACACCCGAAACAAAACACCAGTCCACAAACACACAAGATAACACAATGAACGAACGATAACCAAACACCAAACGAAACAAGCGAGAATTATACGTTGATGATGTCTTTGGCGCCCGGCCATCACACTGGGGCTCAGATCCCCTCGGGAATGGGGGGATCCACCAACAGGGGTGCAACTCAGTTGCTCTACATTTTTTTGTTGTGTACATTTGAGTATGAATTATATTGCTCATTGCTCGAACCGTAGAGATCCCAAGTGCCCCAAAGGGGTGCCAACTCGCTTAGTCGGCAGGCAGGTATGTCCTAACTGTAAGTCGATCCGATAATTAGAGTACTTAAGTTAAAGGCAGTAAGTATTGATGGCATACCCGTAAGCTTAAGTTTTAGGTGCAGGTGCAACAGTTGACGGGGCAGTTAAGAGGGCATTGTAAGAGAAGTGGGGATGGATGTGGAATGAATATGGCATTGGAGAAAGATGAGTGAGTGAAATGGAATGGAATGGAGGGAAGTGAAGTGAAGGAGGAGCGAGCGGCATGGAAGCCACTGTAAGTAGACAAACACAAATCCGATCGACGAGTCGTTCGCCTACAATCTAATCACATATACGTATTAGTACCTACTATCTCTACTCTCTATCTCTCTCTAAATGCCAACTATCTCATATATATGTATGTGTATCTACAGAGAGCAATGCGATGCTTCATCCTACAGCCAGCAGCACAGCCAACCACGACTACTTTTACCCCATTGTACATTCTATTATCCTTATGCAAAGTATTAAGTCAACTGTTGTTAGAAGTGGCCGGGTTAACCCGAGCCCTCTAGGTATTATGTTGGTGTGCGCACCCCTTCCGTAAGACCCCTCCCTGGCGGAGTGCGGGTGAGAAGTGGAAGTGGGTGTCCCGCCGTGCCACAGGTATGTGTTAGCTTGTAAGCGCAGAACCCGGGCTCCACGCGAGTTGGGCTCGGCAGGAAGGAGTACGTTTTCCCGGGGTCTGCAACCGAGCCGAATCATCAACGTGTTTCTCAAATGGCTTGCTATCCGTTCGACGACTATCCCAACAACAACCAAACCAATCCAACCAAACTACAACTGGCAGACAATATCTGAACCCAATTCAACAAAACACCAACCAACCGATCAACTGTATTCTTGTAGACCAATGTTTATGCCTCGGCCCAGCGACGTAAAATGAAGGGTTTTAACGACTTCAAGCGCATTGCGGTTGTTTGCATACCCAGCGAAGATGAATTGAAACGTCGCATCGCCGAAAAAGAGGAAAAGGGAAATGCTTTTACAGTTAAAGAATCAACAATTAATAACTTACGAGGTAAATATTGTCCACCACACCAAAGCAACGAATTGAAAAATATCAAGAATAATGTACGATCGTATAACTTATGTTCTACCTATCTAAATAAGGAGACATTCTTGTAAAAAAGAAAACATTATAAAAAGTTATGTAAAGTACTTAGTTTTTAAGCAGCTGCACTTTATGTATCTGTACTTAATTGTAACTATAAGCCTTTAAAAATATCTCATAATTTAATGATTTTAATTTCCATTATTCATTAATATTTATTATATAAACACCCACAAGTCCTCTTGGCAACTGGAACGTATAAGGTCTCACTGGCATTTGATTTATAAATGTTAAACGGATAACCATCGATTGTTGTATGCTTCTTTAAAGTATATATTTTTTTCGTTCACCGTTCTGAAAAATTCAAAATATTATTCCTTACGCGCCCAGTTGCCGACACTTGACCTGACCCGTCCTTACTCCCATTCTCCCTCTATAATAATTCCTAATGTATAATGATAACGATCGAATTTTTCTATCGGGCAACCTTATTTATGATGCACTCGCAATCTTTTTCCAGCCAACTTCACACTTCCCTCGCTGGAGTTTGGCTGGTTTGATGACATAAACTACACGGAGCTAACTGGAGACGAGGCCAAGAGCGAGGTCAAGAAGTACAACGAGAAAGGCAAGAAGGCCATCGATGCGGATAGGTCGCGGGACAAAAGGTCCCGGGGAGGCCGTGACAACTATCGCCGTGATGACCGGAACCGGAATCGATACAACGATGACCGTCGACGCGACTACGGCGGCCAGCGGCACGAAAGTCGGTGGAGCGATTCGAGACGTGGAGGCGGCGGCGGTGGTGGCGGAGGCGGCGGCGGCTACTCTAGCAATAGTGGAGGTGGAGGAGGCGGCAGCCGTGGGTACGACAATCGCCGCAGCTACATCAGCGGAAGCGGTGGCCAGCAGAATTGGGCGCAGAACAGCCGCAGGAGCGGCTACGATGATCGCGGTTACGGTGGCGGCGGAAGCGGTAGTCGTGGCTACGACAATCGTAACCGTGGCTACGCAGCTGGCAGCGGAGGCGGTGGCGGCGGTGGTAGTGGCGGTGGTCAGCAAAACTGGATGCAGAACAACCGCAGAAGCGGGTATGACGATCGCGGTTACGGGAGCTCGCGAGACTACCGCGATAGAGACCGCGGCAATGACCGCAGTCGAATGGGAAGCAACGACCGCAACAGGGGCAGTAGCCAGAGCAGCTATCGCTCGGGAGGCGGTACTCATCAACAACGGGATTTTCGGCCTGGCCACCGCGACACCAAAGAAGATAGTCGCGGTGGCTATGAGCGGTCAGCTGGTCAATCGCTGCCCAAGTACGGCAATAACTCTGCTGCCGGCGGAGGCTACGATCAGTACAAGCAGGCGGGTGGAACACCCGGCGGAGGCAAGGTAAGTGTGCAGGACTTTTTCGATATGCGACAGTTACTTAACCGAAACCTTTTTCCAGGCCTCTCTCAGCGGCAAATGGAGCACCTACACGCAACACCATCAGCAGCAACAGACGGCGCAGCATCAGCAAACGGGTGTCTGGCAGACTCAGCAGCAGTCACAACAGTACCAGCAGCCGCAGCAAACGGCGGCGGGCCAGCAACAATACTGGGCCTATAATCAAGTGCAGGGTAAGTACGGCATTGTGTGAATTCTTGGGTTGCAAGATCTAAAGTATTTGATGGTTTACCAACAGGTTATGGCAACCAACAGGCCTGGCAGAGCGCCGATCCGCAGCAGCAACAGCAATGGATGTCCTGGTGGCAGGTAAGCAAGTCGTCTCGAATCGGAAAACGGAAACTAAAGAGCTCCTTTTTCTTCCAGCAACAGCAGCAGGGCTCTGGCGGAGCAGCGGCCGGAAATGCCAGTGGCGGAGCGAGCGTCAATGTCGGAGGCGCCGGTGGGAATAATGATGGCGGTTCCTCCAATCATTATTGGTCTCAATATTCGTACTCCACACAGTCCAATGCGGGCGGCGACAAGAAGTAGAATGCATTCTCTGCACCCCTGTTCCACCTGCCCAGACCCCTACATTGTCGCGGAAGGAGTAAACCACAAATCTGAACTAAACTTTATAAAATAGTTTTAAAAGATTAACAAACAGTAAAAACAAAATTAACTTAGTTTAGCCAGTTTTAGGCGTATGGCCGTTTGGGCTAGTCCAAACCAAACCACTACGAGGGCTAACCCTCAATCAAAATTCTTTCCTAACACGCAGAAGCATTGTATACCATGAAGACGAGCTATTTCATTATAAATTGAACCTTCATTAATGTTTCGTTTTTCATTTTCCATAAAGCATTTTCCCTTTGACGGTGGCAAAGCAAATAAAAGAAACTCGGTCTTTAATCTGACACTACGTATCTAGGCAGTACAACTTGTTTTAACGTTTTATTATGATTATTGTTTTATTTTTTACAATCAACGCAAACAATTGAAAGGAAAGCATTAGAGAAGAAACATTAACAAATAAATCTATACATTGAAAAAATTAAACAAATGAAGTTTGATTGTGGGAGGTATGGGTGGATACACAGTACAAAATAAGAGCAAAACAAATTCCTAAAAAAGATTTCCAACACATAAAATAAAATGTGTATGTAAACCATCATACTTGGGTACATTTTTAACAGAATGTTATTTAATAACAAACTTATAACCTTTGGAATTTGAATGTATGATCAAGAATATGTATATGTTCTTTATACAAGCTGGTTTTGCCTATTACATTAGTTGATTTACCTTTTAGTCTAAAAGTAATGTTAATTTGAATTAGAATCTCCACCATCACGAAATGTGAAAATATTTTCATTCAAAATATTTACATGGATCAAAATAATCCGCTGCTGTTTGTTCTTTCTAGTGGTGATAATTTCGAATGATAAGCAGAATTAACCGAAAAATTAATGGCTACCTTTTGAGTGTGTGTGAGAGCTTTTAGGCTACCACTTAAAAATTCTAAAAAAATTGGAGAACTGTTTAAATTGAAGACTTTTTTTTGGAAAAAATTAACTCCAAAACAAAAGCAGCTATAAAAAAAGAAATAAATTAATTTTTAGTAACGCCGTTGGTATTTTTTAGTACATTATATTTGTCAGCTGTTTCGGCGTATTTTTGTATCACGCCTTTTAAAAAGTAAACCTAATTTTTTGGTAAGTGCTCGTTCTGCATAAAAATTAAAAGCAAGATAAAAACAGTTTAGGGATGGGTTTCAATTTATCTACCTGTGTACTAATACTTTATGTCAGAATACACACCCAATTCCAAAGAATTTCATACCGTATGGTCGCCTAGGTGTAATTGGTTTCCAGTAAATGGCGATAAGGCAGCGTCGCCTGCATGACACATACTTTAAAGGTATTTTCAATTGATTTTCCACAGAAAGGGCACGGAACCGAATCCCGAAATGGTGGCCATACAATTGTTTAACGAAATCGGAAGCATTTTCCGAAACGTAAGTTTTGATTTGTATTTTAAACGGCATTTCAGTTGACCTATTGAATTTTGTGTTCTTGCGATAGACCCCTACGTTTGCCCTCGTTTTGGAGACACTGCTGGTGATAACTGTGATCTGGCTGCTGCTCCATAGGCGCGGCGGAGGTCGTCGACGCCGACTGACCAAGGAGGAGGAGGACCAGATCATCGCCGACTTCGAACCAGAGCCCTTGGTGGGGGACACCGATCCCGATCACCCGCTGCTGCGCACCCGCATCGTCCAGTCCAAGGTGGGCAAGCAGATCAGGGTCGATGGACACGACTGCTTGAATCTGGGCTCCCACAACTACCTGGGCTTCCTCGAGGACCAGGAGATTCTGGACGAGGCCTGTAAGTCCCTACGCAAGTACGGTGTGGGATCGTGCGGACCTAGAGGCTTCTATGGCACCATGGACGTGCACCTGGATCTTGAGGATCGTATTGCCAAGTTTATGGGCCTGGAAGAGGCTATTGTGTATTCCTACGGCTTTTCGACAGTGGCCAGTGCCATTCCGGCTTACGCCAAACGTGGAGACATTATTTTTGTGTAAGGCTATTATCCTTGTTCTGAATTGTGGTGCCTAAGATTCGATTTTTGCAGGGACGAGGCTGTCAATTTTGCCATACAGAAGGGCCTAGATGCCTCGCGGAGCACCATCGCGTTCTTCAAGCACAACGACGTTGAGGATCTGGAGCGCCTGCTGATTGAAATGGAGAAGCGGGACCAGAAGAACCCCAAGAAGGCGTTGAAGACACGCCGCTTCCTTGTCGCTGAGGGCATCTATATGAACACCGGCGAGATTTGCCCGCTGCCCGAGTTGGTGGCCCTGCGCCAGAAGTACAAGCTGCGACTGTTCCTCGACGAGAGCATATCTTTTGGCACATTGGGACAAGGCGGCCACGGAGTTACTGAGCACTTTAATGTCGATGTAAGGTATTATCTTTACAGGCTATCAAAAATGTAAATTTGTTACTTATCTTTTAGCGTGATGAGATCGATCTGATTTCGGCAGGAATGGAGGGATCCATGGCCACCATTGGTGGCTTCTGCGTGGGCTCGCACTTCATAGCCGAGCACCAGCGTCTCTCTGGTCTGGGATACATATTCTCGGCCTCCCTGCCGCCCATGCTCACCCAGGCGGCCATTTCCGCCTTGGATCGCTTCGAACGAGAACCAAAGATCTTTGAGCAACTGCAGTCCAAAGCTAAGACGCTGCATCAAAAGTTTTCGCAATTCAGCAAGCTGACCCTGCGCGGGAATGAATTGTCGCCCGTGAAGCATTTGTATTTGGCCCAAGCCGCCGAGAACTTTGATAAGGAACTTAAACTGCTCACCGAGTTGGCCGATAAGGTATTGGTTGCTCCCTTAATTGTAGTTAGGAAAACATCGTACATTTCCTCTATTTTTTACAGTGCATTGCTCGAGGCGTAGCCGTGGTGCAGGCTGCCTACTTGCAGAACAGGGAACGCCAACCGGTCCGTCCAAGTATTCGCATTGCTGTCAACCGATTGCTGGAGGATGCGGACATAGCCACCGCGTTTGAGGTTATCGAGAGTGTTTCCAACGCCGTCCTTTAATTTTTTGTTTCGGAAGGAGTCGGATTTAAGACAAAGGCCTTACTGTTATAATTAATGGCCTAACTTTTGGCTCTAACCTTTTTCCAATCATTTATTTATATCCAGTTCAGTATAAAATATTTAAGCAAAACTATTGATGGCCTTGCACAACTATTTGTTCCTGAGTTGTATTACCTTTAAATAAACACATTAAATCTAGGAAAATTCCAAAGATTACAAGTTTCAGATAAGGCTGGTTAAATAAAACTTTTAAGGTTACTTGGTACATATGTAGGTGTTTCCTATCGCTTCGAAATCACGAATTTAAATTTCTGATAATGGAGCTACAATGTGAGTCAACATTTATGATAATTTTTATAAGAACCAATTACTGTGGACCAGATTAAATAACAAAGGCAGTGTTCGGAAGTGGTTTAAAAACTTTAACACTTGAGATATTCACCCAACAACGGGGGTTTTAGATGAATTCTTTAAATATTTTTTTTTAAATGTAGGTTAATCATCTGTTATAAGCAAATACTTATCGATTTGGCTTAGGAAAATATTAAAAGTAAAATGGTCCCCTTAGCGACCGTATCCCAATTAATCTGTAATAATCATAACCCTTCGACTTTCAAAATGATGTATTCGTTCCTCCAATGAACTTGACTGCGACGACCCCAAATCATGATGCTGTGCTCATAACGCTCCGATGCCGGTTCAGGCGCTAAAAGCGATCGAAGATCGGCAATCAGCGGCAATTGGGCGTATACGTACTATGTACCCAGGTGCTATCAGTGCGGGTACGCAACATTTGGCGACAAAAACATGCAATTACAGCGGTCGCCTTCCATTTGTTTTGTTGTTTACATACGCGAATGGCAGGCGCAAAGGCGAAAGTTGCAAAACCAGCTGATCCGTGGGAAAGCTCCCGTTACCCGGCGAGCTTTTGAGTTGGACTGCAGCTGATAGTTAAGCACAGTTGTCAGCCAACAGGCAAACCAGCAGCGCCTTCGTCTCCGTTTCTTTTCATCTGTTGCCCACCGAGAATCTTCTCGGGCTATTCCTTATCCGCCATGGTCGAGGTTAAGGACATCGAGAAGCTGTTCGAGACTGACGGCTATCTGAGGCCGTTCGAGCACGAGATCCGACGCCGGTAAGTAGAGATCCATTTTCCAGGTGCCACCAAGCCAAACAGCACATCATGTAACCCAACCCAAGGTTGGCGCCGGCTTTATGCGCTCTATGCTGATAAGCGACTACGGCGTAACCGTAACCCATGCTGCACAGCCGTATCAGCTTCTGGCCGGAGTCGGCCCACCTCGCCACCCGGTGACATGCAGTTGGAAAACTGCGTTCGCAATGTCGAATGAAGGTCGCCGGTGTTTGTTGCCCTCTGTGTGTGTGTCAGTTGGCTGGTGTTCGTGTGTGTTTTCTAAAACAATTCTTTGAGGAAGTGTTCGCAGCGTGCTACCGGCGTGTTTGGAGCATGGATCTCTTGGCCTTGATGGCCTATTCCGCGTTGACCAAATTGTGTCGGCGCCATTTCTATTTTTGCATCGCTGCAAATCTAAACTTTTCTGCTGCTCTTCCGCTTTTACGAATTTTGTTTTGATTTCTTTTCTGGGCGGAAAACATTGGGTTGGGAAGATTTTTGTTTTTGTACTCTTGCTTTTGATTCCTAATGAATTTGAGTTCAAAACTTTTATACTGTGTATAAAAGAGTGTATTAAAACATTTTTAAATGTTAAGAAGACTTTTGGTTTGTGAAACGGTGCTCAATCTAAGATTTTTCAATTTAATTTTTTTTAATTTAAAAATTTAAATTTGTACACTGGTCAGATTTTTTACGTTTCCTATTAAACGCTCTAGCCCTTTTTTTGGCATTTTATGAATGAATGTGTATAAATCCTAAAATACCTATAGAGTAATGTTCTTTCAAAGAAGATATGTATATACTTTAATGTAATGTTGGTGCTATTTAACCAATCTAATCATTCCTTTCGTAGACATGGCGTACTCCAGGACTGGTTGAGCAAGATAAACCAGAGCGAAGGTGGAATGGAGGAGTTCTCGCAGGCCTACAAACACTATGGCCTCCATTTCCAGCCGGATAATTCGGTGATTGCGCGCGAGTGGGCACCTGGAGCCAAAGATGTATATCTTACGGGTGATTTCAGTAAGTCTTCTACTATTTAGACTCCATACACAAAGTGTAACCGACTGCCTTAACCCCACAGACAACTGGCACTGGGAGTCGCACCCGTTTAAAAAACTCGACTTTGGCAAGTGGGAGCTCCACCTGCCCCCAAACGAGGACGGTAGTCCGGCCATCAAGCACATGAGTGAAATCAAGGTGATCATTCGTAACCATTCCGGTCAGTTGTTGGACCGCCTGTCGCCCTGGGCAAAGTATGTGGTGCAACCGCCCAAGTCGGCCAACCAGGGGGTCAACTACAAGCAGTACGTGTGGGAGCCGCCGTCCTACGAGCGCTACCAGCGCCAACATCCGCGTCCAGCCAGGCCCAAGTCGTTGAGAATCTACGAGTGTCACGTGGGCATCGCCTCCCAGGAACCGCGGGTCGGAAGCTACGACGAGTTCGCCGATCGCATCGTGCCACGGATCAAGCGACAGGGCTACAACTGCATCCAGGTGATGGCCATCATGGAGCACGCCTATTACGCTAGCTTTGGCTACCAAGTGACCAGTTTCTACGCGGCATCCAGCCGATTTGGCAACCCGGAGCAGCTCAAGCGCATGATCGATGTGGCTCACTCGCACGGTCTCTTCGTTCTCCTGGATGTGGTCCATTCGCACGCCTCCAAGAACGTACAGGACGGTCTGAACCAGTTCGACGGCACCAACAGTTGCTTCTTCCACGACGGAGCCCGCGGCGAGCACTCGCTGTGGGACAGTCGACTCTTCAACTACGTTGAGTACGAGGTGCTGCGGTTCCTGCTATCCAACCTGCGTTGGTGGCACGACGAGTACAACTTCGACGGCTATCGCTTCGACGGCGTCACCTCTATGCTGTATCACTCCCGGGGAATCGGTGAGGGCTTCAGCGGCGACTACAACGAGTACTTTGGCTTGAACGTCGACACGGACGCCCTCAATTATTTGGGCCTGGCTAATCATATGCTGCACACACTAGACCCGAAGATTATCACGATTGCGGAGGTAAGTGGAACACTAGTTTTATGATTTGAGTGCTTTTATTTAAAACGAGGACGGAAGCTAACTTCGGCAAGCCGAAGTTTTAATACCCTTGCAGACTTTGCCGAAATTGCTAAAACTGAAAAAGTAGCCAAAGGAATAAGGTATACATAAATAAACTAGATTTTCATCGTTTAATGTCAATTGCTTTTATACTGCAAAAATGTCATATAAAAATAAAAAAAAAGGGATACTTTCGCAGCCTTTAACTATTTTTCCTACGGAAGCTATAAGAAATAGACGTCCGATCGGCAAGCGCTTTTACCCTAATCAAGATATGCGTAAATAAATAAGACTTGGAAAAATTTATGTCAGTAGCTTACACACTACGCGAAAAATTCAGAAAATCATCAAATTTGGACCGATTTCACCCTGTTGTTCCTATGGGAGCTGTAGGATATAGACGTCCGATCGTCACGTGCTTTTATCATAATCAAGGTATGCATAAAAAAATACGATTTGGAAAGATTCATGTCAATTGCTTATATACTGTGCGAAATATCCTAAAAATCATTAAATTTTAACCGATTTCACCCTATTGTTCCTATGGGAGCTATAGGATATAGACGTCCGATCGCCAAGCGCTTTTACCCTGATCAAGGTATGCATAAAAAAATAAGATTTGGAAAGATTTATGTTAATAGCTTTTACACTGCACAAAATATCTTCCATTCTTGAAAGTTATATCCGATTGTTCCTATGGGAGCTATAGGATATAGACGTCCGATCAGCACGCGCTTTTACCCTGATCAAGGTATGCATAAAAAAATACGATTTGGAAAAATTCATGTCAATAGCTTTTACACTGCGCGAAATATCATCAATCTTTGCTAGATATATCCGATTGTTCCTATGGGAGCTATAGGATATAGACGTCCGATCGGGGCGATTTTCAAACTTGATCTGCGTACACATGTTTTAGGACGCGTGTGAAAGTTTCAGATCGCTAGCTTTTAAACTGAGCTCACAAACGGTATTGAAACAGACGGACAGACGGACAGACGGACAGACGGACAGACGGACATGGCTATATCGACTCCCCTATTGATCCTGATCAAGAATATATATACTTTATGGGGTCGGAAACGTCTCCTTCACTGCGTTACAAACTTCTGACCAAAATTATAATACCCTCTGCAAGGGTATAAAAAGATTAGCTATACGTAATTAATTTAATTTTTAAATAGCGGATGTAGTATGTACTTGTCTGATTGGCAGCAACTTTTACCCTGAGCAAGGTGTACATAAATAAATTAGATAAATTGCATAGTTTCATGCCAATAGCTTTTATACTGCAAAATTGTCATATACAAATAGGGAAAAAAGGGATATTTTCGCAGCCTTTAACAATTTTTCCTACGGAAGCTATACGATATAGACGTCCAATCGGCAAGCGCTTTTACCCTGATCAAGGTATGCGTAAATAAATAAGACTTGGAAAAATGTGTGTCAATAGCTTATACACTGCGCGAAATATTCTAAAAAACATGAAATTTTGACCGATTTCACCGTATTGTTCCTATGGGAGCTATAGGATATAGACGTCCGATCAGCACGCGCTTTTACCTTGATGAATGAATGCATAAAAAAATACGATTTGAAAAAATGTACAGCAATAGCTTTTACACATCGCGAAATATTCTGAAAAGCATAAAATTTGGACCGATTTTACCCTATTGTTCCAATGGGAGCTATAGGATATAGACGTCCGATCGTCACGCGCTTTTACCCTGATCAAGGTACGCATAAAAAAATAAGATTTGGAAAGATTTATGTCAATAGCTTTTACACTGCGCGAAATATCCTAAAAATCATTAAATTTTAACCGATTTTACCCTATTGTTCCTATGGGAGCTATAGGATATAGACGTCCGATCGCCACGCGCTTTTACCCTGATCAAGGTATGCATAAAAAAATACGATTTGTAAAGATTAATGTCAATAGCTTTTACACTGCGCGAAATATCATAAATTCTTGCAAGATATATCCAATTGTTCCTATGGGAGCTATAGGATATAGACGTCCGATCGGGGCGATTTTCAAACTTGATCTGCGTACACATGTTTTAAGACGATTGTGAAAGTTTCAGATCGCTAGCTTTTAAACTGAGCTCGCAAACGGTATTGAAACAGACGGACAGACGGACAGACGGACAGACGGACAGACGGACAGACGGACAGACGGACAGACGGACATGGCTATATCGACTCCCCTATTGATCCTGATCAAGAATATATATACTTTATGGGGTCGGAAACGTCTCCTTCACTGCGTTACAAACTTCTGACCAAAATTATAATACCCTCTGCAAGGGTATAAAAATTTAAAAGGGATCCAAAAGGAAAAAATATAGTATTTTTTCGGAGTATGTTCAATATATCTGCCATTTTATGATCCCTGGAGATTGAAACCCAAGATAGTAACGATTTTCTTTGTTTCGCCTAGGATGTATCCGGAATGCCCACCTTGTGTCGTCCCGTTTCGGAGGGCGGCATCGGATTCGACTACCGCCTGGGAATGGCCATTCCAGACAAGTGGATCGAGCTTTTGAAAGAGCAGAGTGACGACGAGTGGGACATGGGCAACTTGGTGCATACGCTGACCAACCGTCGCTGGATGGAGAGCACTGTGGCGTACGCAGAGTCCCACGACCAGGCGCTGGTGGGGGACAAGACGTGCGCCTTCTGGCTGATGGACAAGGAGATGTATACGCACATGTCGACAGTTTCTGACTCCTCGGTGATTATCGATCGAGGAATAGCGCTGCACAAGATGATCCGCCTGATCACGCACGCCCTGGGAGGCGAGGCGTACCTTAACTTCATGGGCAACGAGTTTGGACATCCCGAATGGCTAGACTTTCCGCGCGTGGGCAACAACGACTCGTATCACTATGCTCGCCGCCAGTGGAATCTAGTGGACGACAATCTGCTGAAGTACAAGTACCTCAACGAGTTTGATCGGGCGATGAACGAGGCCGAGGAGCGCTACGGATGGCTGCATTCCGGACCCGCCTGGGTCAGCTGGAAACATCAGGGCGACAAGATCATCGCTTTTGAGCGCGCCGGCCTGGTCTTCGTCTTCAACTTCCATCCCCAACAAAGTTTCACCGGCTACCGCGTGGGCACGAACTGGGCCGGCACTTATCAGGCAGTGCTCTCCTCGGACGATCCTCTCTTCGGCGGCCACAACCGGATCGATGCCAACTGCAAGCATCCCTCTAATCCGGAGGGTTATGCCGGTCGCAGTAACTTTATCGAGGTCTACACGCCATCGCGCACGGTCGTTGTCTATGCCCGCGTCAGCGATTAGCTTCTGGTCGAGATCTACACGGACCGGGTCCCTAAAATTTTTAATGCCTAAAACGAATTTCACATATAGTCATAGTGTTTGTTAATGTTACGAATCGGAAAGCCATTATTGAAATATATGCTCATTGAGGTATAGTTTTCTAACATCAATTGTTTTGTATTATTGTTCTTCGTAGTAAATAAAATACAATTCCTTAACGTATGTCCACTGATACATACAAAATTGGGAAGCAAACTTTTAGGCTGAGGGCGTATTTATCTTAAGACGAATTCTCATTTCCACAAAGGTTAGTGATTCTTTGTGGGCGTTCTTGGTCCAGGTACCCCAATGAATACCATAACCTTCTTTTTTAAACTCTCCAACTTTAAAGTAAAATGCATTGAGGGAACTGTAATTTCAAGTCATTAAATTAGAACTGTTTACTTAATTTTGTATTTAATAAGTTTACCTGATTCCACATTTATCGTACCACCAACCACCGCCGTACTTTTGTGCGCAATTTATATCAGATTTGTCGTTATCACGATCAAACGTGCTGAACTGTTTTCCTATATTGTAAATTAGGGCGTGTCCGGCTGGACTTTCTTTATATTGGCCAAACATGTCGGTAAGCGGATACGATTCTTCTTCGGATCCAATCTTGAAATTGGAGTAATGCGCGGAGGTGGTATTTCCAAAAACGTCGCCAATTCTAATATTAAGTTCGTATTGACCTGCATCAGTCAGTCGATGTAATTTCTCAAGCCCGAGGAAAAACTCTCCTTTTACATCTCCGAATCCGTTCTTATAGTCCTCCCACGTCCGATTGAAGTCCTGAGATCCATCTATACGCCTTTGAATGGTCATCCAGCCATCTTCATCGCATGGAACTTCAAAGTATGTTATTCCGGGTAATTTTATTTTGTAAATGCCTCTTGGACTGCTGCTGGGACATCTGTCTGATCCATTACAGGTCAATAGTTGGTCGGTTACATCGGTTAGCTCCTCATGCGCATGCGATACGCGACTTTCCAAGTCCTTAATAGTTTGCGCCATGGTATTCAATAAGTCATCTTTGTCCTTGTGCTGTTTATTTTGTGTATTGATTTGGTTATTTTTTTAAATCTTACTTAATCCGCCAGTCGTTATCAATTACCGTTTTCTGCCACTGTACAAGTTGATCGCCAATGTTCGTCATACAATCATTATCGCAATTAAAAATAATTTTTGAATTTATTATGTTTGCACAGGTAGGAGGTAGGACCTCTAAAACCAAAAAATGCAGGAAAATCACAAAAAATCCCGATTTCATTATGTTGAACGTGCCAGGCACTAAACCAAATTAATGAAAAATGAGGATGGCATGGTATTTATATAGTATTAGACAGTGTTCCCGAAATCATGGAACTTAAAGTCTGTTCAGCAGTGAAGCCGAAATTATGCGGAAATTCTAACATTTCATCACCCAGGAAACAGGGGCAAGGTTGCATGAGAGATCATAGCTAATGTCATCTATTGTTGATATGGAGTCGACCCAAAAACAAATGTATACATAAGTCATACAATTTATAGAGGAACTTATAAAGAACTATGTACATACATATGTATATAAATTTCTGCTACATTAAGTGTGTCAATGGTAGTGAAGCTGAATTTATTAGGAAATTCCAACATTCCACGTCATCTTGTGATAACTAGATTATGTACAAATTTTATATGTAAGTTTGCTTCGGACATTTAATCTATTTGTTTGTGATAAGAATCACATTTTTAAAACCCGACTTGTGTAAGCCAACTGCAAACGCCAGTTTGTAAATATAAAACGGGTTGTCATTTAATCAGTCATGTTGAACAAATGTATGTCTAATAAATGCCTATAAATTACATTATATAAAATTATTTATTAATTGATACAATTAAAACTACATTAGACACCAGATATGTGGTCTGAAAGGGGCACAAATGTCGCATTTCTGGAAAACATGCGTTCCGATGCTCTTGTCTTGTTGGTTAGTTACCTTTCCCTGAGGGTCGTGAGTATAAGTACATAATTTTGTTGGTTTTTAAAAACAAATTTCATTACGTTTCTCAGATATGTGACCCCTCCGTGGTATACAAAATGAAGAACATTGAATGTACGACAGTGCCCGGGTACTCTGCGAATGCTTCGTGCTATTTAAAGGCCCTCAATTGGAACAAAGCTGTGGCTCAAATGGACGTGGACCTCGTGAAGCCTTTGTATAATATCTCAGTAAGCTCAGCTGAAATGGGGTACCACCCTCACATACATTCTTATATTTATCATGAAGCCTTTCTTTAGGTGCGAATTCAGCTCTTCAAAAGGGACTACAGCAACAAGTTCCAGCCGTTTCTTATAGATGTGACCGTAAATGTCTGCGATTTGTTTTCAAGGCGAAGTTTTATGGCATATGGGTTAATTGTTCTCAAAGTTACAAAGAGATTTTCAAATTTTAATCATAGCTGTCCTTATGATGGTCATTTATTTGCACGCGACGCATATCTCGACGAATCGTTTATTCCAAACTTTTGGCCATTGGGTCTCTACAAAATAAACATCAGTATAATGGAAAACTACTTAAGGCCTCCAAATGGAAATGTCGGGGTTATCGTTTGGTATGTACAGTCTATGGAGCCAATCAAAAGGAAGAAAAATTAGAATAGTTTTTAGATCCTTACCAAATCTGTCGTTGGTATTCACTTCATAGCAAATATAATAATTAACTTCATAAAAGTATTAAAAACATTTGTATATCTTAAAAACAACGAAGTAATAATTTGTTTTATTTATTCTTCCGAATATTACATTCGGAGCTATATGACAATGATCAAGAATTAATATACTTCATAATTCCTCAGGTAGACAGGAAAACAGATCGACACGTCTTTGATACCAATTACATATCATGAATATAAATAATCAGTTCTGATCGCCTGCCAAAGGAACAAATGATTAAATGTGGTTCACTTACATTATGTTTACAAATTAGGAACCTTTTTTCCATTATAACAAACGTTGAAATCTTCGAGTTATTCCGTCGTCATAATCCAATTTAGGTTTTTAATATTATTTACCTGCTGTCAAAAAAGGAAACCAACAAGAAAAAATTACGAATTTTATTGCTTTAAATTTTTAAAATTGTATTTTATTGTTTATAATAAATATATATATGTATACGTAAAGTAATATTAGCTTTAGAATTTGTATCATACATAATGTAGGCTACATGAGTTGCTTAATTGTTTGCTTTTTTGCTTTGTTATTATTTAAAGTATATCTTACAGAAGTGCAACTCATTTTTGCTTATTTGTCTTAGATTACATAATTTTATATATTTTGAATCATTGTCTTCCATCAATTTAAGTTATTTTAGGCTTAACCTAGCTTCGCTTAGCTTAGTGTGTTGTTGTTGTGTTCTCGGGTTGTTGGTTTCGCAAGAATCTTTTAAAAAAATGCTTTAGTCTCTATTCAACTTAGAGTAATGTTAGGTCAGTGCTATGCTTGAATTCCTATTTGTATATGAATGGCATAACAAAATTGCAAATAAAATATATAATATATATAGGTATGTAAAGAATATACAACATGTTAAAAGAAATTATAAGGACGAGGGTCTGGTCTCGGGGTGCACAAATAAGAATGGTTAACAAAAATAAATAAATAGATTGAGAACTTATTGAATAAATACTACATGAATTACGTTGCATAGTTGCCTGTCTATCTCTCGTTATGCAAGGAACAAATTATATTTATAAGTAGTTGTAGAGAACGCTCACGTAGAGTTACAAAAGTCAGTTTTCCTTTAATAAAACGAAACGTTTCTCTCAGAACTAAATTAGGCTAAACATATTTTTGCCCGCTCTGTAGGCAGGTCAAATAGTTACAACTGGTTTGGGGTGTGTGTCTCGTCTTTGCACTTAAACGTTTAATTTAGCTTAGGCGTAAAAATAATTTAACTTTACGATGCTCTTAAGTATGCCTTGAAACGTACCTAATTGATTCTTCCGCAACACCATTCGCGTGTGTGACTGTGTGTTGAACAACATTTGATTTGTATTCTTGTAGGCATTTGGTTTTTGAATAAAAAAATAAATTTTGTATGCACATCCAACATTGTGGTAATATCAGTTAGTTTAGCTTGGCTTATGTTTGAGTTATTATTCATTTTATTACAATACAAGCATTCCTTTCCCATTTCCGGCAATTGGTGGCCAAATGTGACGATTTTTAACGTGTTCTAAAATCTAAACACAAAAACGTTGCTGACAGAACAAAGCTTAGCTTCAGCTTTGTCCCATGAGCAACCGAATCACGGCTGAATCTTTCTGAGCGTTTTAAAAGAAGTAAGTGGTCGGCATTATGGTGGCACTGTTCAAAAATCGACCCATTTGGCCACCCATTAGCCCCTACGCGGCGAACAACTGAGCAGCAGCAGCAGCGGCGGCCTGTTGCTGTTGTTGCTGCTGCTGCTGTTGCTGCTGCTGCTGGGGAGTGGTCGCCATGATGGGAATGGCCGTACCGTCAGCCGTGAGGAGCAGGGTCTGCGTGGCCTGGGGCGTCGCCGTGGCCTGGACCTGGGCCGTCGAGTCGTTGGTGGCCATGGCCACGTTGCCCGGCAGAGCAATCAACTGGTGCTGACCGGCTTTGCTGGGATGCGGCACCTGGGTGGCGGCGATTATGCTGCCGTCGGCCGATTGCAGGAGGATGGTATTGGGCGGGAGATTGAAGCAGGTCACCGTACCGTTGGAGGCCACTGTCTGCAGCTGCAGTGGAGGCGGCTGGGGGGCAGCCAACAGCATTGTGGCCCCCGTTGTGGTGGCCCCGTTGTTCGTGCTGCTCAAGTCGAGACCATCAGTGGTCGTCGCCTCCTGCAACTCCGACTGCTCCTCGCTGGGCTCCTCGTCAATTATCTCCTCGACCAGATCGTCCTCGTTTAGCTCCTCAATGATGTCATCCTCGTTCTCTAAGTAAGCGGAGGCCTCAACGCCGGAGCTAACCAGGTTGACGGCGCCCGGCGGCGAGGGTGTGGGCGTGGGCATGGGCATGGCCAGGTAGTTGTCCCCCGACTTGGCCGTCACGGCCGTGCCCTTGGGTATGCGGAACTTTCGCAAGATTTGGGCAGTCGAGGAGGACAGCGCATCCAGAGCGTCTGTATCTTCGTCCAGGTCGTCGTCGTCGAGTTCCTCGTCATCGGCCAGTAGCTCTTCCTCGGCCACAGGCTGCTGCTGCTCCACAGAAACCGATTCGGGTGCGACGATAACTTGGCGCTGGTTGCGATTGGAGGCATTGACGCGCACCAACGTGACGCCTCCGGTACCGCTTCCTGTTCCGGCCTTGACATTCCCATTGAGGATGCTGAGGGGCGGCTGCTTGGTGGCACCACGAGCGGCCAGCAGGATGACAGGAGTCTTCTTTGCCGCCGGCTTGGGGCCATTGCTTGCGCTGCTGCTCACCACGGCGGCCACGTTGTTAGCGGTGGCATTGTTGTTACTGGTGCTGCCACTGCCATTGCCATTGCTGCTGCTGTTGGTGTTGGGAGGAAGGATTGCATTAGTCGCATTACTAGTGGGAGACGGCACATGGGGCTGGATATGGGTATTGGACATGGGAGAAGTTCGGCTCGAGAAGGTGACAAAGTCGGCGAACTTGTCGACGAAACTGCTGCCGCCGCTGGTGATGTTGCTGCTGCCGCTGCGACTGCAACAATTGTTGCTGTCGGCGAGGCGAGCACGGGCGTTCGCCTGCTTGACGATGATTTCTTCGTAGTAAATGCGATCCGCTTCCACTTGGCGACGCTGCGAATCTTCATGTGTTGTGTTCATGTTCATGTTCTTGTTCTTGTTCTGATTTTGATTCTGATACTGATTGTTGGTGGTGTTCTGGGTTCTGTGATTGCTGGGTGTGTATGGCCGCTTGAACATTTGTTTCTGGTTGTTGTCGTGTTTAGAAGAACCTGTTGTTGTTGTTCATGTGGTTGTTGTGGCGCATGATTATGAATTTTTGTGTGCAAATCATAGGGAATAACACAAAAACACAAACAACAGATGAACGTAAAATGTTGTTGGGTGAAAAAAGAAAAAATAAAAACAATTTGATTAGCATATTTGCTTGATTCTTATTTTGATTTGTGTTAGTTTTCGTTTTTGCTTTCGTTTTGACCTCTTTTTATTTAATTTAGATGTTAGATATGCTTAAATCAAAGTTAATTTTGGTTAGTAAATGATAATGACACTTATGACTGGTAGCTTAATCGAATGTAGATGTGTGGCGATTTTGTACTGTTTAGTGATTATTAGCCATTTGCACAGACACTTATACGGAATTTATGTGCAATTTTTTAGTATGAGTATCGGTTCAGGTAGTTCCCTAAGTTTTGGTTTTTTAGACGAGTGGTAGTCAATGAATCGATGGTTGTTAGGATGCAGAACCCAAGGTATATTGGTCAATTACAAAACAAAAAAATATTATGCAAAACAAAATATAAACAAGAAAATAAAGCGTATAAACAAAAGTACACATACCTTTCACTAAATGTCCAATTTTAATATTTTATATGTTTTTATATTTTTTGTTTATTGTTTCTGTTATTGGGATGTGTTGGAGATAGTTATTTGTTTGTTGTTATTGAGTCTCGGTTTTCGATCGGTGCTGTTCTTGCACACTCACACAATTAGTGATGATGAATGAGGAATAAGTGAATCAACGAATGAGACAAGACGGGATGTCCTCAAGCAATTGAGTATTATGAGTATGTGATGTGACGGATGTAAGTACACAAATGTTTCGATAAGTTTGTTTGGTTTGATTATTCATGCTTGGCCGCTGATCTTGGCTAACATTGAAAATGTCTTCCATTTGCGTTGCTTTTGCTTGGGGATTATGGATAGGGTTTTCGTTTGTTTAGCGATCGTGTTGATTGCAAACTCAGCGATGAGTTTTTATTTCATTAAATAGAATTTTTGGTACTTTGGCTGCAGCTGTCTGTGGCGGTCGATTGTTCAGAGAGCTAATAGCACTGCCTCTGATATATCGTAGCTATAGTTATAATGCGTGTTTTTTATTTGGGCGAGTGTTATATTGTTGGGTTGTTGATTTGATTGTTTGATTGATTGATTGATTGGTTGGTTGGTGGGTTGGTTGTGTGTACATAAAATAAAACAAGAGAAAAAGAAAGAAAAAGAACAAAATTGCATTGAAGTATAAAACGTATTTGAACACAAGTTTTTCTCGAAACAAAAAGGAAACGAGTTGGTTATTATGATTAATTTTGGGGTATTAATTGGGGGTAATCGTTGGCATATCATTTTACAAGGAAGCAACAACAAGCCACACAAGGAACAGTCTATTGGCAATAGAGTGCAGTACCTCAGTGGGTTCATGATTGGTAAATAAATAAATGCACAAAAATCAATTCATACGACTAAAATACAAACTGAAAAACTCTGTTAAAGGCTACAAAATAATACAAATACGTAATAACTAAAGATTTACATAATGAATAAGATAAGTATAAGAAATATAACTAAAGTATGCATAATCCTAGTTTAAAACTAAACAAGTTAATGCTTAATGTATCCCCCTTATTCCCCCTTTTGTTCAGTTTTAGTGTTTTTGTAGGCGGCCATCGGGTGTTCTTAAGTTTTTTGGTAGTAACTACACCGTCGTTGCGCGTCTCTAAATACGTGAAAGGAAGATCAGCGTCGCAATCGCAATTAAAGGGTTACGGAGGCAGAGATAGCGTTATTTTGAGAGAGTTATAGATACAGATGCAGAGATATAGTACAGATATATATACAGAGCGGCAATCTAATCGAGCGCGTTACTTTAAGAGAAGTCGGGCAGACAGAGGAGGGGGTGGGCTAGTAGGTTCGGTTAGTTGGAAAGAGCGTTTACCTAATTTCTTTGGTTTCCAGCAGCGACGAGGTGTTCACATCGTTCACCGCATTGATCATCGAGGTGGGCGAGAAGGGCAGGTGGTACATGGAGGCGGTGTCCAGGGCGTAGGCGTCCCCGCCCTTGATCAGCAGCTCGTTCTTCAGCTCCATGAACTGCTGGTGCGGATTGTGGTGCGTGGCGAAGGGCTGCTGCTGAAGGAGTTGCGTCTGCTGGTGGTGTTGCTGCTGGTGGTGCTGTTGCTGCTGCTGGTGGTGCTGATGTTGCTGGGTCTGCGCGTCCAGCGCGTTCGCATTTAGCGTGGGCTGCGCGCCGGCGTGCGTCGTGAAGGTGTACTGCGAGTAGGGACACAGGTCGCCCAGCTCGGCCGCTTCCAGTTTGGGCTGGAAGTTCTGCAGGCCGTCGGGCGTCAGGATCTGGTAGCTCTGAACCGTGCCGATCACATGCTGCTGCTGGTGCTGCTGGTGTTGTTGCTGCTGCTGCTGCTGCTCGGCCACTGCCGGAGTGGCCGCCGCCGTGGAGCTCAGATAGGTCACGTTGTCCAGCTCGTAGTGCGGCTGCTGCTGCGACTGGGTGGCGGGCTGCTGGGGCTGTTGTTGTTGCTGCTGGGTCGTCTGATATGTGGTCGCCGTGGGCTGCTGGCGCTGTGCCTGCGGCGCCGTTGCATATATCGCCTGCGTTCCGTCCAGTTGAAGCGGCACCAGGTTGCCGGCCTGGTCCTGGATCATGATGCTCTGCCCGTGCAGCTGTTGCTGCAACAGCGCCTGCTGCAACTCCAGTTGGTTCGAGTAGATCAGCGTCGTGGTGGGCGCCGCCGCCTGTCCGCCATTTGGCGTTCCTGGACCTCGCTGCAGTCCCACGGAGCTGGTGGCTCCCGGATTGGCTAGCGCCAGCTGGGCCCCACCCGGCAGGATCATCCCGCTGAAGTCCAGCGAGGGCAGCGTCTGCAGCTGGTGCTGCGGCTGTGCGGGCGTCGAGGGAGCCAGCGTGGTGGTCAGGCTGTGTTGCATCGGCTGCTGTTGCTGCTGCGAGTGACTCGCACTAACCGGCGTCAGGGCCAGGGAGTCCCCATTCTGAACGTCGTCCAGCACACTGTCGATCTGCGCCAGGCGCTTCTTGGCCGGTGTGTTGGCGTCGCCGGCCTTCGACTTGCGGACACGCGGAGTGCGGGCGGTACGCGCTCGCTTCGCCGGCGGACCATCGGCCTTCAGCGGCGTCGTGGTGGCCGAGGGCGGCATGGGCACGTCGCCGTGCTTGTCCTTCTTGTGCATCTTCATCTTGTCGGGACGCGAGAACTCCTTGTTGCAGATGGGGCAGGCGAATATCTTGCGGTTCTGGCCCTCGTGGAAGAGGTAGGCGTGCCGCTGGAAGCTGTACTTGTTCTTGAACGTTTTGAAGATGTCGTTCTTGGCGCAGACCAGGCAGTAGGCCACGCCGTCGATGATGTGCTCGTAGCGGGCAATGTCCAGGCCACGCACGCTCATCTTCTCCAGGTACTCGCCCTGCTCGTCGTCGGCGATGACGCGCGTCTTGCGCTTGCGCTTCTGCTTGGCAGCCGCCGCCGATCCCGACTTGGGCACCATCGAGTTCATCAACGTCGTGGCCGAGCTCTGCTGGTCCTGGCTGATCGTGTAGCTGGTGGTGCCGGCTGCCTGTTCCGCCGCCTCGGCCTCCACCTCCGCCTTGATCACCTGGTACTCCTCGTACTCATGCTCCTGCTCCGGATCGTGCTCGTGCTCCTGGTCGTGTTCGAGGCTCTGCTCCTCGTACTTGACCTGCAGCAGACCGCTCTCCTCCTCGTCCTCCTCGTCGCCGACGATCCCGTGCTGGGGCTCGTACTTGATGATGTCGGCGGCCACGGCGCTGCTGCCGTTACTCAGGCAGTCGCTGCTGCCAGGCTCGCTCTTGAGCACGTGGTACTCCTCGTACGTGCTGCCGTCGAACTCGATGATCGTGCCGTCCGTGTTGACCAGCGCGGTGGTGGTCGTGGTCGCGGGCACATTGCCCTGGGGCACGGGAACGGGCGTTGGAGCGGCGGAACTCACTGCCGGCATTCCGCCGTTGTAGTTCTCGAACACTATGGTGGTCGGGGTTTGTCCATCCTCGCCGGTGGTGGTGATGTAGTGGTAATGTGGCTGTGGCTGCTGCTGTTGCTGTTGCTGCTGGGCGTGGGTGGCGGTGATCGTGTCCACTCCGTTGGTGTTGGCGTTCGTGTGCAGGATGGAGGACGAACTAATAGTTGTGACCACATTGTCTTTTGTTTATATATTTTTTGAAAATACATATTTGGTTTGGTTCATAAAAGATGTGTTTGAATGTAATATTTGCATAAATCAATAAATCAATTCGTAATCGAAATCGAAATCAATCAACAATTCACTCAAATCAAGTTCGGATAAAACTAATGTAGTGCAAAATGAAAGCTAAAGACGGCCAAACAATTGCGTGCAAGTGCCACAGATGGGAAGCATCTGCCGCACTTACACGTGCCGCCTGATCGAATCGTTCGGATATAGCAGCATTACAGGATATATAGATAGAATGTGAGTGAATTGGTTTTTGTTTGTCGGTAGAATTTGTGTTTTTACTTAGATCTACTTTACAGCAATCGTAATCGTAACTCTGGTACAGTACTCGCAACTCAATACGTACTAAATAAAATTAAATAAATAATCGACTTGAATAACTGAAGGTGGGGTTACAGGAGGACAGAGCAGAGGATGAAACTGGTGGTGTGTTGGCCAACGTTGGTCAGACTCCTCCACTTCGGAGGAGCTGAGAACGGAGTGTGTTTGTGTTGTGTCGAAAGTGGGTGAAAACAATAAGTGACGTATAGAAGGGGGGATATAATAGTGTCATTGCTAAAAATAACTAAATCATAAACGCAAATCTAAAAACTATGAGTTCAATTACAAATTTGGCGCTCAAGAGCTGCCCAATGTCCGTCACGCGCATGGTCAGCAATTTCGGTTTGGTTTCCACCCTTGGGCGCCAAAAGTTGAATTGCAAAATCTTAAACTAGCTAATAAAGTAAAATAATACGTGAACAACAATTTTTGAGCCTTTTTCGACGCGCTTTGCACGGAGTTTCCTCGGTTGAAATGATTTGTGCATTTATCTATGTGATAGTTCCAATATTCATGACAATTCGAGAAGAGACAGACACAGACCTGGGGAAGGGTGTCGTAAATTAAAGACGAGCATGTAGTGTGTGGATCAGTCGAAAGCGGTTGTTGTTATTAATTGGGCGATGCGATTGGATTTTGATATTTTGAGATTGGTCGGTGGTTAATTGAAGAGTTTGTCGCCTTTTCTTTTCTTTTCTTTTTTTTCTTTTCTCTTTTTATTTTTCGGGAGGGGCAAAGGTGTGACAAGAACACGGCAAATGGAAGTCAACTTCATTGTTTGTTCTTATTCGAAACATTCGCTCTAAATGGCGCGGTTGAATTTTGGCACAAAACATTAACAAATAATAAAATCAGTATTAAATGTCGGATGGCAAAAGATGGAATGGAATGGATGACATGGAATTTCTGTGCGACACTTACGAAACAAAACATTTGATTGGATTCGAATTTGGCCAATTCGGATGACGGTCAAATCATAAGGGGGTGAGTATTGTATTTACAATGAGCGGTTAGTGGTAATAGCTTTAACTGAAACACCAAATACGAGTACACAAGAGGGTTAAACCATACACAAAGACTACAACCAACAAACAAATAAACATAAAGCAAACAAATTCAAGGCAGACACTTACCGGCAACACTAGTTGCAACATTCTGTTGCTGCTGCTGCTGCTGCGGACTACTGGCCGTAGTTTGATATGAAGCCGTGGCGGCAGTTACGGCATGTCCGTTTGCATCACAGAGTATTTCATTTTGCAGCTGATAGACATTGCCGTCCGTACTGCCGTACTGTTGCTGCTGCTGCTGTGGAATGCCATTAAGGGTATTGGCCGCGGGCAACATGTTGACGTAGACAATCTGTTGCTGCTGCTCTTGACTAGACTTGGATGTGGATGCTCCTGCTGCTTCTCCTACTCCTGCTCCTGCTGCTCCGGCACTCGGCTGACTTAGTTTTGGTATCTTTCCCTCAAATTTACGCGATTGTTGCATAAATTGCAACGACGGCTGCTCCTTTTTGGCATCTGAAAAACGGCAATCGGTAGAGTTTAGTGCTTGATCAGGCCACGATTTTCAGTGATTGTGATTAAATGCGGTTGGTATTGTTATTGTTGGTGTAAACACACACACACACACACATGGACTCTGGGGGTTTTCTGGGTGAGGCACTGCGATTGGATGGGGTAATGGTAGTGAGTAGCCAAAGCAAGGGAACGAGTGAAGCAGATTCTGGGGCGGCAAAGCAAGAAGAACAGGCCCAGGCAGCACCAACACCTTGGATTCGGTTTAGTAAAACAGTTTTGGTTTTTGGTTAGTTTTTAGCATAGATTTAAAAGCGTGATCGTATATTTCTCTGACGCACTCTTACAATTAAAACAAACTAGACGACTTATTTGTACATTAAACACAAAACGAAACGATGAAATGTTGGTCAAACAGATTAAGACATGAAATTTTGAAAGAACCGAAAGACAACGAAGAAGCTGTAAACAGTGGAATGATGTTGCTAGAGGAGGGAATGTTTATGGGGCATTGGGTTTAGTGTATTTTGGATGGCTTGGAGGTGGTCAGGTGAAGCTGTGATTATGTGGATGCAGTGGTGCAGTGGCTGCTTAAGCTGCTGCTCTCACCTCCGCTGCCATCTGCTGCTATGGTTAGTGTTGGTGTCACAGCTGCAATTGCTGCTGTGGGCGATTTTGCGACAGCGACTGTGGCTGCCGCCGGCGATGTGGCACTAGAGTCCTTTTTCCGTCTCGTCGGAGTCTTGCGGGGCGTGCTACTGGCCTTGCCCCGCCTTGCCCCCCGCGACGTCGACGATGTCGAGGATGCCGGCGATATGGAGCGGTCGTCCTTGGTCCGCGGACTGCGACCTCGACTGCTATTCCGCGAGTGCGTCCTGCGTTTCGACGCCAGCCAGTCATCATCGTAGTCGGCATCGTACCGGCGCTTCTGCTTGCGCCGCTTGAAGTCCTCCTCCTCGTCGTCGTCTTCTGTCAACGGGAAGATTCAACAAACAAAAGAGAGGGAAGAGAAAACAAAAGCGAGAAAAGGGAGAGATTATAGCTCAGCTGGGGAAGATCGACTCAAGGGCACCTGCCAACCCACACACCTGTGCCGTCGTCTATGTACTCCAACAGCTCCTGCTTGGTCTTCAGGTCTGCCGGACTTTGCAGGCTCATGGCGTCCTCGTTCGGAAAGTCGCCCTCTTCTACGCCCAGATCTCCGGTGTCCAGTGTGAGCACGCTCTCTTTCAGCATGGCCTTCACATCGTCGGGCACGTTGGGATTCTGCTGGATTTCATCCAGATCCAGATCGGGATTACGCTCCTTGAAGCTCTTGGCCTTGGTGGGGTTGCATTGCTTTTTCATTCTGGGGGAGGGGGAGTGGTATACAAGAATAAGACACACTTGAAAGCCCAGGAAAACCAATGAAACCTACTTCTTATCACACAGCAAGACATCTAGGTGTGGTGGCAGTGGAGCGGCGCTGGGCACCCCGTTCATCGGATCCTCCGGATGCCTCCCAACGTCGCGTCCCTCCATCCACAGGTCGTATCGGTCGTTCTGGAAGCGCTTGACAAAGGTGTCCATCGATATTTTGACCATGTCATTGCTGCAGGTGCACTGCACGGCCCGCTTGCCATACTCGATCCAGCGCTCCATGGCAAAGTTGGTGGACTCGGCACAGTTGAAGCCGTGATTGAAGCCGGCATGGTAGCCAAACGGAAACGTGATCATGATCTCGCCCGCCTCCTGCGTGATCTGCAAGAGCCGAATTTAGAACGGCCACTAGGCGGGAATACAACTGATTAACGCACCTTGCTGACGGGCACGTCGTGCTGCTTGAGAATTTGCGGTGAGATGAGCGTCATCTTGTGGCGCAGATAGGCGTTGCAGTTCTTGTAGCTGGCCGGAAAGTACTGGTTGGCCACCTTCTCCAGCTTGCGACCGCACTCCGGCGGCACCACGTACCATGTCTTTGGCGCCCCAAAGTGCAGGTAATTGATGGAGTACAGGTCCATGTCCTCTGTGTGCCATGCAAAGGTCGTCTTCCACATGCCAAAGTACAAGTAAGCGGTGTTTACACCGTCTATCTGTATGTTGTAGTCCTTGTTCACATAGTCTAGGATAGTGCCCAGCCGGTTGATGTTCCAGCTCTGCAACGGCAAAGGCAACGAATCGTCAACGGGGAACGGAAACTCAAACACAAGCCCTAATCAACTTACATCCTGGTCGGGATCTGTGATGCTACCGCTGACATCTGCCCCGTAAATGGGTGCCACATATGTTATGTTCTTCCAGTACTTTCGCTCCAGATCCTCAAAATCAAAGTGTTTGGGAGTGGCATAACGTTCGGTGCTGGCCAGATCACTGAACTGCTTGACCGTCAGTGGCTTCTTTTGTATGTTTATTTGCTGGTAGTAGCCCTGTTTGCCGGTAACCACCTGGCAAATGGGCGCCGGAATTGTGACGTTCAGGGCATCCAAATCGGCGTACCCACTACGTCGTGGCACCCACTCCGGTGGAGGCACCACCTTCGCCAGACCGGCTTTGTGGGCGCCCTGAGACTCCATGTAGGCTACATACTTGGGAAAGTCCTTGAACTCCTCCCAGGTGGGTCGAAAGACCATGATGCGGGGCACCTCTGACATTTTCATTTTTCTCACAGCTTTGTTTTCGTTTTATTCTGAATTGCCTCCTTTTGTACTCTTCGAGACACCTTTCTCTCGGAGTCCGATGCTTCGATCTGGAACTGTGATAGAAGCAGCATTAAAACTCCGTACTCCGTGCGGCCCATTAATCTCGGGCAGATGCCTGGCCCGTCCGCCCGACTGCCTGCCCCGTCGCTAAGCGCTCAACGATCGGATCGGCTGCCTGTCAGAAAACAAACAGAGAAGGAGCACAGGAACAGCTGCAACTTTTCGAGGTTTCTTTTTAATGGGCGCGGCAGCGACAACAGCAGGCAGGCAGGCTGGCAGGAGAATAGAGGCTGGCAGGATATGCAGTTGCGCTACCCCTGCCCTTGTCTTTTGAGTGGTTTTCCTCCTGTGCTAGCAGGCCCCTTAATAACCCATAGGAACCCATAAAAAGTGCAATGATCGTTCTTTTGATAACCTTACAAACTAGAAAGAAATGTTGTAAATTGAGTACATATACCACATTTCATGCAGAACTGGCTGAAACGTTTAGAGTTTGGGGAATAAGCTGGTTTTATGGAAATGATACAAGCTGAAAAGGTTAAATTCATTTGAGTTTCTTACCAATATTTATTTAATGATTAAAGCTAAAGAAGTTATATTAACAAAATGTATTAAATTAATAGAACACAATAAGCAAAAATAAGAAAGCAATACACAAATAAAACGTTTTAGTCTGGAGGCTTGATACTTAAAGCTGTTTTATAAAACATAATAAGTACATAAGTAGTTTGCAGTGCATCCTTATTATAAACAACTATTTATTTCATAAACAAGAAAGGAAAGCTAACTTCGGGCGGAGCCGAAGTTGAAATACCCTTGCAGAATATTCTGCAAATTATATTCTCCAAAATCATTCATAATGCATTCTTAATACTCATAAAAAATCCCAACTTCCTAACTTTAAAAGCACCAAAGTTATATCATTTCCAATCGTTCAGTTATATGGCAGCTATAGAATATAGTCGGCCGATCCTTATGAAATTTGATATGTCGGATTGATTAGGCAAAAATAAAACCCATAGAAAATCCCAACTTCCTAACTTAACAAACACCAAAGTTATGGCATTTCCGATCAATCAGTTATATGGCAGCTATAAGATATAGTCGGCCGATCCTTATGAAATTTGGTAGGTCGGATTAATTGGCCAAATATAAAACCCATAGAAAATCCCAACTTCCTAACTTAACAAACACCAAAGTTATGGCATTTCCGATCAATCAGTTATATGGCAGCTATAAGATATAGTCGGCCGATCCTTATGAAATTTGGTAGGTCGGATTAATTGGCCAAATATAAAACCCATAGAAAATCCCAACTTCCTAACTTTACAAACACCAAAGTTATGGCATTTCCGATCAATCAGTTATATGGCAGCTATAAGATATAGTCGGCCGATCCTTATGAAATTTGGTACGTCGGATTGATTGGCCAAATATAAAACCCATAGAAAGTCCCAACTTCCTAACTTAACAAACAGCAGAGTTATGGCATTTCCGATCAATCAGTTATATGGCAGCTATAGGATATAGTCGGCCGATCCCGGCCGTTCCGACTTATATACTGCGTGCAAAGGAAAGAAGGGTGTGTGCAAAGTTTCAATTCGATATCTTTAAAACTGAGAGACTAGTTCGCGTAGAAACAGACAGACGGACAGACAGACGGACAGACGGACAGACGGACAGACGGACAGACGGACAGACGGACATGGCTATATCAACTCAGGAGGTGATCCTGATCAAGAATATATATACTTTATAGGGTCGGAGATGTCTCCTTCACTGCGTTGCACACTTTTGACCAAAATTATAATACCCTCTGCAAGGGTATAAAAAGGTCCAATTAGGAAGAATTATTAAAGTTAGAAACATAAATATAGCTAATAAAGGTTTATTCCTACATATGTAAAGGCTTCTACCATTAACATTTAATTCAATTAAAATGTGAATTCTATATAATTTCTAGCAGCAAACATGATTTGCTTGTGCTTTCTAGGACCACGATAATTAAACGAACTCTTAAATCCAAAAATTAGTTAGTAACTTTAAATAATACATTTGGTAGTTTTCACAAATAACAAATAATTATTTCTAAGTTCAATCAGTTAAAACTTTAATTTTAATTTATTTATCACTGAACCAGCGAACACCACAATTAATTATTCTATCAGGTAAATTTTCCTATAATTTCATCAGCAAATGAAACAAAGATTCTCAACTATAAAAAACATTTAAATCCATTGTTTAACACATATTTAGAAATACATTTATGCATGTGGGTTAAATGAATAGAACAAAAATAACAATTAAATAAGTCATGCATTGATGAAAAATTTCGCTGCCTGTATTTCTGTATACGCTAAAGCCTCCCAAAAAATCACAATAAATCAAGCTGAAGTGGATAATTAATTATTGAGTGCCAGGACGAACCGTTTTCCCCGCGGCAAGCCATTTATGCAGATCGAAAACGCCCAATAAGCCAATGACACAAATCCGGCGACATCTTTTTCCCAGTCAATACCAATGGTTTTCCGTTTGTTTTTCCTATTTTCCGCACAAGCAGACTGGAAGCTCTGCAGGCCGGAGGAGTAGCGAGGATAACGATAACGAGGACAACGCTGTGCGAGACATCCCAGAGAACTAGATGAAAATTTACGCAATTTTTCGGCCACGCAGAAAACTGTACCACCACCCGAGGATTTCAGAGAGCGAGGACACAAAAAGGAGCGAGAGAGAGTAGAGCCGACGATGGTGGGGAAGGGGAGGAGTGAGGGGGGCGATGACGAGTGCGCAAAACTATTTACTAGTTACAAAAAGAGAGCGAATGGGAGGGAGGGAGCGAGAGACAGTATGCAAAGGAGCGGGCAGGATATACTCGCTACAGAGGGGTTTCAAAATGGGCGAGTCGCAATGCGGCGAGTACGTGTGTGTGTGTGTTTACGGATGTGTGAGTGTGTTTGTGAAAGGACGAAATTTAGAACTCACTTGTGATGTGCTTCGATGAGTTTTTTTTTTCTGCTTCTCTAGTTTATTCGATGCTCTCCGTGCGTAAATCCCAACAAAATGGCAAAAGTAATTGTGTGACTAAATGAGTAACGCTTGCTTTTTGTTGTTGTTCTATTTGCTGCTGCTGTTTTGCTTTTGTTTGTATTGAGTTGTAGTTTATTGCACATTATTTTATTGTGTATTTGCATATGAAACTTCTGCTCCTTTTTTAACTAACAGTAACTAATTTGCACAATTTGGATGTTTGATTCGACACTTGAAGCACTCTTTTGTTTTGCAATTCTTGTAGAATGATTTCGCTTTGGTTTTGGGTGGGTGTTTTATTTATTTTATTTTATATTATCCTGCAACATCTGATGGCGTCGTTGTTTTGCGTTTTACAGTCTTTGACTTGGTGGCAGCTCTCTCTTCGAGGATGTATATATATATATGTGTATGCGAAGGTACTAGCTAACGAAAAGCACTCACGACGGGCGCGACATGTCTTAGCGGTCTGAGCGGCAAGCGTCGACTGAACGGCAGTTCCATGCCAGGACGATAGCGACGCAGGCGTCGAAAGAACTCGCTCGCACACACACACTCTCACACGCAGAAACACGTACGCATGAGAGCGTTGTCCTTTTAATGCGAATGCTCTGGTCAAAGCATAATGCGAAAGGAAAATTGGTGTAGAGCAAGAGGGAGACGGCGCAAACAAGTTTGACAGGATAATTGTGGAGAGGGAAATGCAAGCCGAGAGGAAAACTGGCAGTTTCTACCGCTCCTCCTTTCCTTCATCCATCCATCTATCCATCCGTTCGTCGAACAATGCCTTTTCCCTGCTCTTTCGTTTCATTGCGAAAAGCAAATGTGGCGAAATGAAAAATGCATTTGCCATTTGAAACGCTCTCTCGCAGTGGGGACTTCCATTTGCCAACTCTCTCTAAGCAGTCAGAGAAATCACAAAGGACTTAATCCTCATTATGCATTGTCTTGGCCCGGATTTCGGATTTTGGCGAATATCTAATCTGGGACTTATGGATCGAGGATCGCATGTGATCGTTCGTAGGTAAACGAAAGCGGCAGGGGTTAGAGTTTAAGGATCCACTTGAGACGGGCATCAAAGATACTCTCTCTTGAAACGGCTTCATGTATCGGGCATTTAATAATTCAATATTTGTGAAATCATAGCAAAACCAACAAACAGGATATGGGTCATATATTTATTTGTTTGTTTTTAGAAAATACAATTTTGAAATTAAATTAGATTTTGTTATCCGTTAGTGCCCGTTTAAAATTCTAAAATATCCGTCCTATGTATCACATATTTTTAAACAACACCAATTTCTCTGTTTCTGCATATTTATAACATTCACTATTATTGCCCTTAAATCTCCAAAATTATTTAGCTCGCAAATTACTCATTACATATATACACTTTACAGAGAACAAATTAAATAAAAATTTAAAACAATTAATAACGAACAAGAGAGAACGCTATAGTCGAGTGCCCCGACTATCAGATACCCGTTACTCAGGTAAAGGGAGTGCGAGGGAGATGGAGACAGAAACTTTGATCACGCATAACTTTTTAACGAATGGTCCGATTTGAAAAATTTCTTCTACATTTCGATAGGTATTGATAAACACAATAAAACTGCATTTTTACTTTTCCGAAATATTTAAATTTTTAAAATCGTATATAAGCTATTGTGGGCGTTAAAGAGGGCGTGGCACCTTTTTGAAACAAACTTGCGCTGCGTAGGAACTCCTAGAATCTGCATGCAAAATGCCAATCTTCTAGCTTTTATAGTTTCCGAGATCTCAGCGTTCATACGGACAGACAGACAGACAGACAGACAGACGGACAGACAGACGGACAGACGGACAGACGGACAGACGGACAGACGGACATGGCTATATCGACTCGGCTAGTGACCCTGATGAAGAATATATATACTTTATAGGGTCGGAAACGCTTCCTTCTAGCTGTTACATACTTTTGCACGAATACAATATACCCTTTTACTCTACGAGTAACGGGTATAAAAATAGTTAGGCTTGTCCAGGACCGCCATGATTATACAAAATTACACATATTACATAAGTTTTAGCTAAAAACTTTTATAAGAAGAAAACAAAATATTTAATGACAGTGGCTATTTATTGATCACTGCTAATATGGAAGAAAATATTTCATGGCAGGGACCTTTAATTGCTCTAATTCCCCAAAGAATAAAATTACAATTTGCCAAATCCCTTATAATGCTCCATTTAATGGAACATGAGTTTCTGGAATACAAATTAGCACATCTGAAACAGAACAGCGAAGGATAACTGCAGCGAGTAATTACGTGATAGCGCTTCGATAACAAGCTTCTCCGCATCCTGTGAGCAGAAAACCCATACAAAAACCAACAGAAAATTATAAAACGAAGCAAAATGGGAGAGAGGGATAGAGACACAAATAAAAGGAAACCGGGCTGAGTAATTACAGCCGCATAAAACGGGGAAAGGAATGCCGCGGAGAACATAGTATAATTTACAACATGTCATCAGTCGGGCAACGCCTATGGAAAATGGAGCTTGGGGGAGCGGTTAACGGAGAACGAGACCGGCAGGATCAAAGCGTGACCAGAGTACAAAAGAATGGTCACACTGCCAAAACAAAAAGGTGGCGGGGTGTCATGTCCAAGGATCCTGGAAACTTGTTTCTCAAAAACAGCTCAGGCATAACGTACAGAGAGTACGAGCGTAAAAAGGACGAAATAGAGAGAGCTTGCAGGAAAGCAGCGAGAATGACCAGGCAGCGGCGGCTTCGACTTCCGGCAGGAATTACTCACTCACACACACACAAAGGGGCCGTGCTGCAGTTGTGTACACAATGTGGTCATTGACTGAACGGTAAAAAGCGAAAACAGGAACCAACAGCAGCAACAAAAACAACAACTGGCGATGACGTCGTCAACGAAGAACACACAGAGAACCGCCATAATGCGCGTCCCCTTTTTCCACATTCCCACTTTCCCCCCACCCAACCTCCTGAAATTTTATATTCCATTCCGCAGACACACACACACACATACAGACATTCGTCCTGTGTCTCGTGTGATTTCACAAAGCATTTCTCTAATACAATTTCTCATAAAATTTCAATTCGAGCTCCGCTCCGCCTCAGCTGCGACAACAACTACAAGATTATTTATGCTTTTTTCCTTGTTCCTGCTGCTTGTTGTAGTTGTTCCTGCCGCTGCTGCCAGTTGCCCGTTTTATATCCTTTTGTGACGCTAAGCACGCGCGTCGAAGCCGCACGGTGGGCTCAAATGTATTAATGGTTACATTTTAAATTTTCTACTAGTATTTTTAATCCTTCAATGTAAATTTGTAGTTTGGATGTACAGAGATGTACCATGTAAGATTAAAGTAACATAAGGAATTATTAAGATTAAAATAAAATTAAATTTGCATTATTTTAGACAACTCAGTCATATGTCCTTTTTTAACAAATTTAATATTTGCTGGTTTCTCCAGAAAGTATGCAATGAATTTCCAAAGACCTCTTATTTGATGGTCAGAACTCTTGAACAAAGCCTTTCCACTTGATTTTTGTGCAATCGAATTTTTTAAAATAATCTATTATTTGAAACACAATGAGCTATTGCACATGTATCTATAAAACTCAAAACCGAGGGAAATGTAATTTACATATTTAATTCATTTCCGGCACGAGAATTACCACTGTGCGGCGACGACAGGCATCGACCGAAAAGCAAAGCACGCGTCCCCTTTTCGAAGTTTCCCTTTTGTTGTCCTTTATCTCAATTGCACAACTGTTTGGCTTTGGCTCGTTTTTCTGCCTTTGCCGCTGGCCTTTGTTTTGTTTTTATGCTTTTCGTTCGTTACATTTTGTGATTCTGATGAGTGTGAGTGTGCGTGTGTGTGTCGGTGTCTAGTGTTCCTGCGAGTCCTTTTTTAAGCAGGCGCCCAGCTACAGTCGTCCATTCTTTTGGTTGTTGTTGCGTTGTGAGCTAAGTGAATAAAAAGCGCAGAAGAAGGAGGAGAATTCGAGGCGCATGACAAGTTTCCCGTCGCAGGCTTTCGGCGCACACTCGCTGCTCTCTCTCTCCTTTCTCTATGGTTCCCCCCAGCCCCGATTCTCTATTTCTATTTCTCTCAGCTGCAGCACGCCCAGCAGCTGCCGTCGCAATCTAATTAATTCTCCTTCTCGCCATCGTTCGTCTATTGCTCGACACTTTTCGCATCCCAGGACTTATTGGTCAGCAAAATGGCGGCCATGTGGAGCACAAAGCGGAAAGCGCAAGGATATATAGCGAATGTATAAACAAGGAAAACTTTTTAAGATGCCTATAGCCGTGCTCAAGTGGCAACTTGGCTATCCTGCCTGGGGAAAGTCGATCGGAGTAGGATGTGCGCGACAGGACCTTCGTTAGCACACACACCACAAACAGTATGTGCTCCAAATTAGGATCTATGGCACTGCATAATATAGAACGAGGCCACGAAGCACTAGACAAAATAACATATATACCTTTTAAGGCTTTACTCTTACTTTTTCGTATTTTCGATTTCTAGAATTCAGTTTCGAACAATTGTTTTACATTTTAATTTATTCACCGAATACATAATATAGGATTAATAGCGACAAATCAATACGTCTTATTTTCTATGTAGGTTTACTTTTTGTATAAATTAAATTTTTTTCATTTAAATTTTACAAGAAGCGTTTTATGGAAATTAAAAATGGCAGGCGATTTGTCCATCAGAGAAAACGTTTCTTAAGCAAACCCAGCAAAATGAAATGAAATCCCTTTGAGAATGTTGATGGGGAAACCAAGTGCAAAGATTGAAAATGTTAAGGGAATAAAGCTCTGCAAAGTAGGCAATAATTGCCCCAAAACACTCCAGAGTATCTACCTATTGCCGTAAATGCTAGCCTAAACCTTGCACAACACCATGTGTTTTAACCCCTTAACCCCAACCACATGACTTGAATAACCTCAGTCGGAAGGGATCGCACCACCCACCGGCGGCCAATGCATCGCAACCACCCGGCGGGGCGAGGACCTGTTGAGTTGACAACTTGTTCACACTTCAGCCACGGCTCGGAACCACCACACCTGACCTGCGGACTTCGGGCGGGATCTGTGCCAAAAGCACCACCTAGTCCGGGGGTATGTTTGGTTTACTTTATGAATGGGAGCGGGAGCGGATGCTCCTTGCTCTGCTTTAACTACCACCGAAGGTTCGCTCTGTTTTGGTTTCCATTTGTTTTTTTCTTCTTTTTTTTTTGGGAAAACCCCTAAATGTGACGAAGACGTTGTGTGGATGGATGACATGCCGGCACACGCCACGCCACCGAATCCTTATCCGTATCCGTTCCCGAGGTGGTGGGTTCAGAGGCACATGAACATGAACATGAACATGTCCAAGAGCAAGAGCGGATACGGTCGGTGCCGGTGTCTGCTGGGGTTGCTTTCGTTTGTTTACATTTTGGGGGGTTTTCCCAACGTCCTTGCACCTACGAGAAGGCCGTGCGGTTCGATGTGGTGCGTGCGTGTGAGCGGAACCACCCCATGCGCCATGTGGCCCAGAGCAAGTGCGCCAAAGTAGGTCGGTGGTTGCTCTGGCTCTGGCTCTTGCCCTGGTGGTGATTCCAAAAATATGCCCAGACATGTCTAAGGGTTACTGCCACTGCCACTGTCACAGTTCGGTTTTTGTTTATAAACATTGCGCAAAACAGCTGATTTTCGGCCATCCCCCATAAGCTGCGTCCCGCATTCCGCTCCACATCCCCCAAAAGTCGGCACTCCGCAAGGATGAATGGTGCTCCAGGCGGAAAATACTGCATCACCTGCATGCCGAGTTCTTAATCGGAGAGCTAGAGCTCGGGCAGGCCAGCTGGCTGGCACAGCAGCAGTCCCGGCCCTTTGCAACCGACAGATGTCGGCCGTTAATGGACGTTCGTGGGCAGGCAGTCCGACGAATTGCAGCCGGCGTTGAGGCATTGAGCGGAGCCGAGGTGAAAGGACAAGGCAGAAGGGATCGAGAACGGGCATAGCTGGCCTGCTGTTGCATTGATTAGTTCACGGACGGTACTGTTGTTAACATCTGGTCCGTCGTCCCCTGCTCATCGTTCATCGATCCTCACTTGGCATGTGCCACGGCCCAAATGACATCTGCCAGCTGCCTACTACTCGTGGGGCCCCAATGCGAACGATTCTATCTACTCGTCCCCGTTTGATAGTTCCAGTATTTTAGTGCGATATCGCGGTCTTTTTTGCGAGCAGGTAACGGAAAAACCTTATTTAACAAGAATTATGGACGATTCGATGTTGTTTGTAAAGAATGACATCCTTTGTATTGCCTCAGTTGTAAGCCAATTGCCCTTCGTTACACAACAAAAAGGCAAAAAACTTATCGGTATATAAATTGAGATAACAAAAATGTCGTTTTTGTAATTTGAAACATAACCGTATTGGCTTGTTTTTATTAAAGCCTCAGGAAGTTATTTTGTTTAAAACCGAGCTTTGAAAAAACTAGAATCTCGATGTCGAGAAACTTCAAGCACAACAAGTGTAAGCAATTCAAATTTTAGGTAAAATCGAAAATATTATTGTTGTAATTTTTGACTGAACCGAGACAATATTATACATTGTCATGTTTTTAATAAAACCAAATTGGTAACTGATCAGGTAGCATAACCGATATGCTGGCTCCATCGCCAGCTGCTTCTCCAGCATCAGCATTAGCGTCGGCATCAGCTGCCCGACCCCACAGGATGCCTTTCCAATGCCCGAGCAGCCAGCATAAAAAACTTGCTGCAAACGCGAACCAAACAGCTTTCCAAAAAAGAATTCTCCCAGCTGTAACTGGACACCGCAGCCCGTAGGGATAAGAATTGGGAATGGGAATGGGGACTGGGATAAGGTCGAGCACAGGAAGAGGGGAACGATTGCCCCAACTGGGAAAAGTTTCGAATTGCGTTTCGAACAACTGGCTTAGGGAACGAAACCGGTATGTGAACGGGGCCAGGACACGACTGCGATCGAAGGCGATTACATACAATTTACGAGAAAGGAGCTGGGGATAAGAGTCGTCCAGAACTGTAACACCATTTGAGACTTCCGCTTTTGGCTTTCGTCAAAAAGGAAGTGCAAAATGTCGCTGAAAATCACGGCTTCCCTGTCGTTTCGCATTCTGTCTGTCCCGGTGGCAGCTGCATTTTGCCACCGTGTTTGCGCAGGCGTACGTTGAACCCTGTTCCTTTAGAAGCCGGAGGCAGGTAAAAACAGACGCAGACAGAACGGCAGATGTTCAAGAGTTCTTCACAAGTCCTTTTGTCGCAGGTCAGTTGCTGCCTCTAGAAGAGTTGATTTTCGTTATCCTATCGGTGTCGGAGGGCACGACAAAGGCTTGTCAAACATTTGTTTACTTTTGTTTGCTTAGAAGAAGTCATTGCCTCGAATGTAGGGGGGAGAGACTATTAAAACCGCAGCTGCGATCAAAATAATGCTCTAAACTGGCCAGAAATTCATGAAACCTTCTTATAAGTGTATTAGAGTTTTATCTTACATCTCTCTCTTTTCGAATTTAATGAACCAAGGTATAACTGAGTTTATTGACATTAAAAATTTGAACCGCACATTGAAAAAGAGTCCTTAATTATACTTTCCACCCAACTAGCAGAAAGTACGAGTACTTTGTAAAATGAACAATAAGATAATATTAAACCAGAAGCCTTGTTCATTAAAATCATTGCCAGCTTTTTGGTGCACACTAAATGTTACACGACAACATTAAATGCCATATCCTGCTCTTAAGTAAGCAGATGTAAATACACTAGTGTCCAGATTTTATATTCGCGTTAATTACTGTCTGTAATAAAATCAGTAGTTTACCTTAAGGAGGGCTTATTATAATTGTTTAATGTAAAATAAAAGAGATGTGTGCGCAAAAAGAAATTAACTATGGAAAGCCAATGCTTACATATATGAACCGTTAGTTTGGCCAGATCAATACCGATCCGAAAGATTTTCGAACTTTCTAGCGCACACTATGCAAATATACTATCAGGATGAAAGATATATGAATGAAAGCTTATGGATGTAGCCAAAATGGTGTACAAGCATCATATTAGTCAACATGGAGATATATGCATAATTCTTCAATTTTAAACCAATCATTCATATGATATAGAAATTCGAAACATTAGGTTTTTTACTTGATCCTCTTGCACATTAACAAATTCTATTGGTTTAGGTTCATATAGACTATCTTGGATTAATACACAATTCAAATATATCAGTCAAATTAGAGTTTAATTTGATATATTCTAATGATGAGTTTAAAGAAAGTAACTACAGACATTAAAAAAAAAATGTAGAGAACGATGTGAGAACGGCTTGTGAGATTTTGACTCAATCTAATTGGATTTCAATGGGTTTCTTCTATTGCAGCTGAATGGCAAGGATTCGTAAACGTTTTTATAATGCTATCTTAATAAATACAAAAAACAATTTTCGTAAAAATGTTTCCCCCACTTGAAGATGGTAGTTCTTATCTCGTCAAGGATTTAATTACTCAGTGATACTAAAAATTAAAAATTGTGACATTACAAAAAGAGGAAACCATGAAAGTCTTATTGTATTTTCTCGTCTTCATGGTAAGCTAAAAGTAGGTTAAACTGAAAAATCATATGGAAATGTATGTACAGTTTAAAACCTGCTTTAAAGTTACCATGTATACGGAAAAACAGGGCTTAAAATTGATCATCGAATTTTAATAAGTGCCATTCGCAGTGCTACTAATACGTCTCTGACTGTGTTCTTATTGGAAAGAAAGAATGCTCGGCTAGCGAATTTGCCAAGTTAATGGAATTAATTCGGGTGCAACTGTTCCAGCAACAGAGTGGGTGGCAGTGGGTGGTAGGGAGGCAGCCCCGGTTGGCGAATTGAAAAATCGATTTTGCACAACTGACTCGCTGCCGCGAATCGCCATTGGGAAAATAGGAAGCCGATGGGAGACTCACCCGATTGCTGCTGCTGCTGCTTCTCCTTCTCCTCCTCTGTTCACCTTTGGTGGGCGTCTCTGGAGGATGTGGGCACGTCACGCACCTGTATTTTCGCGTATTCCAGGCAATCCGCACTGCCGGTGCAACGGAATCGGGAATCGAGGAATCGGAATCGGCGTACGTGACCGAGAAAAGGTGCACATTCACAATGGACGCAGACGCAGTTTATTTACAATAGATTAGCTGCGCGGTGCACATGTCTGAGTGCGTTGTTGTTGTGGTTGCTATTGCAATTGTTCTACTATAAACGTTGAATGCCCCTCCTTCGCGGCAATAGTTTTAACTTTTGTAAATATTTGGCAGCGAAACACTCGCCATTCCTATAAGATGGCTGCTTATCAGACGCTTCGTCTCCAGTTAAAGGAACACACACACTTGAAAGGAAACATTTGCACTGGCGCGATACCTTGTCACTGGGGGTATGTTTATGCATCCCCCGATCTCTGGCTGGTGCCCGTGTCCACTTGTCGTTCCACAAAAGCACAACACAAATTACACCAGTTTATGTATTTTTCGCAAAAAATCTAGCCATGATGCAAAAACACCAAAAACACTGTGACCGAAGGTGTGACCAGATCCGTGCAAGTACTTCAAACCTATTTTAAATACCGATGCAGTGCTAACGAAATCATAATAGTGTTGCCAAGCTGAAACACACTAAGTCGAGCGATACAAATAGCCAAATTAGCTATAAACTAATTATTTGAACAGTTACTTATTACATAAAAAATTACTAATGCATATATATTAAATGAAAATTACATTATTGCAGATTGCAAATTTAAACTCATTTTGATTCGTTCGCTTTAAATCTTAAAAATTATTTGTGCTGTCCAATAAGTGATTTTAAGGTCTATAAAAGCCTTGATTTAAAAATATATTGTGGGCGGCTGTAGTGTTTCTTTTACGAGTTTTATTTCTTGGAACGAAATTAAATAAGTTTTAAATAACCTCCTAGAATCATTAAAAATTTAACTTTCAACTCACTTATCCTTAAAAGAAACAAAGTGTTTAATATGCAGCGAAACAAATTAAATTTTTAAGTTGAACTAAAATGAAATATTAATTAATACAAATATGAAATATTTGTAATAAATAATAAAATATTTAGTTAATAATAAACCAGCAAAACGGAACAGTCGCTTAATTTAAAATAAAAACGATGTTGGCAACTCTGCTCCCAAACTGCACACGTTTTCATCTGTTTTTTCTGCGACTCCAGTAGAACTGCATGTGAGTAATGTACTCCGGCCATTTCATCACTTGACTCACGGTTGAACCAGCCAGATTTATCCTTGCGAACACCTGCGAAAATGCCCGAGGCTGAAAATCAGAACGATGCCAGTGCCCCCGCCGGAGCCGGCGGTGATCCCCCCAAGACTGCAAAGCAGCTGGAGAAGGAGCGTCTAAAGGCCGAGAAGCTGGCCAAGCTTCAGGCCAAACTGGACAAGAAGGCGGCGGCTGCTCCAGTAGCGGGCGACAAGAAGGAGAAGCCCGAGGTGAGTGTCCAAAACAAACTACCAAGTACCTTTAATTGGGGCCCCGAAACGAGGTTATGTGGCCAAGTGAGAGGCAGTAATTGCTGCCCATTGTTTGCTGGTGAAAGCTAAAGTGGTTCTCCATTTACCACCCTTTCCAGAAGCGCACCAAGGAGGTGAAGGAGGCTGCCGTTTACACGGCCCAAACGGCGCCTGGAGAAAAGAAGGATCTGAGTGGCGCCCTGCCAGATGCCTACAGTCCTCGCTACGTGGAGGCCCAGTGGTACAGCTGGTGGGAGAAGGAGGGCTTCTTCACGCCCGAGTATGGGGTGAGTCCATTCAAGTCTTGGCTATGCAATCCAATCTAATATTTTAAGATCCTTCAGCGCGCATCGATTGACGCCCCCAATCCTAATGGCAAGTTTGTGATGATCATTCCGCCGCCAAATGTTACGGGATCCCTCCACTTGGGCCATGCCCTGACTAACTCCATCGAAGACGCCATCACGCGATACCACCGCATGAAGGGAAGAACCACCCTGTGGGTGCCTGGCTGCGATCATGCCGGAATCGCCACTCAGGTGGTGGTGGAAAAGCTGTTGTGGCGCGACGAGAAGCTCTCGCGGCACGATCTTGGCCGTGAAAAGTTTATTGAGCGTATCTGGGATTGGCGCCGGGAGAAGGGCGGCCGTATCTACGATCAGCTCAGGAGCCTGGGCTCCTCCTACGACTGGTCGCGAGTAGCCTTCACTATGGACCCCAAGCTCTGCCGCGCCGTTACCGAGGCCTTCGTCCGCTTGCACGAGGAGGGCAGCATCTACCGCAGCTCTCGGCTGGTCAACTGGTCGTGCACCCTTCGTTCTGCCATATCGGACATCGAGGTGGACAAGGTTGAGATCCCTGGCCGCACCTTCCTCTCCATTCCTGGCTACGAGGAAAAGGTGGAGTTCGGCGTGCTGATCAAGTTCGCCTACAAGGTGGAGGACAGTGACGAGGAGATAGTTGTGGCCACCACCCGTATCGAGACCATGCTGGGCGATACTGCCGTGGCAGTGCATCCAAAGGACGAGCGATACAAGCACCTGCATGGCAAGTTCGTCGTGCATCCGTTCTCCACACGCCGCCTGCCCATCGTGTGTGACGAATTCGTTGAAATGGAATTCGGTACGGGTGCTGTGAAGATCACGCCTGCCCACGACCCGAACGATTATGAAGTTGGCAAGCGCTGCAATCTGCCCTTCATCACCATCTTCAACGACGACGGCTTTATTATCGGCGACTACGGTGAGTTCACAGGCATGAAGAGATTCGAGTGCCGCAAGAAGATCCTGGAGAAATTGAAGTCCCTGAATCTATACCGTGAGACTCTGAACAACCCGATGGTGGTGCCCATCTGTAGCCGCTCCAAGGACGTTGTGGAGCCGTTGATTAAGCCCCAGTGGTATGTCAGCTGCTCGGACATGGCTGCTTCAGCCACCGAGGCCGTGCGCTCCGGCACTCTTAAGATCATCCCGGAGCACCACACCAAGACCTGGTACCACTGGATGGACGGAATCCGTGACTGGTGCGTGTCGAGGCAGTTGTGGTGGGGCCACCGAATTCCGGCCTACCATGTCAGCTTCAGCGACCCCACAATCCAAACAGGATCGGTGAGTAAATCAGTTTTATTTCCTAGCTTTATCTGTGGATAATATTTATTGTTCGATTTGCCAGTCTGCACATGGAATAGTGGTGGGTGAAAAGTAAAGCCTAAGACTTGATTCGTTGTGTTTTATGTAACAAAAAGTTAGGATTAGGTTAATATAATCCCTTATTATTTAGATTTACTTAAAACGTTCTACTTGCTTACCTCCCAGAATGATGATGAGCAGTACTGGATTGTGGCGCGCACCGAGGAGGAGGCTCTGAACAAGGCAGCTGAACGGTTTGGAGTGGACGCCAGCAAGATCCTTCTGAAGCAAGACGAGGATGTCCTGGACACGTGGTTCAGCTCGGGCATCTTTCCCTTCTCCGTGTTTGGCTGGCCAGACCAAACCAAGGATCTTGAGACGTTCTATCCTACATCGCTGCTGGAGACGGGCCATGACATTCTCTTCTTCTGGGTGGCTCGCATGGTATTCTTTGGCCAGAAGCTGCTGGGCAAGCTGCCGTTCAAGGAGGTCTACCTGCACCCAATGGTGAGGGACGCGCATGGTCGCAAAATGTCCAAGTCCCTGGGCAATGTTATCGATCCAATGGACGTGATTTGTGGCATCACCTTGGAGGGGCTTAATGCCCAACTTGTAGGCTCCAACCTGGATCCCCGCGAGATCGAAAAGGCCAAGGCTGGTCAAAAGCAGGACTATCCACAGGGTATTCCTGAGTGCGGTTCAGATGCCCTGCGCTTCGCCCTTTGCGCCTATATCACACAGGCGCGCGACATCAACCTGGACATTAACCGCGTGCAGGGATACCGCTTCTTCTGCAACAAGCTATGGAACGCCACCAAGTTCGCCCTGCTCTACTTCACCGGGTCAGAGAAGTTCGACACGGAACTCAGCGCGTCTGATGCGATCAACCAGATAGACGCCTGGATCCTCTCGCGTCTGGCATCTGCCATCGAGACCTGCAACAACGGCTTCGAGTCCTACGATTTTGCTGCCGCCACCAGCGCGTGCTACGCATTCTGGCTCTACGACCTGTGCGACGTGTACTTGGAATGCCTGAAGCCGATCTTCCAGAGCGGCAGCGAGGAACAGCAGACCGCCGCCAGGCGCACCCTTTACGTATGCCTCGACTTTGGTCTGCGTCTGCTCTCTCCATTTATGCCCTTCATCACGGAGGAGCTCTACCAGCGGTTGCCGAGGGCCAATCCCGCGCCCAGCATTTGTGTGGCCAGTTATCCCAGTAAGTCATCATAAATTCCGGTTTACCCTATAAACTATTTAAAACCATATTTCTCAACCTAGGCAATGTGTCTTGGCGTAGTGCGAAAATAGAGTCGGACGTTGAATTCGTTCAGAAGGCTGCGCGCATCATTCGCTCCGCTCGCTCCGACTACAATCTGCCCAACAAGGTTAAGACCGAGGTGTACATCGTATGCACGGATGAAGTGCCCACTGAAATACTCAAGCGCTACGCCGGTGATCTGGCCACCATCTCATACTGCTCCAAGGTGGTGTTCGACAGCCCCGCACCACCTGGATGCACCATTCTGACGGTGACTGGCCAGTGCGAGGTGCATCTGCTGCTCAAGGGCCTCGTGGAGGCGGACAAGGAGATCGCCAAGCTGCAGAAGAAGAGTGACCAGCTGGTGCAGACAGTGGGCAAGCTGACCCAGGCCATCCAGGCCGCCGACTACGCCACCAAAGTGCCCGCCGAGGTGCAGGAAGCCAACGAGACGAAGCTATCTGAATCGCAGGCAGAGATTGTGCGCATCGCTGCCGCCGTTGAGACACTCAAACTGATGTGAACAGGGAACGGTAGCAACAGCTATTCAGGAACACTGGTGATTGATATTTCAGCACGCTTGCCTCGCCAGCTGCTGGGCTTTACTTAAATATATTCGTATACTACACGCTTCACTCGTAAAAACAGTTTATGCATTTCGAACAGATTATATGTCTCAAAGATGGTTTTTTTTAATTTATTACGTCCCACATATGAAATTTTCCCCAATATAAATAAATAGAAAAATAACATTTGCTAAAGGATTTTGGTTCTTCATATCCCAAACTACCAGGTTAATCGGGTGGCATGATCCGTCTTGCGCTTGGACATCTTGATGTACCCCAGAAACTGCAACTCGGCTACGGCGCGTGTGAAACGGGCTCTGGATGATAGTGAAATTGAAACGATAATCAATGGATATTTTAGAAAGGAACCAAATCTAGTACTCACTGGATCTGTGGATCGATTTGCTCTTGATTGCCCTCCTCGTTGTCGCTGCCACTCACCACAGATCGGAAGGCCTGCAGCCAATCGAATAGGTTTATCATCCTCCCACACTCCAGGTGCAGCTTGTAAACCACGGAAAGATCGGGCAGGGTGCCGACCAGCTGCGACTGATCCTGGAGCTCGCAGCATTTGCACTGCATGTAGAAGTGCGGATTGTTGAGGGCCGTGTGCAGTGCCGCCCGCGGAGCACCGATTATGTTTCTGCGCACGGTGGCAATGTCACTGAACACGAACAGCTCGTGGATCGGGGGTGCATCCTGCAGCGGGCGGAGATGACCCTGGATGAGGTGCGTCCCGATAAGCTGCAGAGTCTTTTGCAGGGCCCGAGCGAAGTGAGTGGTGCAAGTGTTCTGCTGAAGCCGGTTCTTGTCCTCCTTGCTGCGTTGCAATAGCTGCTCCTTGAGTTCCTGACGCGAGCCCACCTGAGTCAGATGATCGGGGGTCGGACGTCCTTCGATGGGTGATGTCGTTGTGGTCGACATGGTGGCCTTAACCACATCATCGACTGACTTGCGGATTGATTCCAGCTGAGGTCGCAGCACAGCCCTGCAGGCTTCGCCAAGTTCCAGAGCAGCAATCTCGTCAGTCAGAAACTGCTCGGTTCTTTCTAGGCAGCGACTCACCTTGGAGACAAATTCGTCCTTGGACAAAAAGCTCAGCATCTGTACACACTCTTTGTACTCAGGCGAGGTGATGACCGCCTTGTTTAGGCAGTTGACATATAGCTCCCGACGCAGCTTTCCCAGCGGACAACGCGGCAGATCGCCGACCAGCTCTGTGAGAAACTCAAGTGAGCTGCGGAAGAGCAAGAAGTGGAGCAGGCAGTCGCGCAGCAGCTGCGGCAGTTTTTTCTTCAGGTAGTCGTCGTCGGTAAGAACGGCTATGATGCGCTTGCAGTCATTTATCTGCTCGACATAAGGTCGAAACGAGGGCAACCTTCGGATGGTCTCCATGTCATCGTGGGTCAACTGCTTAATGCGTCCCAAGGCCTTACTGTAGTCCGTGCAAAGTGCAAACGCATTTCCACCAAAGAAGTGCTCCATCAGGCAATACTTGAAGCCCTGAATGAAACCGTGGATGGAGAAATCGTAATACAGGAATATGTGGGTCAGGAACTTAAAGGTCTTTCCCGAAAGGTGGAAAGCGTACTTGGGCGACAGCAAAACTCTTTCCAGAACCTAAGAGGTTTAAAGATATTGGTTAATAAAAAATTATGGCAACATTTCGGGAAGAAAGATTCATGGTTTTATGTGGTAATGTTTTATCTGAGATAATCAGATAAAAAAATTAAAATAAAATATAAATCGCTTTTGTACATTTGAAATGGGATTAAAAAAATGCATTGAGGTAAAAAAGCTATGAAACTGCCAAAAAGAAAATAAATAAGAGCCAACATAAAGGATAATTGACTTCTTGTATATAAGTAAGCTATATATTACGTAATGTAATTATTGTTTTTCATATTCTTGAATTAAAAATATTTAGGAGTAAATTCTTTAAGATATCAAAAAATTCTACTAAAATTTGAGATAAACGTAGATATTTTCAATTAAAAGGTATTTAAAATTATTAGTTTTAGATCGAATAACTGAATTAATACGGGCGGAAAAGGAATATTATTATTTCTTGTCAGGATCAATCTCTTTACCTCGTTTAGACCCGTTGGGGCGGCCTGCGTCTGAAAAACCCGTAAACGGATCTTGCTGCTGACATGGTAGGGCAGTGTGCCATGAACGGCTGTCATGGCGGTCGCCACTCCCAAAACCAGGACGAATGGCAGGGTGCCGCAGTGGGCGCTCAGGATTAGGATGAGGTCCTGCAGCACGCTGGCAGCGAAGCACTCGAAGTCGGGTAGGATGATGACCAGCTGGGGCTTTCGCTCCGAGTGGAAATTGTTGGCATACCAGGACTTAAGCTGCTTCATGGTGCACTGTGAGCGACGCAGTCGCTTGCGATCCCTATCCGCCACCTCCTCCTCCTCGTCATCATCGATGTCCTCTTCACCCGCATCATCTTCGACGAGTCCGAAGACCAAAGATTCCACGGCGGCCTTCAGGGTGGCGCAATCCCTCGACTGCAGCACGCAGACTCTCGCAGCCTTCTGAGCATGGAGTCGCTGGGTGAGTGCCGTGAACTGACTGAGGTGATCCGGCTGATTGATGCCCGTCAGCAAGGCGGCGGTGGGCAGGACCTCGTCCTGGCTTGCCCGCTGTCCCTGGCCAACCACAAAGTCCACCAGATGCTCCAGGGTGCGGGCGTAGCTGCGGTGTTGCAGGTCGGCAATGTGATCGTTTACCTGGTTCCAGGCCCTGCGGTATTCCGCGTAGAAGGGCTGCTGGACGACCTCCTGACCTAGAAGGCTACTGGATCCCGGAGCGGGACGCTTCCGCTTTCCGGCCGCCTTTTTGCCGGCTCGAGTAGCGCCATTTTTGTAGACAAAACAACCCTAGAGATTTAACAAAAGGAAATGAGCCAGGATGCCTGGTAAAAAGGAAAGAGACACTCACCTTGGACACGGAAATGGTGGGATCCATCGCGCCTCGTTGTCGTGGAGTCTTTGAGTCGTGGAGACGTCGGTTTGCGTTTATTTATTTGTTTAGCTTAGCTCAGCTCTGTTTTGTGCCAATTAAAGTTTGTTCACCGGTAGAACGCGAAATGAAATCAGCTGGCAGCTGTGTGTGTGGCGCCAACAGCGCGTAGTGTTGGGTAACTTTGGTCTTAGAGGGTAGTGCTGGTATCTGTGAAGGCGGCATTTTTAAACTTAGGTTTAAATATAGGTAGTTTGGCAGTACTTATGACATTATCTTAGCGTAAGTATAAACAAAACATCCAGCTTAGAAGTTAATTTTTTTGTACTTACATTCTGTTGTCCAGTTATAATAAGATGGCTCATCCGTCGTGGTGTCCTTGAACAGCACAAAATTGTTCGATAGTTGTAGGTCACAAAGGTCCGACCACTTTGGAGCCAGTTGAAAGGAGAAAAGGTACATGAGAAGGAAATCGAGGAACAGTATAAGGGCTCCTAGGAAATAGTCATTCGTGCGCATCTCGGCAAACCTTCCACCATTGATAATCTGCGCGTGGTACATGACGAACTGTGACGACAAGTGTTGAATGGGATTTTATCGCTCGATCTATTAACTAGTTTTGTACCAACCATCAATATGCTGATGACGATAAAGCATCGAGCGATGATAAACGAATACGGAGCGTTTACCACGATGTAAAGCATCACGAAGTATATAGCGCCAATAATGGACACCACGGCGAGGACAAATAATACCACCACATCCAAAGTCAGATCAAGCTTAAAAAGGATTTTTTATAAATGAATATACATATATACCAAATGGGATTGAAGTCACTCTTTTTAGGAACTTAGAATATAAGTTATTTGAGATTTTTAAAATATTTTGTTTCCAATTTAACTGGTTTTTATAACTTAAAAATTAGTTCAGATTTTTCAATATGATGGACTACCGTATTTTAAAGGGGTGGAGACATAAACTTTAAAGTTACAGAAATCATTCTTCTGGAGTTCGATATAATGTATGTATATGCACTTACCGGTAAAAAGGAGCCGCACGCAATGAAGAGTACCAAAACCAGGGCCCATATGATGAAGCTAAAAAGGAATTGAAATCTATAGTGCCGAACAATCAAAGGTACCATGCCCAGCACTATGCACTCAAACTGAAAATAAAGTCACTTCTTCAAAATCAAGCTATGAATCGCTTATATGACTTACAATTAGCACTGCAAACAACCAGTTTACCATGTTATTGAAACGCAATGCCTCAAAGAAAATGAAAAGAACAAGCAGTACTAGGCCTATCCCAAAGAAAATACAGCTCACCCAATAGTGAACAGTAAAGAAATCGTTTAAAAAGCCTCTGAAAATTAAGGAACGGTCAACATTTAGAGGGCGGATAACAGGACCTTGAATATACATACATAAAGTAGAAAAGAACCCACTGCACCAGCGCCACAATCAAAAATATTCCGGTCAGGAGGTAGGTGATCAGGGCAAATTTCCTTCTCTCCCTTCTGTAGTACGAATTTTTTTCAGGCATGGGTTCCATTGTTAAATTTTATTGTGTGGATTTTGTTTGTGTCATGTGAATAATTGTATGTGATTTGAATAGAAAATGGAGTTACTAGAAAAAGATTACTAGATTAGTAGCAAATAATTTGCAAGCACTGCAAGTTTCTTTAAAAGTAAATAATTATTTTAGGTTTGTAAATCCTTGTTAATTTTTTCCTTTTTTATTTAAAATGAATCAAGAAGAGGTACTTTTTGTATGATCCTTTATAACAAATTTTTAAATAATAATACATATATCATCGACCACTTTTCTTGAGCCATCGATAGTTCCATCCCTAGGGCACTTATTACCTTTTTGTCCATCGCTAAAAGTGTTTTTTAACTGGTTGCTGGAAGACGTTGTGTTTATTTACTAAATGGCGGACCAGCTAAGCATTAAGGTGAGTTTAATGACCACTGTCTTTTGATCTTTAATGTGCAAGATCCTTCTTTAAAGGGCCGCCCCCATAATACGGAAGAAAATGGGAAAGTCAATGAAAACGGGGAACCTGCTAAGGGTAATGTTTATGCCACCAAATCCGCCGAAGTACTGGTGCTTCCCGAAGCTCTGGAACAATTGCTGGCTGTAAAGGATCACAAATTGACTGAGGTGAAGAGCACAGGTTGGACAAAGCCCGAGGATAAGGATAGATCTATAGACTTGGACATCTACGATGATTTGGACGAGGTGAAGCACAACGAGGGTACAAAACATGAAGAAATGGATAAATCTCTGGATTTGGACATCTACGATAATATGGACGACGTGGTGATTAAAAAGGGGACAAAACATGAAGAAATGGATAAGTCTCTGGATTTGGACATCTACGACGATTTGGACGACTTCCAGAAGGCAGAGGATCGTGTACGTTATGCAAAGGGCACTCTTTTGGAGTTGTTCGATTACAATTTTACCATTTTGCAGAAAACGAAGGAGCTCATGGCATTGGAGGTGAAATACGAAAAGGCGATTATCGAAATCGGGGCCCTGAAGGTTGAGAACAAGGCGCTCGAAAAAAAGATAAAGACCATGGAGGTGAACCTGCAGAATCTGCTGGATACAGCCAAGTCAGAGGTGAAAAGAAAGGAGACCCTGATTGCTCAGCTGCGAAATGAGTAAGTAAGCCAATTCTTGATCAGACTTTTAAACTTACCCTGCATTTTTTTCCACAGAAAGGACGACATATGCTTTAGGCGGAAGCGAGGGCGCGAGGTCCAGGAGTCGGGGCAAAAGGGCCCCGAAAGCAAGCGCCTTAAAGAGTCCCAGTCAAGAATAGTTGCCACAAAGGATCCGGAAATGGAAAAAAACCCTTTCAGGACGGCTGCAAAAGAAAACAACAAGAATTTGGATATGAAGAAGGCAAGCATAAAAGATGACATCAAGAAGGCCAGCACAAAAGATGATGTCAAGAAGGCGAGCACAAGAGAAGATCCCAAGAAATCGGACAGACGAAGCAAGTCCCCCAAGCAGTTACAGCCCAAGGCCAACGAACGAAAATCAAGCGCGCACACTCGACGCCCAGAGAACCGCCAGAGATCAAGAGATCGGCGCCACAGCCGCAGTCGGAGTCCAAAACATAACACTAGGCGTGAATCCCACCAGAGTCGTGAGAGCAGTGCCCGGCATATCAGACGACGTAGCCGTTCCCAATCGCCCAGGTCAGTCACACAAAAAGGTCATTAGTTACCTTTATTGATAGCAGCATCTGACTTTTGTTGCAGAATCCAGTTGGCAGGAGAAAAGTCCCATACCGTAACGACCCTATGCGGCGATAAAACGAATGATCTGTCGAGCAAGAGCCCTCACATTGAGTTGGCCAAAATGGAAACTGAATTGCAACCGTCGAGAAAAGTGCTTTCCAAGCAAATTGATCATACTTCAGATCTTAATATAAAGTCCTCGACTGCAATAAAGGAACAACCAAAAGAAGTCTCTGGTGGTTTTTTTTCCGAAATCTCCAAATCGAAACAAGAGTTTATTCCGGGATTGAACAAAATTTCTCAGCCAGAACCCATGGAATTGGTTCATAAGGAAATTGAGCTGACCAAAAAAGTGACAAAGCCTGTCGAAAAGATTAATATTATTGTAGAGAACCATGCAACTGGCTCTGCCCACAGTAAATTAAAGGAGACGACGATTCTGGGCTTAAATCTAGATGTGCCGAGAAATGATAGAAGCAGTAAAATTATTCCAGCAACTCTTTCTAAACCTGAGACTGAACTTCAGGACGTTCTTGAAGGCCAAAAGCAACTAGAGGAACCGCAAGTTAAATTAGAAAAGGAAACAAATATTTCAAATGAACCGAGTGACGTTCAAGCAGATATAAACGAAGACAGATTAGACAACGTAGTACTTACAAAATCTGCCGAAGCTTACACAGAAAAGTGTTCTCAGTTAAATGAAAACACCAAAGAGTCTTCAGAGGAAGACATTCGGACGTTGACAGAAAATTGCACGGAACAAAATCGAGTGACTATACCCAACGCCGGAATACAGATCATCGAGGATATACTGCTGCCTAAAATATCGTTTCCTATTGTTAAAGTCGACAAGCAGTGCGAGCCAACAGCAATCACGAATTCAGCATGTAATGAGGACAACTTTGAAGTGGTTGACCACAACATTCGTTTAGGCGAGACAAAGGAACCAACACCTTCCAGCTCTACCGACGATACTCCAATAAAGTCAGCCACTGTCTTATACGCTAAGCCAGACTCAACGAAGGTGGACCACAATGATGAAAATGACGAGGTTATCCTAGAGGCTGCTATGAACTTGCTGACGAGTGAGCAGGATTCGCCAAGCGTCGCCGATCCTACCTATCCAAATCTAAGTATCGAAGAAGACGCCATTGAGATGGCGTTGGAGCAATTGCATCAGCATTCACCAGACGACTCCGTGGTGACCTCTACATCAAACAGAGCCCTGCAGACACCCAAACAAAACCTTATTACCATGCTCACCCAGTCTCCCATTCAGGGCAGCCCTTTAAAGTCCAAGGAGGCATCAAAGGAGAAATCACCGATGGCGACACCGGAAAAGTCCTGCATTGAGAAAACCCCGCTAAAAAAGAGAAAAGTCAACATGGATAGTTCGACGGAGGCACCGCCAGTGAATTTGTCGGCGGCCAGCGAGAATGTCAGCATGAACAATACGTCGGGAACTAGCTTGTTCGATGAGCCCTCAATAGTGACCAAACGCTGTACTCTGGGAAACACCGACTACCAGTACGAGCTAATAAATGGCGAGACCATATTGCGAGTGAAGCGTCGCTGTCGACGCCGACGACCAGCACCCGCGGAATTCCAGACGGATAGTGCAGGCGACAAAACAATTTAAAAAATATGTAATTTTTAATTTTTATTTACATTTATTTTAAACACGTGAAATTTTGATTTCTGAGTGTCGCCATTTTCTGTTATTCAAGCCGCGACTTAAGTACAGACTTAATCGACTTGACTTGAACCTTTGAGCATCTTGGACCATGAGTAGACGACGAACCAGAAGTATATTGCAACACCTGTTGATTACAATGAATACAATATTAAGTTTCTACAATTTTTACAAAACAAAATAATTAGCTTTAATGTTAATCTAAGATTGGTATGTCCTGGACACACCTAAAATAAACAATATGCAACTTTATATTTAAATATTCAAATTATTCTTGGAATTTAATGTCTTATGTTTAGATAAAAACTCTTACCGAAGCCAGCCAAGATAAGCAACAAGGTAAAAATTACTGCACCAACTTCTATGCAAATATAAATAAGAAATATGAGGTCATATATTATGCGAATTATGCCTATTATTAAGTACGCAAAAACCAATTTTTTAATTTGCTGGAAAAACGTTAAGTATAGTATTAATTTATTGATATTGGGGAGCAGAGGACACTTACCACCCAAACAGAAACTATAACCAAAACGCAGGCAACCAAATGAGCGCTGTGGATAACGAAGGTGAGCATCCAAACATAGTAGGTAGGTCCGTAGTAGTTGTTTTCAATATTATTATTGGGTTCGTCGTGGATCGACTGGTCTTCCCAGTCTTCATAATAGGTTAAGTCTGTATAGTGGATCTTATAACCAATGCCTTTTAATCAGATGCTAAGAATACCTACATTTTGTTTCTAAAATAACTGCAGCCGCCATAATCATATCTATAATAGCGACAGTAAGAGTTCCCCATTTTAGGACACAGCAGCAGCATTTCATAATTATACACCCCATTCTATTTAATCAAATGTATAAAGTTTTCTATTCTAGTTTTACGAGTGAGTATTTACGATAAAGTGATACGTTTGTCAAGATAATTACCCTGCCAAAAAAATTTCAAAGATATCTAGATTTACGACCTTTTGATTTTGAAGTGAGTTAAGAATTGGTAGTTAGGGCTATTAATCAACTGGAGTAGAGCCTCCGAGCTTCTTGTACCATGAGTAGATAATAATCCAAAAGTAGACCGCAAGACCTGTGGTGTGAAATAAATAATACAACTTATTTGTGAGTAACAAAATAATTTCACTTAACCAGCGATATCTCACAATCGAAATTATTTTTTAAATAAAGAGTGGGTGTTAATGTAGATTAGACTCTTACCAATTCCAGCTAATATAAGACATATGGTGATAACATATTCAAATTCAGTTTTGATTATAAAATATATTAGTACTATTATGTCAAGAATGAAGCGAATTATCCCAGTTATTAAGTAACAAATAACTAAGTTCTTGTTCGGCTGGAAGAACATTAAAATGCATTTAAACTTATACATATATCATACAAAAAATGGAAGACACTGCTTACCTTACAAATAGAAACCATAACTAAAATGCAGCCAACAATGTGAGCGATGTGGATAACCAAGATGACAATCCAAACAATTTCCATAGCGCTCCCTGAGCTAGCAAAATCTGTGCGATGAGTTATTAGTAATCTCTTCTAACCAGATATACAATAATCCTTACGTTTGCAGTCGAATGCAACTGCTGCCACCAAAATCAAATCCACAATGGAGGCAATAAGAGCTCCCCATTTCAGCTCGCAGCAGCAGCACTTCTTAATAGTAGGAATACCCATTTTATTTGACTGTGTTTTTGTATACTTTTTTATTATATGCCGAACTGGTGAACGTTCGAAGCGACACTAAACTGACAGCAAATTTCAAGGCAACTTAAATTAAATATTTTTTTGAAATGACAAGATTCATATAATACAAGGAAATTTTATTTTTTCATCGGGTTATACCAAGAAGCCACTGTTAGCCAAAAGTAAGTGGCTGGAACTGTAAGAAAAGGTAATTGTAAAATAGTTAAAAATGAAAGACTTGAATACTTACACAGACTTAGACCGATCTACCAGAAGAAGGTGGTATCATCAAAGGACTTCGTAACAATCCAATTTAAAATTAGGAGCAAGACAAGGAAACGCATTAGGGCAGTGGCTACAAAGGGAACAGTCAATATTTTTTCTCCCTTTAATAAAAAAAAGTGTCAGTGAAGGACGAAAATACATAGTTATCGTACTTATTATGGACTTACCGACACTACGGAAGCAATAATGAGTATAGAGGCGCCAATGTGGAGGACAAGAACCACCAAACAGAAGATGTACTTTGAATACCCAAATCTATTATAGTAGAAGTCGGCACCAGTATAAAATTCCCAGTCTTCATAATAGCTTAAGTCTGTAGACCTAGATTAACGACCGTTTGATTTTGAATTGAGCTTAGAATTTGGGGCTATCAATCAACTGGAGTAGAGCCTCCGAGCTTCTTGTACCATGAGTAGATAATAATCCAAAAGTAGACCGCAAGACCTTTGGGGTGAAATAAATAATACAACTTATTTGTGAGTAACAAAATAATTGCACTTAACCAGCGATATCTCACATTCGAAATTTTTTTTCAAATAAAGGGTTAATATATATTAGACTCTTACCAATTCCAGCTAATATAATACATATGGTGACAACATATTCAAATTCAGTTTTGATTACAAAATATATAAATACAATTATGTCAAGAATAAAGCGAATCAGCCCAGTTATTAAGTAACAAATAACAAAGTTCTTGTCCGGCTAAAAGAATTATTAAAATGCATTTAAACTTACACATCACACAAAAAACGGAAGACACTACTTACCTTACAAATAGAAACCATTACTAAAATGCAGCCAATAATGTGAGCGATGTGGACAATCATGATGACAATCCAAACAATTTCCATAGCGCTCCCAAAACTTGTGCAAATAAAATCAGTGCAAACAAAACCTGTGCGATGCGTTATTAGTAATGTCCTTAAACCAGATCTCTAATAATCCTTACGATGTGAGTCGAAAGCGACTGCAGCCGCCAAAATCAAATCCACAATGGCGGCAATAAGTGCTCCCCATTTCAGCTCGCAGCAGCAGCATTTCTTAATAGTAGGAAACCCCATTTTATTTAACTAAGTTTTTGTATACTTTTTTATTATATGCCGAACTGGTGAACTTTCGAAGCGACACTGAACTGACAGCGAATTTCAAGGCAACTTGAATTAAATTTTTGTTTTAAAATGACTTCAGAGGAATATAATACAAGGAAATCTTATTCTTCCATCGGGTTATACCACGAAGCCACCGTTAGCCAAAAGTAAGTGGCTGGAACTTTAAGAAAAGGTACTTGTAAAATAGTTACAAATGTTAGACTTGAATACTTACACAGACTTAGACCGATCAACCAGAAACTGGTGGTATCATCAAAGGACTTCGTAACTATCCATATCAAAATTAGCAGCAAGACAACGAAACGCATCAAGGCAGTGGCTATATAGGGAGCAGCCAATATTTTTTCTCCCTTAAATATAAATAGGTGTCAGGAAGGGACGAAAGGTAGTTATCGTACTTATTATGGACTTACCGACACTACGGAAGCAATAATAAGTATAGAGGCGCCAATGTGGAGGACTAGGACCACCAAACAGAAGATATACATTGAATACCCAAATCTATTATAGTAGAAGTCAGCACCAGTATAAAATTCTAAGTAAGATATCGACGCTGCTTCTGTAATCAAATTAAAATCACCACCCCTTTTGCGCCTCATCCCTTTATACAAATTAAAACAATTATTCGATGTTTATTAAAGATACTTTCCTGATACTTACATGGCAAATAGCATCCGCAAAGAAGGCTCAAGATTATGTCCACAAATCCAGTTATTAACACGCCCGACGGAAGATCAATGAAATAAAGGAATTTTTCGACAGGTGCCATTTTAAGGAGTTATAGTTTGGACCAATGTGTTGTTTTGCTAACGCGTGGCCAGTTTATTGTTTGGTTGTGAAATTTAGAAACTCTGTGATGACAAGTGATTCAAAGACCACTTGGACATAATAAACTGTGGAACAGCAAAAGTTCATCAACATGGTTTCTACCAAATCCTCCTTTTTTTGGTACAAATATGGAAAACATATTTATCAAAGCATGAACAAATTATTTGTACTTACTTAAGGGGGGTATAGCATTTAATTTTTTTTTTCTGATTGCACAACATTTTGAGAATATTGTGTTAAAGTTTTAGATCGATCCGAGTAAAGCTTCCGAACTTATGGACAGTTGAAGCTCGTTTTGTATGGGTGTCCAAAACTTTAAAACGCTCTCCTGAAAAGTTACCCTTTTCAAAGTCGGTGTACACGATCCTGCAAAATCTATCGGACGGATCGTTTTGAAATTTTGCACAGTTGTTCTCAACTAAATTCCTCAGGTAACGCTGTCAAGTTTTTTTTTTTTGAAAATTTATTATTTTTAGAGCAACAAATATCTTGACGTTTTAGGCGAAAATCGGTGTTTTTGACTTTCAAGTGCCTTAAGAAACCGAAAAAAATATAAAAAAAATAAAAACTTGACAGCGTTACCTGAGGAATCTTGTTCTTTAACTAATGCAAATGTATTTTTTCATTTTGGATGATTCTGTGACCGGTTATCGTGTACACCGCAAAACATATTTTCTTCGAGGCGCCGCCGGAGATTGCCTGTATCTAAGTCAATTTTTAATATTTTTGGAAGAAAAAAATCACACATATTTTTTAAATGTTGCCCAATCACATGCAAAAAATTTAGCTGAGACTATCCGTATCGCCAATACAAATTTTTAAAAAATGACCGATTTTTCACCGAATTAACTATACCCCCCCTTAATAGAAGCTGAAAACATGTTTCAGAAAAAGTTCTGCTTTAAGAGATGTTAAGTTTAACAAAAGAATATTTATAAGTATATAATTTCCATTTCTGAATACGTCAAGTGTTAGTGCGTAATTCTTTTATTTTTTTTTCAATTTACTCCTTAACTAATATAATTATTTTACTAATTAAGCCCTTTTTATATGTGTTTAAAAAAGGGTTTATGTATATTGCTATCGAAATAAAGTATGTAACATGTGCATTCAAGTTTTTATGACCTCATAAAGTATACGTATTCTTTATCGCCATTAAGAGCCGAATCGATCAGTTTATTTTCGTCATTCTGTATAACTTTGGTAGCCATTTGGCTATGTTGGTTTCAATCAAAAATCTCCTTTAACGCCCTTAAGTAGGCAACATATTTTAAAACAGAATAATGATTTGCGGGTCGGCTAAAGCTTTCTTCCGATTTTCTCTTAGAAATTGAGAGCAACAATCTTTGCTTTAAACCAGACATGGTAAGAATCGTTTATCTTTCTAGGTATTGACAGATATTCGAAATACTCGTACGAAAGCTCCCCACTTGGCTTATTCCCGCTTCGACTTGGAGTCCGCCTCCTCGCCAAGAAGGATGCGTCGCACCGCGGGCAGCTTGAAGACCGGAATGGAGAGCACGGCGCCGGCACAGGCGCCAATCCAGTAGACGATGATGTGCTCCAGGTGGCTGTGACCGCGGCAGCCCCACTTGAGCGCCGTGGCCAGGACCGGATTGAAGTAGCCGCCGGAGAAGTTGAAAGCTGCAAGCAGGACATAGTTAAAGGCGTAAACTACTTAAGAGACCAGCATTGGGCAGGCGGATCGGATTGGACAAGCGCTACGCCACTCACCTGCCACCACCAGGCTAGTGCCGATGAAGGAGTCGATGTAGCTGCCGAAGCGTGGCTCCTTTTCGCTGATCGTCTTCGAGGCCAGTCGGCAGAGGAGCGTGGCCACGCCCTCGATGACCGCGCCCAAGTACGGGCTAACCTGGAGGTCAGCGTTGCAGGCCTCGAAGGCCCGTCCGCGATGGGTCTCGGCCAGCTCCAGCCACCAGAAGAACTGCACCACCCGGTAGACGCAGCATCCGCCCATCAGCTCGGCCCAACTGCGCAGCGCCATCTCCTTGAAGCTGGTGCGACCCTCCAGCACGTCCTCCATGTGGGTGTACGGGCAGGCGGAGGCGTCGCCCCACACCCGGCCCCACCAGATGGTCAGCAGGAACAGGCAGATGGCGTACATGGACACTCCGAAGTTGTCGGCCACTGAAAAGGTGATAGGGGAGGGCTTAAGACATTTAACTTTATCTTGGGCGCTAGTTAAATTTTCGTTCAACATAATTTTCTGTAGCTTCCTGTTTCAACTCCTATGAAATGTTCACTGAAAATTTAAGGTGGACACACCAAAAGCTATCGAATTTATATTAGTTTAAAGTTCAACAGAACTAAATTGGTTTTTTAAAAAAATGCTAAGACTATTTAGCACGTGTGTCCAAATCTTTGAAATCTTATTCTTTTTTTTATTATGTAAATATAGTTGGAAAGTTGTTTTTAACGATTATAAAATAAGTTCGTACTCCTAATATCTAAAGAACCGCTTCTTTACTTTTACATGGGTTACAAGGATAATTGTAAAATAAAATCGATATTGTAATTCAAAACTCACCAAACATAATACTCACCTATGATCAGCTCGAAGCAGCAGGCACACAGCTCGGCGGCGGCGATAGCCTCGTTGATCAGGATGGGAACGATTCCCTCCCGAGTCACCATTCGCCGGCTGATAACCCGGGCGATTTGGGCCAGTGCACAGCAGCCCACCATGAACAGGGCACTTATCCCCAGCGCTGTCGTCGACATGTCCTGCGATTTGGGGGTAAATAGAATTTATTTGTCTCAAATTTCAAATTCCTTATTTTGTCCATATCTAAGCAGTGTTTCAAATACATACTTCCTGAAAACTTAAATAAATCAAACTAAAGTGTACTTTCATGTAAAAAGCATAATTGCTAGCATAGAATATTAAGTAGTAAATTAAGAAAAAGGTTTTTGTTTTGAGAAAAAAATGACAAATTAATTATAATAACTTTTGAGATCACATTTTTAAAATGGGATATTTGTGTACGAGTTAAAATTTTTCAGACTCAGAAATTTATATACTAGTGTGCCTTTTCTCGTTTGCAAGTTCGAGGCCGCCAAAATGATGTGCAAAATCCAAATTTTGCAAGCTAGAAGGAAGATACCTAAGTTTGTCTAGTTTTTAAGCTGCTTACTAAAATTATTTATGTTGTAAAAAAATATAAACTCAGGAACTAATTTAGATTTGTATAAAATTAAGTGAAAAAGTTTTTAGTCACAACATTTGACACCGAAATATGTTGTGATTGAGTGGTTTTTTTAAGTCAATATTGCGAATAACACGAATAAAAGGTTAATCCTTTAACCCTTTTCTCAAGGCCTCCTTATCTCTTGAACCTTGAAAAATTTGCATTTCAAAAAACAATGTAAACTTGTGTATGTTGTGTGCAAAAACTATTTCTGAATCCAAAGCACAAGCGAAAACACTAAAAATAAATGTTTGGGCTGAGGCTTGACCGAGCCCCAAAAGCAAATAAATACGAAAATTGTGTTTTGGAAGAAAGCGTTTATACGAAATTTAAAACAAAAATCTTGCAACTATAGTATATGTTTTTGTGATTTTTGTTTGCACATACTTCGCAGTTATAAAAGACGAGCTGGATTAAAAAATCAGCAGGAGGACCGCGTAATGAGGCTGCGAGAATTGTCCGTCGACTGAGACCTAGTATAAGTGATTTATTCGTTGATCACTCTCCGCTCGCCGGGAAATCATCTGGCTCTGCTATATTTATACGCTGGGTACCTGACGTAACAGATCATACGGCAAAGAGAGCGCCAATATTCAAAACAACCGCACTTTACCCTTTCTAAATGGGCAGCACTGCCACCAAGAGATCTATCGAATGGCATCTGGCTTATCGATAATCAGCTGACTTTTTAAGAGCCGTCTACACGAACAGCTGATGATTCTTAGGCAAACCCCTTTAGTGAATTTAACTTAGAACAAACCACTGGTAATAAACCATTAATATACGATCCATTTGACATTTAAAGTAAACTCCATTCAAACCGTGACAAAATTTGTATTATATTTTGGGAAAGATTAAATCAAATAAAAATCTGACCAAAGATTGCCTCGTGTAAACGGCACCTAAAATTGCAAAACCATAACATTATTGAAAGTGAGTGAAGTTTGCATTGGGCAATACAGTTTTAATCGATTTATTAAGATAGAGTTTAATTGTTTCCAGTGTTGGAGCTGCTGTGCAGGATTCGCCCGACAAGGCTGCCATGGAGAAACTGCATGTCATTAGCAATTCAACCGATACAGAGACGCCCCCTTGCAACAGAATCAGCGGGAAAAAGTGCGGCAATCGACCACGCCGGATTCACCGAGTGGCGGACCGTCTATAGCCTGCCGTCCATAAGGATCTTGGCTGCACTAAGTAAGCTCAAAGTATACCAGGCGGCTTTCACGGTGGCCGGAGCGCCCATAGCCTTTGCGCTGGGAAACGCCGGTCAACTGAGCTCGGATGCACTGGCCATTTATGGCACCGTGGGAATCACTGGCCTTGTCACTCTCACACTCGCCAGCTACGCGGCCAGGAATCTGGTGGGCTTCATCTACGTCAACGAGCAGCAGGATCTGCTGAAGCTAGCCTATGTGGACTTCTGGGGACGTCGGCAGGAGACCCTGCTGGAGACCGAGGATCTGCTGCCCAGCTGGGAACAGGGAAGTCCATCCCGACTGAGATTCGCTTCGTCCATCTGCCTGCGCAGCGATCCTAAACGGCGGTACAAACTGCTAAATCGCTTTGGCCATGTCAGCGATCCACAGTTGTTTGAGGGTCTTTTTGGAGATTGATTAAAGTTAGTTTTATATTTTTCTTGTACCGGTAAAGTTGTTATTATCTGAATTACAAAATCATGTACAAAGTTAATTATGCCTTACTAAACTATTCGGAGGTTGCTATTTCCACTTGTTGCTCTGTCGGTCTATTAAAAAATTTTCAAAGTGTATTCTTACTTACAAATTTGAAAGTACTAAGAAAATACTTTATTACAAGTATCTACAAATATTGTTTTATAAAAAAATGGGCTGATAGTCTGTAACCATCCGGAACCTAAAAGGCCATTATCATTTTCCCAAGGCTATGGCCTCTTCCACCTGCAGAAGATTGATAAGTTTATTAATGATTTTACTAATATTATTGATGGTTTAGTAGTACTTACCGTATCCGGCAGCTTCCGATTAAAGGTTTCTGGCAGTAGCAGCGAAAGTAGTCCTGCTACCAGTGATAAGGCCCCAAATAGCAACAGAGGCAGCGGTTCGTAGTAAGAAGCCTGTCGAGAACGTAACCAAATCATTAAATTCCTTGGATTTTTAGAATGTTTTTTCATTCAGAACATTTTTAAGGGCAAAACCATATTTGTTTAAAGTAAGTATGTACAAATTTAACTAATTTACTTTAGTTAGAAAATAAAAGTAACTATGTTTAGTTTTCAAGATCTAAATCCCTATAATTTTGAAGACATCTGGTTTACTTTTTTCTGTACTATTAGAAATGAAATAAGCTCAAAAACTTTAGTTTGACTTTTGTGATAGAATAAAGCACCTCTTTCTACATTTAAAATTTTTGTGTTTTCTGAAATTTTATCAATAAAATAGGACGGAACTTACCAACAGAGGCACAAAGGGAGCCAGCATCGCCCCAAAGCGGGCAAATGTAGACATAACACCGACGCCTCCGCTCCGAATGACCTAAAATGAGTTAGTCCTAATTAATTTACTAAATAATTTAACCAAATTTGCATACCGTGGGCATCATTTCCGCGGTAAACGTGTAGATGACGGCAAAGGAGGAGGTGATTCCCAGTTTTCCAATGAGAAAAAGCGTCACGACCAGCCAGTTGGCACCTGGGAGATAAAATAGGTATTATTGACGGCCAGGGAAACGGGTGTTAAGTGCACTAAGGTCAACCGATCTTGAATCACAATCTAGGGAACTTACAACTCCACGAGTTTCTACCCTCAACTCCGGGCTTGCATGGATTCCAATCTCCTTGCGCTTAGCGGGTATGCACGAATTAGATTTTATTTGTTAGACACAAAGATTTTTCCGTATACTAAATGATTTATATTTGAGACTTAAATTACATTTTTCTTCGATTTTCTAAAATTAGGAAACTATGGTTTGCTATTTACACTTATATTAAAATGAATTGATTTATTTTTGAGAATTACAAATTATTTTTAGGAATAAGATCAATTTTAAATTTCTGAGTGGCTTACCAGTCGTATGAGTGATATTTTTGACATAGATGTTATAACTCGGCTAAATCTTAAAACAACACTTTTTTGTTTCGTCTTATAATAATTGAATACAAAACTTACGAAAAGAGCTATTTAGTGACATATAATCGTATATGATGTTTTAAGTAAGTGGCTTACGTGTCGTATGAGTAATATATACAAACAAGAACAAAACATTTTGTACACAAAAATCTGCCGTTATTCTCCTATCTAATTAAGGGGTTGACTTGGTACTCACCAAGGGTAACAAAGCCGCTGGCAACACACGTGATGGAGCAGAGCAACAGCGATCCGGAGAGGGCCAATCGACGGCCAAGTCTGCGCAAGAACAGCTACTGGTGAAGGATTGGGGTTGGATAGGAAAGATGGTTAGTCACGGTTTAGGTCGGTGTCAGTAGACAACCTACCCATGCGAGGCTATAGCCGGGGATCTCAACTAGGCAGACCAGGGCGAAGTTAAGGTACTTGTTGCCACTCAAACTGGTCGCATTCAACGAAAGCCCGTAGTAAACGATGGCGTTCACTGCCCAAATGAGAAGCAGAATGGCATACCTGCCCATCAAAGTGGGACAACCCGCGACCTGTTTGATTGCCACCCAGATCTTGTCGTCTTTCCGCTCGGCCAGGACACCACCTTCGGCCTCATCCTCCACTGCGGTTTCCGCGTCCAGCTCCTGCTGCTTGAAACTGGCCATCAGCTCAACGGAGATGTCCCGCCGGTTCACCTTCGCCGCCCGTCGGATGATGGCACCAGCCTGCTCCCGCCGATTGCGGGCCAGGAGCCACCGCACCGACTCCGGAACCAGCCAGAAATAGGCCACGCAGATGAGCGGTGGCAGCGACAGCACCAACTGCAACTGACGCCAGTCCGGCAGAAAGACGGACAGACCCAGCAGTGCCTCGCCCACCGCGTAAAAGTAGTTAAGCACGATGGAGGACATCTCCCGCTTCCGCGGACCCACCATTTCCACGCCAATGATGAAGGCCAGCGGATATACGCCGGAAGTGCCCACCGCGTTGAGGAGGGCAAAGACCAGGAAACTGGAGTAGTCCCAAGCCAACGCCTGCGCCACTCCCGTCAGCGCCATGAACACAATGCAGATGAGAAAGACGTGCTTACGCCCATATCTGAAAGGATTGGCTATTAGAAAACCAAGGCTTTGATTGCATTCGGACGATTAAACTGATAACATAAACATTTAAATCTCTTTAAAACTGTTATTCGTTTTTGAAATACAATACTGAATTTGAGTTTTTAAACTAAACAAGAATATTTAATTCCCTGAATTTTAGATTTATTGCACTCCAGTAATAACAAAAAACGCCACCAGTGTATTTCTGTAGTCTATAAATGTATTCCGAGAGTGAAGCAAGATGTTGTACATACCGATCGGCTAGATAACCGGAGAGGGCTGTTCCCACCACCAGACCGGCAAAGTGCATTGTGCCCACGAAGGCCAGCTTCCAGAGATTCTCCTGGCAGTGCAACCCCCACTGCTGCACAATGGTCCGCTCCGGACTGCCATAAACGAACTGCCCGCATCGCTCCGTATCCGCTGTAAAGTTATCGGCCGAGCACCGATCCAAAGACCACGGACTCCAAGGTTCGGATTCGGGGTTACTTCCATTCGGCACGAACCTGTCACAGGTTGCCGGCGTGAAGTGGCCCCGTTTGCTCCAGCTGCCGGGCACGGCAACTGAGACCCAATCCGCTCCATAATCCGGCTCCTCCGGACTGTCGCAGCCGGGCACGAAACATCGATAGGTGGGAGATCCGGCCGTAAAAACATAAGAAAGGCTGTTGGCGGCTGCAAACAGAACCGGCAGGCATATGAGCAGATAGTTCCGCCGCTGGAATCGGCCGAACTCTCCTATTTGGGCGAGGATGTCGTCAAAGTCCAGGATGGCAGCCGCCGCACCTGCCGCTGGAGCTGACATGCCAAGGATAAAAGGACTTTCTCTTCTCTCGAATAAGCGGAAAGGCAGTTTAAAACTATGGATTCCGGATTTCAAAGGCACGTGATCTGCAATTAGTATGAGATGTTATACATATGCCATTCTAATTTTGATCACGCATTAGTCGGATGTATAGCGTAAAATATCGAAAATAGAAATACCTAAAACTAAACGCTTAAAAAAGAGGTACAGAGGTCGGTATACTCAATGTGTTTTCCAGAAAATATATATATCGAATTTTATTAAGTAGTATTTTAAAATAATTGGAAATATTACTTTTGATTTTTAATTTTTTTCTTTTGTTCAATCACAAATATTGAACTATACTAAGCTGCAGAATCTGAATACCTGATGCTTCTAAAACATAGATAGGTAAATAATAAAGCGTACAACGTACATTTTTGAAAATTCTAATGAACTAAATGCAACAGTAGTGATCTTAATGCCGGACATTTTCGAGGCAACAACGGTTTTGCTTTCTTGTCACACTTTAAGATCGATGAATTGCCTTCTGATCTTATTAATTTAAACGAAGCAACATTAATTGTAAATAGTCCCAATGTAGTTGCGGGAATGTACATGCATGCATGCAATCCAATCTTTGCCAATTGAGATAAATTGTTGCATGCCAGTGTCTTGAAAAACGGAGAGTGTTGTAATTGGAATATGTGTTTCAAGTTTAGTTGCTGACAAACAGAGGAGATGCATGATTGATGCGTGCCAGCAGAGAATAATGCATAATGGATGAGCGGTGTGGGAATTGCCAACAGGTATTCCGAACGGGGGTTCCTAGCGGGCTGGCGGGAATGAGTCTCCTTACCCGCAAGTTATTTGCAAAGGTCAGGGTCGGGGTGGATTCTATAATTGCAGCGACTTGGTGGGAAATTCTGCAGGCTGCTGAAATACGTTGGCCAAGTGTCCAGATAAGGCTGCTCCCATTATCTAATCACTACGAGTTTTTAATGATGCACTTGGCGACTCTGGTGTTTTGTACACGCTCATTAGACCGAATAATTGCCGGAGACTCACTGCTAAACACTTGGCAGGTGTCTTTCGACTAATTATTACGTTTACCATTCACCAAATAATACGCGCGATTCCACTCCGGATGTCCGGGTCCGGTTTTAGCTCCGGGTCGCTTATCCACTCCGAATCGCACAACGTCTGGCGAAATACTGAATTTTCTTGAAAAAGAACATGCAAACGCACACAGAGAGGCAAACACAATTGCTATCTTCGTGCTCAGTCTAAAATCAAAGTAGCCGGCATTAAAATCAATACCAAGAGAAAACTTTGGGGGGAATGAGTTTAGGAGCTATGTACTTTCTCTTACAGCGGGAGCCGCTAAGAGAAACGCTTGCTGATCGCAAGTATTTTAACACATTCGGGGAGGATTTTATCTAGATTTCATTTCAGTTTACTTTAAGTGCAGAAAGAACAAGGGTAAGAAGTTTCTAATCCTGATAAATGACGGCAAAAAAATGCTTACGCATGAAAACAAATTAATAAAATTATTTTTTTAAAAGAAAACTAAAAAGTTTATCAACAAATGTAAATATATTGCTAATGACAAGGCTTTATCAAAAGCAGAAAAAAAAGTACTTAAGGGCAGCTATTTGAAAAAAGGATTAATTTTTAATGAAATGTTACTTTACTCATGAAGATGAAAACAAAGTTTTATGGTGACGAAACCACTTAAAAAATTAACTATTTAGCTTTCGATCCGTTCGGCAGTCAGATGTATCAGTTAAACGGATATGCTTATTATCAAAAAATCGTAGATAAAATGCTTCAAGTGACCGCCGGTCAGCTTTACTTCTTCAGTTTGATAAACTTGGAGGCAAACTCGTAGATGCCCACGGAGTTGTTGTTCTTCTGGTCGTACTCCACCCAATCGTCCTCGGAAAGATCGACTTCTTCGAATTCCTGGCCATTTTCCGCCGATGAAACCCGCCATCCGGTTCGGGGTGAAAAATCCACGGGCTCTGCGCCGCGGCACTCGAAAACCACGACGGTCTTGAATCCACCAGAGTCGTCCGCCGTGTAGGGAGCTGTGCATAGAATGCGTGTTCGAATTAGGAACTATACTGTGGCTCGGGAGGGACTCACCATTGGACTTATCTACGATGTCAATGCTGTTTTCCCGACTACACATCTTGCATTTCATGAAAAAGTTAAAGCCAGCCGCATTGCGCGAATCCTGCTGCACCCGCTCAGATTCGGTGATGTCGTGCCATTTGTCCGACTGTTCGCCGCAGTTACTGCACTTCAGTTTCAGGAAGAAGGAGTAGTCCGGATGACACGTCTCCAATTTGTCCACGTTCTCCAGGGTGGCGGAAATCTGGAGACCAACGCGCACCATTTCGTTAATTGTTCAATATTTACATATATTTCAGGCAGTCCGAAATCAGCTGTTGGGCAGTGTGGCCAAATAAAGAATATGTTTTGACTATCACCGTAGTGGCAACACCGCCAATGATAGTGAATATTTGGCTGCAACTAATCGTAAATAACATAACAAAAATCATTTAATCGTATAAAAATATGGATCTGAACATGAAACCTTCTTTGGCTGCCGACGAAATGTTCTCCGAAGGCCCCGGTTACATGGAAATGGACGAGGTAAGCCCTTAGCAAAGCTTTTCCGTTAATAAAACACGAAATACAAAGGGGTCCCAGGACATCTTCGTATACCCTTGCAGACACTTTTATAACTTCGGTCAAATGGTCATATAAATTATAATTTATATATGTACGGATATATTTGTGATCAGCATATCAAGACAATTCAATATGGACATGTCCGTCTGTTCGCTATTGTCCGATTTACATTATAAAGTGATCGGACGACTTTATCTTATTCCTCCCATAGGAAATATCCGGTAAACTAAGTAGATTTAGCAGTCTTGAGGCTATTTTAATGTTACTCTCTATTCCTTGTCCAGTATGAGGTATTCTACTACTCCGGTATTATCCAGTGAGTTTTATGAAAACTAGTTGAGTAAAAATACCCCAAAGTTGTTATTGTTCAATCAAAGGTATTAAATTTGGCCTGCAGAAGATAACTTCCTTTCATAAATTGTATCCTTTCAGTCCGGTGGAGCAACAGGAATGATGATGGACCATCTGCCCTCTAACGACAAGCACGTTCACGCCGACTTCTACAACGATTTTGATGACCTCTTCGACGATGACAACTGGGCCAAGATTAAAGCCGATGCCAAGCAGTAGTCTTATGCAGGATCGACCACAGTTTAATCGAAGGATTGAAAGATCAGTGTCTGCAGTTAGTTCTTCTGTCTGTAATTTTACTTGCATAATCATCAGCGATCATCGGTGTATAAAAAATTGGTTCAACTATTGTTTAATCGCTATAATATTATATTCATTTGGTTCGTATAACTAACGTAAATTGCCATGTGAAGATAGTGCCGAGGTGGTTTTGAACTTTGGCGTAGCGTAAAATCAACAAAATGCATAATTTTGTACAGAAAACGAAACTAGTAACTAAATTTACGATATCGAACTGAGTTGCAGGTGGAATGAAGCAAACGTAATCATGATAAATACAAATGTACACAATAACCTAGTGGATCCATTGAGTGTGTTAACCAAGTTGTACGCCCGGGGCAAAGCTATCCGTCCAACGGGGTGCCCAGGTAGACCATTGAGACCTCGGTGTTGCCGTAGACAGCGGATACTGTGGGATAGAGCTTCTTGTCCGGCAGGCCTGCAAAAGCAAGGAACATAGGATTATGAGTTATCCAGCTTGGAGGCTAATATCGTCGAACCTCGGAAGGCCACGCCCAGGAACTCGTAGTTCTTTTCGAACGACAGAGTGTTGTCCTCGCAGTCGAGAATGACGCGTATCCGCTCGCCCACCTGGTACTTGGGTGCGTTATTCAGAAGCGGGTAGCTGCCCTGCATGTCTCCGTTGTGCAGCAGGTGGTTCTCTACCAGGTTCCAGCCCCAGCTCTGGTCGTCGGAGCCGAGTAGGGCCACATAGCCGTGGCATTGCAGCGCCGCCTCCTTGGTGGATATGCCGATGACGGCCACCGTACCCAGCGGCCCCTCCCAGATCACCTCCCAGGTGTGCCGGCCGTGGCGAAACCCGATTTTGCCCCGAGCCGCGTCTGTGCTCTGCGCCACGGGATTGCTGAGGACAGGAGGAGGATTGTGAGTGAAATTGGTAGATCTACTATTTTGGGAACCCATACCGATGCAGGGTGAATCCGTTGGGCTTGATATATACGTTCCGGGAGCAGTCGTTGGGACTCCAGGCGTGGAAGTACGCCCGCAGCTTTGTCTTGTACGTGGAGACGGAGGACAGCAGGTCGGACTTAAGGGCATCCTTGGGCAGCTTGTTCAGGCAGTGCCAGCGCCAAACGTCGCTGTTCTCGTCGTTGAGGAAGTGGTACCAACTCTTGCACACCTGCGAACAGTAAGGGAAGGTATTTAATCTTATCATGGTTATATAGGGCCAAAGGCGCACCTGTGAACAGTGGCTCAGATCGTCCAACTCCAAGTAGGAGAATATCACCTCCAGGACGTTGTAGTTGCACAGCGCCGCCACCGGATCGACCATTGTGCGGCTGCTCCTCTGCTGGGGACTTGTTAGATAGCTGCTCTGATTTCCCTTGGCCTGTTGTTTGTCATTTTTCCACACCAACCAGAAAAAAGACTCTAGAAATTCGCGATTGGACTCCACAGTGTGCCCGTCCGTATCCTGCTGTTGAAATACCTCACGGCTGAACCAAGTGGCCACTTTGTTTACATTCGCGACCAGTGTGGCAAAACAGCGCCGGCAACCAGCTGCTTGCAACACTGCGTAAATTGATGCGTAAATTGGCGCGCACGGTCTGCCATTTCATTCGCACCCGCACACAGCCTGCTTTGCCTTTCCCACATGAAAACGAAAAGCAGCCACTTGGTGGAAATTTTGTGGCCATCGTGCTGTGCTTAGAAATCGTCCAAATTCGCGTCGCCATATACCGTTTGAAAGCGACAAATCCGGGGAATCTTTTGCCACCTTTCCAGAGAAAATCGAAACGCGAGAAGTCCGCGAAAAAGGCCACCGAAAAAGGGCCGCCGCTGTGAGTGTGTGTGACCAGAAGAAAAAAAATGCCCTGCCGCTGGAAGTGAAAAATGCGCTCGCCATTTTGACTCGGGCGACAGTTTTTGTACAAGTGCTCTCGTCGTCGTGGTCGTGGTCCGCATCCGGATTTGCACACGTGCCCCAGTCCGTGGCAGTACGTCCGAGTCCCTCTTCCACCTCCACCGCCGCCCCTTCCAGTTTTCCCGTACACACGTTGCGGCAAAGGCACGTAGCACTGTTTTTTTGTTTTTGGCGGTACACCAGGTGAGCGGTAAGCGGCAACAACAATTGCTATCCGGCTGCTACTGCTCCACCATCAAAAAATGGCTCATTCAAATATCGGTACTGTGAAGGCCAACGAGGTAAACTTCTTCTTTCGGGACGATAACGGTAAGTGGGCGGCATCCTGCGTCAGGACTTGATTAGCGGTGGAGTGGGTGCACTCGCTCCCACACACACGCCACCACACACACACTCTCACACACACTACAAAGTTGCATGGGCAGCGTAAAACGCCATCTTTGCTTTTTCGGGTTTCTTTTGCCTACCGTATTCATCGTTTGATACGCTTTGGGGGGCCAGCAAGACGAGCCGAAGAGTGCTAGAAATTGGCAAAAAGTAATAATAAAAGACAGAGAGACCCCCGCGAAATAACAACTAAAATGGGTGAGCCACCCAAACCCGCCCCCGCTCCCTTCCAATCGCCCACCGCCCAGTTGGCGCGCTCACACACACATGCACGCGCGCATTTTCTCCCACTTTTTTATCGGGCAGCCAACAGCTGATTACTTCGCCGCTGCTGTGAATTCGCTTTGAGTTGAGGATTTTGCATGAAGCAGCGGACCAGCAATAATTCGTGGATTTGAGCCAGTTATTATTCCAATGAAAACAATAAATTCAACTTCAACCGAAAGTATCTGAACGGTGTGACATTCTGCAATTGTATCAGCGAGATAGAGAAAGACGGACAGGGCGGGAAACAGAGTGGAGAGAAAAAAGGCCAAAACAAGAAAACTCTGCCACACCAACACACACGTATGCATGCAGCCACGAAGCTGAGGCCCAAAACAGGCGAGCGCAAATAGGTGTAAGCGCTGTACACGTGTGTGGTTGTTTGTCGTCGAGTTTATGCGGCAATCCCCGATTGCAATATCTTGAAGTTCTAAAAATAACAAATTTTATTGTATCGCTTGGCTTGCGTTTTTCGCAAACAAAGCCTTGTTGTGTGAATATAGGGCAAGATAGTTTTTTTTTTTAATTAACAATAATAACCATTATATGTTATCATTACCACTGAGGTGCTTTAACCATGTCCATCTGTTCAAACAAACGGATCTCAAAAACTGTACAAGCTCAATGTTAAGCTTCTATGTATACTGTATTCCGAAGTTATTAAAAAAAAATAAATTCTCGATTAACCGCGAATTATCAAAAAAGAATTTGTGAAAATGTGGTAGAACTCTATATTGAATAAATAAAATTCTGGCCCCAAGTTTGTGGTCATGTAGACATTTAAAGCTGGATAAAACCATAATTGATTAAAACTATTTCCAAAATTGTTGCTACCGAATTATTAATGCAGAGTCCTAAATTCTTTTTTACTTTTGTTTCTATAGGTGTATAATGTTTTGGGAGCATTAAAATAACGAAAATACCCTGAGATAAGAAATCTAGGCGTTTGTCATTGTTGCCGAATTTGGGACACGCATAAACGCAGTATATCGGGGTTTGCTGTCTGCTCAAATTAGCGACGGACCCGGTTAACTGGTCGACTGGTGGGGGCGAAATATGGAATTGCTCATCCAATTGCTGGGACTATTTGTTCACTTGAGTTTTGGGACACTGTCTAGGCATAGTGTTATCAGTTCCACCGAATCCAAGACGCCCAGGCCGACCATCTGGTTGGCTAGTCCGGTATTGGCCCGTACTGGAAGCAGCTTAAGCCCCCCGTGAGCCTGATCTGAGTCATTTGCAGATGTGTGTGTGTTCTTAGGTGCGAGAGAGTTGGCAGGTATTTTTAGTGTTCGACCCTTCGCTGTTTTTGTTTTGGGCCCTTTATCTTAGTTTTTCTTCGTATACTTCTAGCTTTGTTATGATTATGCAAATCTCAAACAGCGACAGGTGAATGAATAATTATTACATCGAACGAAGACCATGTAAAACTTGAAATGTTTAGAAAAGCCGGTTAGATATGTATGTATAAGACCAGGGCCGCCGAGCAAGTCGCGAATATTTTGTTTTCATTTTTGATCCAGTATCTTGTGGATTTCCTTAAACAATCATTGATTAAACGGCTTAATGCCACGTCTCGAGCTCACTATATGTCTAAGCATTCATAGTTTGTAATTTCAGTGTTGCAATATTATTTATTGGTTTAATCTTTTAAACTTTAAGTTGGCATTTATTATAAGATTGCTATACCTACAGACTATATATTTTTAATGATTTTATAGTTACATACTAGTAACTATCTACAATCGGGCGATATAGTGATCAATTAAAGAAAATTTTATTATCTACGTTCTACAAACACTTTTTTGGGCAAAAATAAATTTATAACTGGATCAAATATACACGTTCGTATATATAAATGTACATACATTAGTTTTTAAAAGTCTGATTAAACATATAAAGTGCATGTCGAAAGATATTAAAGATAAATGTAGGTGGGCTTGGCCTGAGTGTGAGTGAAATCACTTTTTTTGGGAGTATCAAGTATGTATATGATCTAGTTTCGTGTTGTTTTTACAGATGTCGCGATCATTATCTACTCATTATGTAATATACAACATATTTACTAAAGATAAGATAGAGCACCATGTAGTTACCGATTTTAAATAATCCATTCAATAGGGAATACCGGTCTTCGGCCAACAATCGAGCCGAGTCACGAACTCCTCAGTTTTTGAACCATCACTAGTTGGTTAAGGTTCACCTTCGGTCACGTGCTGGCCATCTCTAATGTCCAGGCGATCTGGTTTCGGGTTGTTTTTGTATATCTGAATCTTTATCCTGGCCACACCACTTTATACACACGCACACTACCGCTCTGCGAGTGAGGCTAACTGTGTGTGTATGCACCCCAATCTTACCGCTTACCTTTTGTTGTTGCATTCCGCCTCCAGTGCGCTTCGTTCGCTCATTTCGCCGTGCGGCGAAAACAACGCATCGTTGATAGTACCAAACTCACACACACACTCACTCTTACCCTATACTCACACGCATGTGTATCTGTGAAAATACATGCAGTTGTGTTATCAAAGAAGGCAATTCAGTCGCGTGTTATGTGTATATCCGAAACTAAGGAACATCCGCATCTCCGTGTTTCCAATCCCGCAGGACAAATAGCCAAGAAGCTGCAGCCGGCCCAAAGCAAATCCGAGATGGAGGGTGGAGGAAAACCCATGGCAGTGGTGTACGCCACGGGCTCATCGGCGCGCAACAGCGGAAGTTCTAGCGGCATCGGCAACGTGGGACGCATGGGCGCCTTCAGTCAGATGGTGAGTTCGAAACGCTGCCCCCAACCCAAAGAGAAGCTTACTGTAATGATCCGGTTAATCTGCAGGGCTCCAGCAATCAGGGACAGTTTATACGGCTACAGGACAACGGCCTGGTTATTCCAAAATCAGAAGGTAAGACTCCATATAAACAAGGAGATCATCAATTAACCATGGATATCTTCTGTTAGCAGGTTCCACGTACACCACTGTTTCGGCGCAAAAAACTTCAGGGACGACAGGCAGTGGCCTGTACGACGTGGTAAGTTGGTATTGGAGTAATCAGTTCTTCACCCGATTAAATCTCTCTTGTATTGCAGATAAAGGGGGATCGCTATGTGAAGTTTACGCCAAACAATCCCATGAAAATCAAATCAAAACTGTAAGTAGCAGCTCGAAAGCAGGCCCAGCTGAAGAGGCTAATGAGTTATCGTTCCCAACCAGCCATGCCATTCAGAGCAACTCCTTGCACTCCATGTCCGCCTCCACATCGTCCATTCAAAGAAAGCGCAAGCCGGACAAGGCCGGCAAGGGATTGCGCCACTTCTCGATGAAGGTCTGCGAAAAGGTGGAAGAGAAAGGCAAAACCACCTACAACGAGGTGGCCGACGAACTGGTCAGCGAGGAGATGAAAAACAATGCGTACGACAACTGTGATCAAAAGAATATCAGACGTCGTGTCTACGATGCGCTCAACGTACTGATGGCAATCAATGTTATATCCAAGGACAAGAAAGAGATCCGCTGGATAGGGCTGCCCGCCAATTCGGCCGAGGTGGGATTCGCTTTACTCCAAATCATACATGATAACATAATATTACCCATGTTTCCATAGCAATTTCTGGCCCTGGAAGAGGAAAACAACCTGCGCCGCGAGCGCATTAAACAGAAGAGAGAAATGCTGAAAGAAATGGTCATGCAGCATGTGGCGTTTAAGGGATTGGTAGACCGGAACAAGCGGAATGAGAGCCAGGGCGTGGTGCCTTCTCCGAATGCCTCGATCCAGCTGCCGTTCATCATTGTAAACACGCACAAGTCCACCAAAATCAACTGCAGTGTGACCAACGACAAGTGAGCCCCTTTCACTCACTATATAGAACTCGTGTCTGATCATAAATCTCTGTTGCAGGTCCGAATACATATTCAAGTTCGACAAGACGTTCGAAATGCACGATGACATTGAGGTGCTCAAGCGCATGGGTTTCTTGTTGGGTAAGTGGTATTATTCAGTCGGGCTCTTTCGCAGGGAATTTAACGTGCATTCCAACTCTTTTAGGTCTGGATAAGGGCGAATGCACGCCGGAGCACATTGAACGAGTCAAGTCGTGGGTGCCTCCAAACCTCGCCAAATACGTGGAAGGTATGGCTTCCTATATTATGTTAAATCCCTTCATTAAACCCTTTCATTTATTCAGCCTACGCCACTGGAAAAACTGGCGAATCCATGTGCGAATCGGACGACGAGGACAACGAGTTAAACGAGTACCCGGAGTCAGCCAATGAATCCCAGAGCTTTGCACAACACTCGGCACAACACAGCAACGATGCCGAGTTTAAGCTGGAGATGGATGATGACGAGCTGGACGACGAAATCGATTGAGCTGACTGTGCCGCCGACATTGCGCCAGCCATGGCCGATGCGGACGCGGATGCGGATGGAGGAGCAGATGCAGATGCGGAGGATACATTTAGTTTTACGTTTATCAACGCTTTGTTAGGTTTGCCACGCCCCCCCGGTTAGGCGCGAGCCCCTCTCCACTCCACTCAACACCCAATCCGACCCACCCATACAATTGGTTTTGTTTACTTCTTAATGAGACTCTATTAAATTATACAGCTCGCATAGACGAGAAAAGAAAATTCGGTAGTTCATGTATGTACGTGTAGTTCACATACACAGTTTGTACTTGTATCATTGAAGATTTATGTTTAAGCTCAAACGTTTTTAAAATAATTTGTCTAGTTAAGCAGAACCCGTATTTTAGTGCAAACCACATTTCATATTTGGCAATCCCGCGAATCCACAGGCCCAAGCTAATGTTCACTCTCTTTTTAGTTGTTATGAGTCTCCCTTTTCCCCACATGCCTTTTCTTGTTTGGGTAGGCATAAGTGAAAACGATAATGTTATGGGTAATTAATTGTCTCTTAATAATATAATATACCAAAATTGTACACATAACAGCAATGAAATGCAATTATTTTTAGAATGCCACAAGCAGTTTGAACTGCAGACAAGAACGAACATATGAAATATGTTTAATTTGCTTACACCTTTCGATAAAACAATCATGTTTTTATTTCTCAAAACCCACAGTTTAAGTTGACAACGGAGAGCAGATAATTGCGAAATAATCAACCTACCTAATTAGTAATAACAATTAAAACGAGATATACATTTTCAGAATTTGTATTTATATTATTGAACCTTCTTCAAGTGAATACAAAAAGCATACAAATACAAATTAGTAGAAAGTCAAGTATAAGGCGTTAACAATTAAGTGTCGAGCATGTAGTTGTGTAATAAATCGAAATAATTAATTGCATGGATGCAAAGGAAATTACAAACAAGTAAGACGAAATCGAACCGAGTGACAAGTTAATAAAGTAATTTGCATATTGTAAAATATGATAAATCAAGAATCATACCGTCTTTCCCTTAATTTATTTGCACAGGGCGCATTGAGAAGCCCTTGTACTACCTGAACTTTAAGGAACTACCCAACAAAAATAAGTCTCAATTCCAACCCACGACATATGGTTTATGTTTACTTTCATTGGGATCGCTGAATAATTAACATTTACAACTAAATGGAAATATACAAAATGCGGAAGCTAACTTAAAATACAGGGACGTACATATACAGAAGCTGAACCGAACATAACTTAAATTAAAGCTAATAACCAGAGCAGTTGCTCAGCTCAGGCGAATCCCTCGCCCAGGACAGCTGTCGTCGTTGACGGCGGTCCCAGAGGCTCCTGCTGCTGGGCGGCAAGGTTGAAGTCGTAGTTCATTTGCTGCTCTAGCGGCGGAGAAGCGAAGGCTCCCGCCGACAAATCCATCAGTTCGGGCTGTGGCTGGGCAGGTTTCACCTGGTCCTGGATCTCTTGGCGCATTTGCTGCGGCGATTTTACATAGCTAATTGGAATGATGCCAGATGTCTGGCCGTTAGTGGTGGCCAGGGCCCAGCCGGTGTTGAGCAGATTGAGAGTCTGCTGGATGTCGCGGGGGGCCACATGAAGCGTTTGGCCTGCGCGCAGCGAAAGCTCGCTTTGACTGCGCCCCACGAAATCGTAAACGGCCTGGGTTTGAATCGGTGCCGTCCACTTTGCTGGATTACGGGCTGGGAGGGATGAAAACACAGGCGTTATTCACGGTCTTATCTTAAGAAGCCTTATCGGTCAGATTATAGCACATGGACGGAGCAAAGTGCTCTCGATTAGATAAACTAGGCTGTGCAATGTGCAAGGCTTACCTTCCTCTTGGGCGGTGTTTGTCACTGTGCCCAGCAGCTTCATAATCAAATAAGGAGCTGTGAAGATGAAGCTGATGAAGGCCAGCACCGGCCAGGGTGAGCTGCCCTTTCGTGGAGCTTGGGGCGCTCCTCCCGCCTGGGGATTGTTCTCGTTGAGGGCCTCGGCAAAAGCCTTCTTGAAGGCCGCCGAAGAAGGGTCCAGGTTGGATAGTCTTAGCCAGAAGAGAATCCTTTAAGGGTAGAGATGTTAGTATATTAAAATAGCATACTTCTACACCATACTCACTTCCTGTAGATCCAGTTCAGGCCCCGAAATATGGCAAACGTCGTCCAAAACTGGGCAAACACACTGCGCAGCCGTCCAAAGTTCGCCGCCACGCCAAGAATGGCCCGGAACGAGCTGGTCAGCGCGAAGAATGTGGAGTCCAGCATGGAGGCAATGTTGCCGATGGCCGAGACCAACGATTCGATGCTTTGGAAAGCCGGACGTGAGCTGGCTTCTGCCATCTGAATGAAACGCTGCTCCGGATCATTTGCGCCGGGTGCTCCGTATCTGTTGTATGCTCCGCCAAATCCTCCGCCGTAACCGCCACCATACCCGTAGGAGCTGCCAAAGCCGCCCATTCCTCCGTATCCAAAACCGCCGCTGTTAAAGCCACCGAATCCACTAAGGCCGTAATTGTTTCCTCCGTACCCGCCACCGAATCCACCGTACTGCTGGGTCTGCTGAAACGGTGACTGAGGGAGGGGAGGAGGTTGCACCGGACCGGGCAGCGCCCTTACATTGCCGTAAGGCGTGCGCAGCACTGCCTCCGTCGAAGGTACTCCGCTGGACACGCCCACTCCGAAGTTGCTCGAGGGCGGCAGCAATGGCGCATCGTTGATCACCGCGCTGCGCAGATTGTTGTTGTCGACCATGGTGACCGATTCCGACTGACTCCGGACGAAAGGAAAAGTGCCGTGAACTTTACCCCGCGGCACGACAGTTGGTTTTGTACTGCCAGCTGCGAAACTTGATCGGCGAGCTCTTGTTTAATCTTGCGGGCGGGTTATTCAGATTCGCTCGCTCTGGTTGCCTCTAAACTCCAGCAGAAGCTTGCCAATGAAATCGGACAGATTTTCGTTTTAATAATTAATCAATTTTAGCAGTAGTACCGTTTTATATTTTTCGAGCTGTATTTAGCGGGAATTTAGCTAAAAGTTGAAAACAAAAGATGGGACTTTAGAAGTGTGACCGTTGAGGTTTGGTATTTATAGCTAGAATTAACGGTCTTTTATCTTGAAAGTAAACTAACATTTTAAAGAATTGTAAACAACATAATTTAATATAATTATTTATGTAAGCAAAAATAATTAATAATTACTTAACTAATAACAGCATCGTGATATTCGACTCTAAATTATGATAATAGATACTGTGCTCTTAAAATGTATTGAAGAGAAAATATTGGGTTCATTCCGGGAGGATTGCGATTGCCTAGTAAGTGTATTAAAAAATATTGTTTTTGCTTAAAACTAATATTTGTTTTGATTAATACTTTAAGAGGAAAAATAAAAACTAATCCGGGAGTATTCAAGCATTTTAGATAAACTCACACAACATATATTAAACAACTTTTGTTGGTATTTTTCTGAAAATTTTGAAACTCTAAATTTCAAGGTCCCTTTTACTGTAAAATTAAACCTAAACCTACTAATCTGAAGAGAAAACGAGTTTTACTGTAGTTAACTTTTATCTTACGGGGTGTCAACCCTGCCGGGCATCACCAATTCATTAATGAACTGTAAAACAGCTGTGGAACCAGTGGAACACAATATGAGTTTTGATGCCGACTGCGATGAGTTTATTCAAAACAAACTATATCGCACCAAAGGCAAATGTGGTAAGTATATTCGCCTAGATTTTGGGACCCAGAAAATATACCCGTGAAAATCCACAGCTATATATGCGCGCCAATCGGATGTGTATGTGGCGGTGAAGCACAAGCCCACTCTTCGATCCACTGCACCCACTTTGGCCATGGCGGAGAGCAACAACAATGTGGTTAGCATGCGACATGACATCTGGTTCCACATATCGATGCATATAGATCCGGAGGACGTGCAGTCCTTCGCTCTGATTTGTAAACAAACCGCCGGACTGGTGGCTTCGAGGGCCTTTTGGCGTAATCTATACCGGCGCTACTGCAACGGAGCCACCTCGGGCTGGAATCTGAATCTGCCCGCCCATCTGCAGCCGGAGCAGATGCGAAACTGTGATACCCAGACACTCAGATCCCTTGTCATCCAGGCGCTCTTCCGCTGCCATCGTCCGCTAAAGGTTCGCCTGGAGCTGGGCTACAACCTGGACTGGCTTGTGCAGCGCACCTTCGTGACTTGCTGGCTGAAGCAGTTCCAGTGCCTGTGGATCATGTGCTATAAGTTCTTGAACCGACAGCCTAATGTCCACAACGAATCGGAAATGGAAACCAGCGAGGTAGTTAATGATTGGGAATCCCTCGCCGAAGATGATGTGGGACAATCACATGTAACCCTTGAAAATCACAATGAGGGGGTGGTTATCCTGGTTGTGCTGTGCCGACACTTTGAGCCCACTCCCACTCAGTTGACCTACAGCAATCAGCAGGCACGCTACCGTCTTCGGGCCACCCGCGAACTCCTCTGCACAGATATGCGGGCCAAGAACCTCGAACTAGACTTTGCCGAAGATGGCTGCCGAAATGTATCCGTAACCGTTAAATACTCTCGCATCGAAAAGTACAAAGTGCTACCCTGGTGGCATCCAGATTTCAACAGTTTTATGAAATAAAACTCTCATCCGCGACTTCTTTGTTATCTACTGCAGGTCATATATTCCTTATCTACACTATTGTAGTGTTCATACCTTATCTTGAAAGCTACCGCCCAAACAAGTGTTCGACATCAAAAACAAGCACCTAGCATGGATCGTTTTTATTCAAACGGACTCGGGAGTTACATACTTCTGGAGGGAAAATCACATTTGCATACCTAAAAAATAAAACAATCAGGTGCATCGTCGTGGTAAAAAAGCGATTATGTTTAGGGACTACAACTGGAAGAAGACTGTTCATATATACACACACTTTTATCTTAAACATAACTCTAGCGGCCACGAATACAAAACATTCAAGAGGTGGTCTATGTAAATTCCGGTTTTCAATGTTCGGTGTCTTTTCTTTAGAATTAATGGAAGTGCTTCCGTGGATTACCCTAAACCTTGCCCAAAAGGTCGTGGCCATAGGGCTTCTTGCGATAACCCTTGAAGGCGAACAGCTTGAAGGCCAGCACCATCATCACGATGCAGAAGGCGTACAGTAGCATGCCCATTCGCATGTCGATGTCGGTGAAGACGCTGGAGATCTGGCGCTTTTGCCGCATCTTATCCGCCGTGGGATGCAGCAGTTCCTCCCGCTGCACTCCGTACCGGCTTACGAACTGCGGATTGTGTATGTTCTTGAGGAAGCCTAGCACGGCGTCCTTGTTCCACTCAATCTCCAGGTTCTCCGATTTGGAGCCGGGCGATCGGTAACATTCGCTGCAGCTATCCGGTGATGGAAACTGCTTCTTTGGAAATTCTGGATCGTCAGTGGCGTCGCCCGCAAGTCGCTGGTTCACCTCATTATGGGCCGCCCACAACCAGAGGACCGCCTCCTCCTTGTTCGGCACACTCCAGATTTTTCGCCTCGATGCCATTGCCTGTGAAGCGTAAACAAATGAAATTACTCAATATGTGAGCGCATCGAAAAAACAACTGTTGGCACAGCTGCCGAACGAAGACCTACTTAATTACAGTGGTACCTCGTTGGGGATCCCTGATATTAATAGAATGGGAAGATCATTCCGCCTTAATCACTGAACCTTTTGATAATTGTAATGTTTATTTGACAAGTGTTGTTTACCTAGAATCCACTTATAAAACAATGGACCGAACGTGGTTAATTTTTCTGACTAAATTACAGTTCCGCAACGTTAACATTTTAGGCGGAACAATAATTGTTAATTTACATGGACCAATACTGAAATAAACACGGAGATGACTTAATGAACTAGCATTTTAAGGTGATCAAGAATATATACTTAATAGTATCGGCAACTGTTATTGTAGCAAGTTACTAACATAAATATACACAAATACAATAAGCCCTAGTAGCCTGTGAATACCTCGAATAGGTAATTAGCCTTTGGAGAAAGTGAGTTGTATGAGTCACGGATTACAAATAACAAATAAAATCTTGCTTTAGAGCTTGGGTCAGAAAAACTCACAATACAAAATGTGACTATATCGTGGTTATTCAATTAGTGCAATTATACAAGCAAAGTACGTGTAGCGAAATCAATCATAGTAAGCACCAAAGAACACCCGTAAAACCCAGTTTTCAGAGCTGCTGATCTGAAGAATACATTTTTTTATGAACTCGGCATTAAAATATATACAGGTGTAGCTGATTTAATGGTCTATTTAGGGAGGTAAATTGGTTTTGTAGGAAAAAAATCGAATTATCATGCATGGAAAATTCCCTCTGTCAGCACTCAAGTCTTTTGTTTGGTAATCAACTATCCTCCCCCCCATAACGATTGCCTTCCTAATCAGCACTATTGTGGTCATTGGCACGTAGCTGGTCGCCTACTGACTCACCTGAAAGTGCTCGGAGCACTCTGTGCAGCCGAAGAAGTGCTTGATGTAGCCGTGCATGGCTTGGAGGACTTCTAGCGGATCCTGCGAGTCATCGTTTCTGGCCGCCTGGACGGTCATGAAATGGAAGAGGGTCCACAGGGAGCAGCTGAAGCCTCGTAGTCGTGGACTGGAGCCGGCACATCCCACGAAATGAGTGGAGGAGTAGACAGGTGACTGTTGCCCCTCCAGACGCTTCAGCTCCTCCTCGAACTCTTTGCCAGTGAGAACCTCGTTAAACTGGACCACGTAGTCCTTTAGCTTGGACACCAACTGATGACCATTAGCTCCTAGCGGATTGTACCGCTGCAGCACGGCCAGGAAGCGCTGGAGGGCAAGCAGTTTCTCGCCGCTGATCTCGCTCACCTTGGCCACCTCGTTGTGTAGCACCGTGCGAATGGCCTGCTCGAGGTCCGCCTGGTAGACGAAGTGCTTGTTCCGCTGCACTTCCTTGATCAGTTCGTTTTGCCCGGTGATCTTTATCGACGGCGTGGACACCGGTTGAGGAACCTTAATTGGTCTGGGGGTAATATTCTTCTTGCCCAGCACTTCCGCCAGCTTTTTGGCGTACGATTCACCGTTGGCATATTCCGGCGCGTACGCCTCAATCTCTCCCAGGCGATTCACCAGGCTCAGTGGCAGATTGGCGGGATCTATCTTAAACTTGGCTGAAGCTGCGGGATCAATGACGCGGCGCACCTCCACCGCTGGCCACTGGGTCATGAACAGAGCCACCTCGATGCCGAGAGTGGTGTTCTCCGGTTCGTGGACCACGGCCACGTACTGCTTAACGCTGCTGAGACCTTCGAACAAGCTGCTGGCGGAATCGTTCTCCGTGAGGTAGTGGACGTTGGGCCAGTAGGAGTTGTTGTGGCTGCTGGTCAGGTTCTCGGCGGCCACCATTCCAGCCAGCAGTTCGCGGATCTCATTCACATCCTGCGTCTTCAGATTCTGTCCAAAGTGCTGGGGACCCGGCTGGAAACCGGGACCAAGGTAACGCAACGTGGGATAGCCCATCACCTCGTAGTTTCGGCAGACGGCATTGTTCTCCTCGGCCGCGCAATCGATGGCGGCCACAATGAGCACCTCAGACCAGGGCAACAGGTGCTCCGCTACTGTCTTGTAGGTGGGTGCAAATCTGCGGCAATGTCCGCAGTATGTGTTGTAGAACTCGACGAGTGCTCCGCGATTCTGGTCCACCACGGTGGAGTTAAAGTTTTCCACCGTCAACTTGACGACCTTGTCTCCATCGTCGTAGAGTCCCAATGTGGGGTCCTCGGGAGCGGACTGCTGCTTTAGGAGCGCCTCGTATCGCGGAAGGGGAACGCCCGCGGATGTGGAGTCCAACAGCAGGCTAATTGCTAGAATCACCAAATACGCCACCGACATTTTTCGGATTTTCCGGAATTGGGGGAGCGGTTGCGATTCGTACGGAATGCGATGTGGAACGCGACTGATACGATAAGATTCAACTTAAGCAAAGCATTTGGAATGTTTTACGGTCGGTTCGCAAATGGTATGATTAACTGCACTCTCTCTGGAGATGGGCGCGTGACTGGCTTGTCACGCACGGCCCGACCGCCGTTAGAAACTTGTGGCTCAAATAACTATCCATTGACAGATTTAAAAAACAAGTTTTTTTTAATATTAAGAAAACTAATTGGAAAATATCCAATTAATGCTGCGTAAAACAAATTTGTTAACAAGGTGTCACGGTTAAATTAATGAGGCCCGTGCCCATATCTAACTGTCAATGACTTTATTATCACTGCGAACTAGTTCTAGTAAGAAATAATGAACTTTTAGGCAAAAAAACTCGGTTGCTTTAGTAATAACCGAAGCTAAATAAGTCGAAACAGTAGTATTTATATTTAAAACAATTGCTGAAAACTTAAAGAAAATGATTTTAAAATGTTCTTTGTTAAATTCCATTAAAAACCACGTCTTGATTTTGTATATGTACAACAAAAGTAAACTTTAATGCTTTTACAGGAATGGACTTACCCATTGAAATACTACGAAACAAAGCGAGGCTTGACCTGGTGTGATTGTTTCTTATCAGTTCGTTAAAGTATTATTTATTATTGAACAACTCTTATCAAGCTGTTTTTTTGTAGGATCTGCTAGTTTCACAAATGTTTTATAATGTATTTTCTTAGTCAAAAGATTAAAATTAAGTTTAAGAACATTAAACATGTAGCGGACCTTTCCAGCATAAAATCAATTGAGTTATAAGTTTATTTTAGGTTCTTCTAAATTTTTTGAAATTTAATACATTTTTAGAGTCACTAAGAGTCATAGAGTCATACAACTTTCGTCACACTTGAACTATTTTAACGGTTCATTTTTAGTACTTTTATTTTAAATGGTTATCAATTTTACCGTTAACAGCTATGCCCAGAAACGATTTCCAGCACTTTTAAATTAGATAAATTTATAGATTCACATAAAACTTTCGTCACATTTGAATTAATTTAACAGTCTACTGGTTCATTTTAGTACTTTCATTTTCAAACGGCTATCAATTTTACCGTTAACAGCACTGCCCCGAAGCGATTTCCAGCACTGTAAAAAGGAATCACTGTGGGGGTGTAAAAATAACGGGAGTAAAATGATTTTGCGCCCGTGGGATCGGGTTAAACCCCGTTCCATGTCGGATTTGGCGTGTTTCCTGCTTGTGGCCATCTTTGTGCCGGTGACATACATCTTCCAGGTGACCACTGTGATGCCGGAGCTATTTGCCATAGGAGGCTTTTGGTACACGGTACTATGGCTGGCCAGCCTGTTCGTCATCTTCAACATCACCTCGAACATGCTGGCCTGCATGTTGGTGGATACTAGTATCAGAAGTGGGTACCTTGCCATTATATTAAAGTATATGTACTAAGATTATCTTTCTAGTGGAGCTGTTAAAGCCACCAGTGGACACGGGGAAGTTAGCGAGGTGGCACATGTGCCACGACTGCCAAACTCTGGTGCCACCGCGCTCCTGGCACTGCGAGGTGTGCAAGGTGTGCGTCCTGAAGCGGGATCACCACTGCCGATTCACCTGCTGCTGTATCGGGCACCACAACTACCGGTACTTTTTCTTCTATCTGGTGTACATGATTATCGGATCCTTGGCGGCTGCCATAATGGAGAGCATCTACCTGTGGCACCTCCATCCGGATATCTACTGGCGGTGGTCAACTCTGTTTACCGTCTTCGCTCCCGTCGTCAGCCTAATGCTGTATCCCAGCTGGGCGTCCTTTTACGTGGTAATATATGATCTCACCCTTTTAGGCTTCGCCATATCCTCGCTGCTTCTGGTCTTCCACTGGTCGATAGTCAAGAGCGGTTCGGTGACGAGGGAGCGCGGCACGAGGAAGTACGACCGAGGTTTGCGGGGCAACCTGGAGATGGTGCTCGGTCACAGGATGCATCTCACCTGGCTCTCACCTTTCTTACGTAGTGATTTGCCTCATGATGGGGTGAACTGGGAACCAATAGTAGCATTCTCGCCCAAGGAGGACTAGTTTACAATTGTGTCTTATCCATCGTTGACGTTAATACCGGATTATTGTAAAGATTTGTCGCATTTACTAATACGTTAAAATTGTAGTATCAAAATACTAATCAAGGCGGTGTCTTTATGGTTATACTGAAACCAACTAGTCAATACCTGAATCTTAATCAGTATTTATATCGTTCCACCTCTATAATATCTAAATCGCCTGTTTATATAAGCTTGGCTTGCGGAGACCTTAGTAGTTATTACCTAATGACTAGTATTATTATCCCATATTTTGACCAAGAAATATTTGCTTGGAAGTCATAATTTTGAGTAGCGACACTTTTTTTATAAACCAATTTTTATATCAAGTACAAAAGAGTTTTATTAAACTAAAGCTTTACTAAATATCAAGAATATTTTATTTTAAGTGATTAGTATTTATTCAAACAAAAAATGTACTTCATTTTTATGGTAATTTATTTAACAAGTTTTTTATATCAATTACAAAAGTATATTATTAACACAAGACTTTACTACTTATCGAGGAAACTTTCGCCTACCAACGACTTAAGCTTGGACAGGTGTACTTCATTGAGCGTAAATCCTTCATGGATGCGTTTAGCCAATGCACTGGAATCCATATTGTTCTCTACGGCATACTGCAGGACAACCAGCGCCTGGCTGGGTGACTTCTCCAACACGCTGGCCTCCACAAACTCTTGCAGAGCACTTTCGGCTGGCGTTCCGGGAATCCTGTGCTGGTTCTTGTCGACGTGGGCGAACACTTCACAAGCTTTTTCGAAGTTACCTCCGCGAACTAGCAGCGTGAGGATATCTCCCAGCATTTGCCCGGTGAAGGAGACCTTTCGTAGGCGCTTAATAGCGTCTTCTACCTTCTCGTACATATCTAGGGCCACCTTGGCGCCCTGCTCCGGTAGCTGTTGTTGGGCGGGGGATTCACCACTCGGCTTATTGTCTACCAAAATGCGAAGCACATATAGAAGAAGGCTTTCGCGGTGCGTGTGATCGAAAACAACCATGTCCGACCAGATGCGTGGCACATACTCCACCCCGCCATTGATCTCGACGGCTCTCAGGATCTCCTCCATGATGCCCGGCTCGGGGATGTAGATGTTGGGTACCAGCAGGTCGTAAGTCAGCATGAAGTCATCGAGCGACTCGGTTTGGCACAGCAGTGCTAAGTAGTTGCGATAATAGATCGACTCTTTGAAAGAATCGCCTACCAGATCGTAGTTCTTGCCGGTATGCAACAGCTCATTCACCTTCTTGGCCAGCGATTTGTCGTGTAAGTGATTGCGGCACACATCCATGGCGGTGGCAAAGAAGTACGTGTCCTTGGGATGCTCAATCTGGAACTCCTTGCCAGCGATGTCGTTAAGAATATCCACAATAACGTGTGACACTGGTCCCCTTTCCCGGCAAAAGATGATCAGCAGGTAGTAGTAGGTGCCCAGGCTGGGACTCACGCCTAGTTGCTTAAATTCCGGCAGCACCTGAAGGGCAGCGGAGCGTGCTAGCTTAAAGTTGCCAAAGGTGCTGATGCACTGAAGAACAGAATTCAAAGTTCCCAAATTGGGTCTTAGCTTCTGCTGTGACATTTCCTGCAGCAGCTCCGTGCAGAGCTGCCAACGCTGCTCGGCCGTGTCCTTCAAGAAGCTTACTATTTGGATAATGGAATTAAAGGTGTTTGTGTCCAGTTGGATCTGCTTTTCACCGGCCTCTTGCAGCAGTGCATATGCTCGTTCGCACTGCAAATACTTAGCCATACCACGGATAAGGGAGGCGTAGGATTGCGGCGTCTTTGGTTCGATTTCGGAGTATAGTTTCTCTGCCAGATCCCCATCCTTCCAGGTCTTGGCACTCCGCTCACGGCGTTGGTTGTTCTGCATGAACCAGCGCTCCTCGATATACTCCTCCGGCAGTGGTTCCTGATTGTTGTGGAAGCACACCAGCTCCAGAAGGCTTTGCTTAAGATCGGGGCTGATTGAAGTACCCTTTTGTTCAAGCAGGTTGTAGACCAGGACAGCATCCTTGAGTTCACCTTGGCTAATCAGTTGGCGAAGGGAACTCTCCTCCACGTGGGAATCTTCGGTGTATACCATGCTGGGTGCGAATTTTTCGACCGCTGGTTGAGCTTCTTGGTGCTGAAGGATGGAAAATCGTTAGATCCGGGTAATGTTCCTCCTGACCACTCACCATAAATAGCTCGCGGTGCTCCTCCTTGATCCATTTGGCCGCCTTGCGTCCAGATTCCTTTGACATGGCGTAAGTGCGTTTCGCCGCATTGGACATTGGTATCAGGAATGGGTCATCGTGGTATTTGTAGTGCGGAGCAGTGTGGTCCCTGCCCACGGTGCCGGCCAGCGCTTGGAGAATATCGGTGGGCGAACGCTCGATCCGATTGGGAATCTCAATGGTGGAATGGGAATCCTCTGCCGGCGCTGTTGTGTAATGTGCTCCGCTGGAACTCAAGCTGCGCGCAATGTTCGCCCTGGGCAGCAATCTCAACTGGCGCGAGAGGTACATGGTGAAGCAGGTATGCCGACAAATTACCCTGATTTTCAGTTATAAAACCAAAAAAATTAAATGTTTTCCTGGTTTTTAGTGGCGAAAATGCAGGTGCTTCTTCTTGCTCCGAAAGTGTGGTCGAACAGCTGTTCCTAACAGCAGGCTTAACAGGGCGGCTAACATTTATTGTTTTGCAACACTAATTCAGGGCTGCTACATGTGTTTAGAAATAAACGTTACATTTTAAATTCCATCCATAATTAAGTTCTTTTATATCCAAATAAGTAGGAGCGAAATTTTAAGTACTAAGATTGTAATTATTAAAAGTAATTTCTCAAAATTGTTAATTATTGTATTTTTATAGTGGGGGACCCTGAACTGTTTCAACACAGCAACTGCAATCCCATTTAGTTGCTGATCGGCTTTCAAGGCGTTCGTTTGTCTGTTTTTCTACCTGATATTTCCGATATGTCTCAACCTAAGCCGATTTTGTACTACGACGATCGCAGTCCGCCGGTGCGCAGTTGTCTTATGCTAATTAAGCTGCTGGATATCGATGTGGAGCTACGGTTTGTGGATCTCTTTAAAGGCGAGCAATTCAAGAAAGACTTTCTGGAGGTAAGGGAGGCAAATTTATTCAGTGATAATTCATTTATATTCTTTGCTTAACAAAGTAATCTTAACTAATTAAAATGTATTGTAAGTTTTAGTCTGCTAATATTTTAAAAATATTAAATATTAGTTTTTGTGTAGATAAATTCGGAATCTATTAAAAATTTAAATTTATACAATTTTTCAGTTAAATCCCCTGCACAGTGTTCCCACATTGGTGCATGGTGATCTGGTTCTGACCGATAGCCATGCTATACTTATTCACCTGGCGGAAAAGTTCGACGAGAGTGGAAATCTGTGGCCTCAGGAGCACGAAGAACGTATGAAAGTCATGAACCTCCTGCTCTTCGAGTGCTCCTTTCTCTTCCGACGTGACAGTGATTTCATGGTTGGTTTTCCCTTACTTACTTGCACTACTTAGTTTTAATTGCTTCTATATGTTGCACAGTCGGCAATTGTCCGCCAGGGATTTGACCAAGTGGACGTGGCGCACCACGAACGCAAGCTGACCGAGGCATATGTCATCATGGAGCGCTACCTGGAAAGTAGCGATTTCATGGCCGGACGACAGGTAACAAACCACCTCATCTGATTGCGATTCCCTGTCGTTGTGGCCGCGGTTCAATTGAGTTTAGAATTTCACCTTTGTTGCTGCGGTTTCAGCTGACGCTCGCCGACTTATCCATCGTGACCACATTGAGCACCGTCAGTCTCATGTTTCCCCTGGCGCAGTTCCCACGTCTGCGGCGCTGGTTCACCGCGATGCAGCAGCTGGATGCCTACGAGGCCAACTGCGGCGGATTGGAGAAGCTGCGCGGAACGATGGAGAGCGTCGGGGGCTTCCAGTTCCCATCCTCCTCTTCCGCCTCCTCCGCCGAGGATGTGGAACAGCTCTAGATAGTTATTAAAATGGCGTGTTTAATTTGGCTTTGGCCTGGAGTATAATTTCATGTTTGCTTTGCAGGTGAAGGTTCAAGGTATATGTGAAATCTCTCTAAATAGATGGGAAAGTATACATAATAACTCAAATTTCCATATTTTCTTATCATTCCATAACAGCACTTTAATATACATATGTAGTTGCTCATAACTTGAATCTTTATTAAACTTTTTTTAGAAAACATAGTAAATATTTGTTTAAAATTAAGTAATAAAAAATGCTTTTTAAAAAATTGTAAACATTTTATTTCTGACACACAAAATGCATTTAATGAACTAATTAAAAATGTGAATCAAATTGATTTTGAGCTATAAACTACATATATGCATCCAGATGTGAAATTTTTGTTAGAATTTTGTATTGCTTTCTAGAAAATAAACAAATAAAATCTCATTATAGCCCGAATTTTTAAAGCATTTTGCATTCAACAAATTACAAAAATTGGGTTAGTAAGAAAAAAATAAGTAATTTATGTTACACCAAAAATGTATACTAATAAAGGTATTAATTTAAAGATAAAGTTGTTTGGAAAGAAATATTTAAAAGCTAAAGAGTTGGACTTATTCATGTTGTTAAACAAAGTAAATCAAATGGTCTGCTATTGATGTTCAAAAGATAATAAAATCGTAATTTTTCCAACTTTGAGGTCCTATATCTCAAAACGCGGAAGAGATCTGATTTGGAATTTGGGAACGAAAATCTATTAAGACAGTATAAATTCATTAAAGAATAAAGTAAAGTTCACATTTTTTATACCCATTGTTACTTACCAAAAATATAAAGTTCATAAAATGTAAAGTATATGTTGGTTTCGACACACTTATTGAATTATTTTTTCATCTTTTTAAAACGACTCAGGGGAACGAGTATGTAAATAGCCACCCCCTTAACCCTTTTTATAATTCCTCGAATTTGGTATAATTATGGGTGCAGGAAATCCCTTTCCAGTTCAAAATGATGTTTGCTCCGCAGGAGGGAAATACATGTGTATTACCGCCGATTTCAAAGCAATTTAGCGGTTGGCCGCGAAAATTTACCAACTCATTAACATATACGCGCTTGACCCCTGTTTACTCACCAAACGTTGGCTAATATTTGCCTGCTCCGAACGTTTGTGTCCTAATGACAGCTTGTCAGGCCTAATAGCCGTATCGAGTGCCCTCCAGTTGAGCGGGGTAATCCTCTTTGAGGGCCAGCCACTAATTGCTCCGGCCCATCCTCGAGGAGCAAGTATGTAACTCAATGTCCTGGTCAGCCAACTCGAACAAAGTTTAACGCACGCATCGCGCTCCCCATCCGCACCCAGCTTTTCCTCTTGGGGACTACGTGCACCTGGTCCTTTCATCGGATCCCTGCTCCTTCGACCCGACTTCTCAACTGCCAACTGTCAGCGAAAAGTGCAGCCATTGCTATTGCTTTTTGTGGACGCCGTGCCGCAGCAGCAACATCTTCCCGAGGCACGCGGCAAACTTTGCGCTCTGCAAGTTTTTCAATTTTACCCGGCGTTGTCTCAACATTTATCTGCCCTTCGCGCTGTCAGTGCTTGTACAGAGATTTTTTTGTCACGGTGGCCGGGATGTTTTAGCTTTCTGTCAACGGTCATCCAACAGACCATCCGGGGTCCCAGATACACAAAACTGAATTATTTTACTTAAGTTTCATGGTACCCTTCTGCCGGAGGGATGAGCAACTTTGTCATGGGATTTGCATCAATTTGCAATTTTATGTGGGACCGCAAGTCGCAAATAAAATGTTGCATAAGCTGGAGAATCCCAGGAATCTGAACAGATTTTAAAGGCTTTATTTGGTCGACTAAAGGATTTTTCTTAAGAGACAAATAGATATATTTAAGGTTTTAATACCTGTCAGCCCTAATCGTTTGATATGAATTTATAAATTGAAAATATGTCCGTCATATATTTTAAACATAAAGTATATAATTTTACTTTTTAATTTCCTTTATTCGGAAAATGCAATTTATTTTACATAGAGAGTTGAAACCTGTATGCAAATTTGAACTATTTAAGAACCTCGTATTTATACGGTCTTTTGAGATAAAATCTTGCACTGCATACATTGAAAAGCACTACAAAAAATGTAATTCAACTAAAGAATTTTGTATAATGGCCGAATCTTAAGAGCATTAACTGCGTCGACACTGAATATTTAACATTTTTTCTACCAATTTTTTGTGTGTATTTGCATGTTGCTATGAATTCGATTAAAGGCCACGTTGTCCCATATACATATACATCCGACTTTATTTATGGGCAATTCCAGCGCTTGACGATGATGATGCAATGCCACCCACTGGGAAATGTCCCAGACCAGCGGAATCGAATTGATATTTAAAAGCAAATATATTGCACATACCGCGCGGGAAGGCAATTTAATTTAAATCATTATTATTGTTGTTGTTATGATGCTAAATAAATAATTAAAACTGAACAGGCTAGGACTTTTCAACCTGCATAAATTAGGCACAGTAAACACAGATAAAAAACCAATGGGAAAACAAGTTAACTTTTTTCCTATAAACACGCAATCATTTCTGTTTTTCAACAAACATGGAAAAAAAAACTTAATGTGAAACATAAATATTGTCCATGATGTAGAAAAATATACATAATTAAAGAGATAATAAGGAAAGACATTGGAAAATTATAACATTAAATAGATAAGATAAGATGAGTTCATATTTAAACTAATAATATGGGTTGAGTATGAACATGGGCAAATTTGTAATTAAAAACTATGTCATTGTAATTAAAACCGAAATTGTTTGGGGCCTTTGAATAGAAAAAAGTAATTACCCTATTTATAATACAGAAATCTCTGCTTCTGTTATCTCTTATTAGATACCCTAAATTTTCTCACATTTCCTGGCTAGCGGAGTCACCATAATTAGGCGCATAATGGCTTCAAATTAGCATAGCTGTTGAAAATTGGAGCCCAGTCATGAGGGAACCCTAATGCGGCACACATTGCCAGTTACAAATCGAGTTATGGATGACAGACGACAACTTTTGTTCGAAACTTTTTTTTTTTTGGAATGATGGTAGGGGGGTCCAGAACTCCTTGAGCCTAATGCCGTCGAATACTTTGTGCAAATTGATTTAGTGAAAATGCTGCTTTGAAGTCAGCCTTCAGCGACTGCCAGTCAATTTGCCGAAATGGAAAGTTTTGCGATGCGGAGGAGTGGCATAAACCTCATTACACGCTCCTAGTAAGTAGCCTAGCAGCCGGCTTTAAAGTGTTAGCCAGGAAATTCAATTAGGCCAGGCCATTTTATGGTAACAATTCACCATTCGAAGCATTCAGAGTCCAGGAGTCAGCGGTGCGTGATGCTGAAATATTGACAAAGTTTTCGCATTCGCCATTTGGTACAAGCGATTTCGGGCTTAGCTCTTCGATTATTACTTGGGCCAATATTTGCCGATTTTATTTCGGGTCAGACATTTCGTCTGTTGGCCACAAATTGGAAAGCAGTCACAGTTGAATTATTGATTAAAACGGCTGGCTGCCGACTCTCCAAATCCACAACCATTTCTAGCTTTTACTTTTGGCGCACAACTAACCGCCTTCGCACATATAAATTTCTATTATATTATTTTCACCTTCCATATTCTCGGCCAGCTGGCGAAGTAGACCTTTTTGTTGTGGTTAAGTGCTCGGCATCTTGGTTGCGGTCCTGCTGAATTTCTAATTAACCTTTTTTCGGTTTTTCGGGGCGGAGGCTGGACCACACCCACAGCGCCAGTATCATTTATCTGAGGCACTCGTCTTAAGATTTCCCAAAGACCGTTCGGTTGAATGATATTGGGTGAAAGCCAAACAGAAACCAAGAGAACAGACCGAACAAACATCTGACAACCAATAAACAAAAAAGTTCAAAAGATTCCGTATCGCAATAATTGCTGGAGCAAGTTGGGAACAAAAGAAAATCTTGATTTGAAATAGATTTAGAAATACTCTTGGGAGTTTAATAAAAACGTTATTAACTCTGAAGTATTATAAGGGATAATATATATTTTTTCATCCAAAATATAACAAAAACCAAAAGAAATTTGATCAAATTTAACATCTAACACTGTCTTGTCTATTTGTATTTTAGTGATTTTTTGCTAGGTTCAAATTTAATTTTATTAGATTTAAGGTGTCATATACGTTGACAAAAAACAATAAAACATAAAAATTAAGTAATTTTATATTTTCAATCTAAAAAAACGCTCAATTTAAGATTAGTTGGGAATACTTAAAAGTATCCATATTCGAATTATTAAATTGTAATTATTAAACTGTAATTGGAACATTTTTTCGACGTTCAAAATAATTTTTTTACTTGTTACGATTTAAGACAAAGATGTAAAAGTCACAATGATTCTCCTGTAAAAAGTGTATGAAAACAATAAAGTCAATAATAAAATGCAAATTAAATGCAAAGGTTAGCCAAAAGTCGCGCCAAAAGCTCTTTACAGTTTGTGTTTTGGTTTTTTTCGGTTGAATTGTCAGGAATACAGTATTAGCAAAAGGTAAAATCTATATATTTCAAAGAATATTTTCTGCCAACATTGTGCGAAGCATATTTCTTCGACGACAATGTGCAAATGCGAAATTTATTTAATTGCTTTTGTCGCAAGGAGCGGAAAAATGTCTAGAGAAATTATGGGAAACTTATAAATAACTATTCTATGCCATGACCGCGGCGAATCGAGTGTTTATTTTTGTTAGCAAAATGACGACATTGGGCATGATTTTCCAATTAAATGCTGAGCTTAAATAAATAATGTGTCTATTCTTAGCCGGCCAACTCATTGCCAATGGGGCACGAATCTGTATCTGTATCAGTGTCTGTTCGAATCGATGCTGTTTGTTTGCTTTTTGTTTATAAATGAAATTGCAGTCTGCAAACTGGAGCGCTTGACTCAATTTCCGTTTCCGCCCAGCTTCACTGTAAGCCAGCGGAAGCGGCACAAATGCCAGCAAGTGGTTGCTGCCCCAAGGGCGGGATCCTTTCCCCAACGACCTAATTTTCGCTCGACTTCATTTCGGATATGCGTTGCCATTTTTGGGCCATTGTACGCTGGCCATTTGGCCTTTGTGGAGTTTTTATGCTGATTTATGGGAAAATAATCCTGGCTAACTTGGCGCCTGGAAAATGGTTTCCCGCCAGGATGTTTCCACCCTCGCATCTAATTTTCCTGGACAAACATGTGTGTGTCCTCTGTGCAATTTGGCCAAAACGATGCTGGCTGATGATGAGGATGCATGGGGGACGGACCCAAGGGTCTGGATAAACATTTAATCAGGCGTTTGTTTGAATTGCAATTCAACTGGACGCTCTGCTTTCGAAATTCTCGAGTGTTCCCTTATGTCGTAATTGAATTTGATTCTTTCACTTACAACTCGACGTTTTGGCCCGCCCCCAGCAAATGCAATTACAATAATTTAATTGCCATGAAAAATGGCCGGCACATCTGGGGGGCATTAATTAAATTTTTGTGAAGACAATAGTCAAAACCCAGCCTTCGGCAAATTTAATTCACTTAAATGGCAGCAACTGCGGCTTTCTCCAATCCGCCGAGTATTTGTTAATTAAAAGAAATGAGACAAGTGGTCCGTCGAAGTGCCGCGGGCCAAGGAGGCGGTAAAAATAAACGAACACGCCATCTGTTTTGGGCGAGAGAAAAAGCAAGAAAAGCCTGGAAAATCTCAACTATTTCGGTTCCACCTGTTCGGGATTGAGAATATAGAAATAGTTGCGTTACCCAGAGCACAAATTCGTCGGGCCTTTTACGTGTATGTCGGGGATTTTCCGAGTGTTATCGAAATAGTATCCGCTCTAGCAGAATGATTTTCCCCCACCCGAAATAGATGTTGCTGTCCGATTTGTTTTGTTTGGTTTTTCTCCGACTTACTTTAATAAAATATTCATTTTTATTTTGCCGGGTGACACGAACTTTGGCACTTGCAAGACGCCTTGACTTGTCCTCCTCAATTTATTGCCCTCTTGTTCTGATTGTTTGGGTGTCTTTTGGCGTTGATATCTGTCTCTAACAAAGTGTTTTTCAATAACACAAGGCGCATAATTCAAGTTAATTGCCTGCTCATAAAATAATCGCTGGCCTTGTGTTTTTGAATGCTTGTAAATGGTTCGCAGTCTTGCTGCGTTGACTGGTAATCTGAATTTATACGCATTAACAGATTATAATTGCAATTTATTGCTTATTTTATGGGTTAAATGTAGAGGGGTAATATATATATTTTTTATGATGTATTATGAAAGTAAGCTGCAATTAATCAGTTCATTAATTCTTTACTTTCATAATAATTTAATTTAATCATTTTATATTCATAATTAAGTGGTGGCTAAGTTTTTTTGCGAATTATATAATTAAGTGTTTAAAGCTATTTAATCGAAAATGAAGTAGTGGCGCTACAGAAATAATATTGTTACAAACGCAATTAATATTAGCTTGTTGGCAATAATAGTTAAGGCCAATATAGTTAATAGCTAAAGGGAATTCCTTCTTATCAAATTTAAAAAATTTTTTAAAACTCAACTTTATTAAACAAGAAAGTTACGTAATCCTAGACGTTCAGAAACATATTTAATAATATTTTGCTTACTTAAAAAAGGAACAAATATAAAAGGTCAAAGAGCGTCCTTCAACGTTGAGTAACGTTAACTGCATTTTCATTTGAAAAACAAAAAAAAAGTTGTGGTTACTTTTTTGCCATCTAGAACAAAGTTTTATTCGGCAAAGTTTTTTTTTCCCGAATTCCATTTAATCATGCTGTTTGCTACCAAAACTTTTCTAACTATTCTTGCCGTCAGGATATAAATAATTGAGATGAAGTCCAAAGAGCTGAGATGTGGAATAAACGTTCAACGACCTGTATTTAGCCTAGTCGTTGAATCTAATCCATTATTAAAAATCTTCGCACAAGGCCAGACATGCTGTTCTGGATCCTAACATGACTTGTTGATACCCTCTAAAATGTTTTATTTTAATTTCACATTAATCAGCTTTAAAATATATCCTTTTAGTTTTAGTTTTTTTATTTATTAATTTTACTTTTATCAACATTGAGGAAACATTTACAAAATAATTAAAAGGAAAGTTTTTCATTTCATTTCATTTGGTACATTTCAGTGCTTAATAATCCAGTTATGATACGATTTCCGAAAAATTACGTTGATGTAAGTATAAACATTTTTGTAATGACCTTTATATTTGTTTTCCAGCAAAATAATAGAAAAGAAATATCGAAATGGTTATTATTTTTGAGGATGCTTCATTTCCATGGTATTTCTGGAGGATGTGTCTTTCGATGGGAACCAATTTGTTGCCAATTTTAATTATGATCCAATGCAGGCCGATGGAAATTACGAGCAACGAATGCACGCGCCAGAAAATGACAGCAGCAGGACAGCAAGCTTGTTGGCCTGGTCAAGTCCGAAAAATGCGGTTAACATGCAAATGAGCAGCGCATTTCGAAGAGCACCATGTACACACACACACACACACTCACACACACTTTCCATCGATTGGTCATGTGTGAAAATTATTAGGCATTCGTTGATGGTGATGCTTTGGATTTTTCCTTTTGCTCGGCCGATGAAGATCTAAAATTATAACGCACGACTCATGCGAGGGAGGCGGGCAAAGTCGGCGCTTCGAATATATAGAACGCCCACGCCCAGCAATTTCACACACTCGACTCCGAATTCGGATATATTTTTGGAAAATTCTTGAACGAATCTGTCGGAAAACGCTCTCTCGCGCTTTAAAAGCCGCATACGCCCCGTTGGCCGGCATCAGTGTTAGCTTGTCAGAGCTTTAGTGAAGATCCCACAGAACCCAAAACCAAAACCAAAAATCAAACATGTCTCTTGAGCGTGCCGTTCGTGCCAAGGTGAATACTTAAGCAGTGAAATTAGAAAGAAAGATCCTTAAAAAAATCTATAAAAAAAGTGAAAAAATGTGAAAGTTTTAGAGGATATTTGTGAATTTTAGTGCCTAAAGTTTTGTTTTGTTTTTATTTAATCCACCCAGATTGCCGGCAAGCGCAATCCCGAGATGGACAAGGAGGCCCAGGAATGGGTTGAGGCCATCATCAACGAGAAGTTCCCCGCCGGCCAGTCCTACGAGGATGTGCTCAAGGACGGTCAGGTGCTGTGCAAGCTGATCAACGTCCTGTCCCCCAACTCGGTGGCCAAGGTCAACTCCTCGGGCGGCCAGTTCAAGTTCATGGAGAACATCAACAACTTCCAGAAGGCCCTGAAGGAGTACGGTGTGCCCGATATTGATGTCTTCCAGACCGTCGATCTGTACGAGAAGAAGGATATTGCCAATGTGACCAACACCATCTTCGCTTTGGGCCGTGCCGTAAGTTTTGGATTTTATCAAGTAGTTTTTTGAACCCCTTCTGACCAATGGTTTTGGAACCATTGCAGACCTACAAGCACGCCGACTTCAAGGGTCCCTTCCTGGGCCCCAAGCCCGCCGATGAGTGCAAGCGCGACTTCACCGACGAGCAGCTGAAGGCTGGACAGACCATCGTGGGTCTGCAGGCCGGTTCCAACAAGGGAGCCACCCAGGCTGGCCAGAACCTCGGCGCTGGCCGCAAGATCCTGCTCGGCAAGTAAGCGCCAGGATGTCCAAAACACTTTTCTACACAACATATTATAAGTGAACACACACACGCATAACCATATATATTTTGTATGATGAAACATGAACACAAAGATATTCCTCACCAATGAAAAAACTCAACACAACAAAACACTCACACAAACAACACATTAAAGCAACGCAAAGGCTTGTCGCCTTAAATTAAGTATACGCCTAAGTTAATCTATTTATGAGTACAATAAAGTAATTCAAAAAATCCCAGTTTTCGACTTTCCGATCACCTTTATAACCTTGAGCTCTCTACGTTCTTGCTGTTGTTTTTTGTGTGGGTGTAGAGACTTTATTTATCTGTCTATGGTGCGTTCTAAAAATGACTTTTATACGTATAGATGGTACATATATATCATCGTATCAACGTTATAAGCCAAACGTAAACACACTCCGATGAGTGTGTGCGATGTGAAAAATTCCGCTGAAGCGTGTCGAGGTCAGAGCATCAGCGATGGGCAGAGTTAACATCAAGATGGGCCTGTATAGATGGTCTATATGTAAGGATTGGAATTCGCCCGAGGCGAATGCCGAAACTCACCTGTCGAGGCGTGAAATTGTTCACTCTAAAAACACTCGGGCATCTGTGTATTGCAGGTGCAACTATGATGGTGCCAAAAATAAGAAAAGCCAGACAGCTCTTTATAATTTATTTCACGCCTTCACTTTTTTTGTTTTCTTAATTTATTATAGTCTGTCTCTGGGATCCATTGATTGCTTACTGCTTGTTATCCCCTAAAAAAAAAGCTATTATATGAAAGAATCTCGAAAATTCTTTGAGATTATAATTCGGAAAAAAATTTAATATAAAATCAATATTTTTATAGATTTATTTTTAGCAACTATTTCATATTTGCAGTCCTCAAATGAAATATTCCCTTCATTAGTAGTGGCTAATTGAAGCGTACTAAGTTCGTGCTGAAGAAAGATGATTAAGAACAAAGCGTGCCAAATTCCGAGTTCTTATTTTTAGAATTTCAAATTTTCCAACAATTGCATGAAATATTAATGAGAACAGCTAAACGATATTTCCCCTTGGTTTCTTTTTGCTCAACATATAGTAGGAGAAAATAAAAGCAGGCAAATAAATAACAAACTTGACACTGAAAACATGGGGGATATATATTTTTATAATGGTCCATTAAAAGATTTTCTGTACCGATTCAGGGTTATTATTGATGCATAAACTTCTGAGTAGGAAGCATTGAATTTTGTTCCTACCCAATTAAACCTGTTGCTTATAGTATTAAGAAATGACAAACGTTAAAAAATATTCTTGTGGAAAATGTATTTAGCTTAAAACCGTTAGGAACCATGTAGAAATAATAGACTTTTCGTTGGATGAGGCAAAAGACTTTGAAGGTGACTATCAATTGATTTCAGGGTTTCCTTTAAACTGGCGACGCTTTTTTCCTTTTCCCGAATATATGCCACAGTTCGATCATAGTCGTACATCAGTGCTGGCGTCGCCAGGATTCCACCCTGGTAGTTCAACTCATTTATCCGACCCCTGATCTTTTTGTGCTCCAGTTTTGCCCGACAAAGCTCTTTCTTCACTTCATTTTTAATATTGTTCTTCTCTATTAGTTGAACCTTGAGTTCTGCTATTCTACTTTTCAGCCCAAGCGTCTTCTCACGATGATGCTTGGTCAGGTGCAAGTCCGTGTGGTATTGGCTGCGCTGCTTGCTCAGTTCCAGGTTTCGCTCTAAATGGGTTTAAAAATAAATATATTGGTTGAATGGAGGAATGAGTATTCAACATGACAAACCTTCAATCTTCTTTTCTAGTCCGAACACTTTGGTTTGTGTCATTATAAAGTCTTTCATGCTTACGCCATCGCAAACCACCTCTATTTCTTTGATTTTCTAAGGGAAGAATTTTAGGTTTTTAATTTAGATTCCTAGATTGAGGTATACTAAGAAATAGATAAGCTGACGAATGCGAATAGGGGCAGATAAAAGGATGGTTCACCTGATTAAAAAAACTGACGGAAGTTTGCCGATAAATACGGACACAGCAGCGGACAAAATATGAGGACAAAGTAGCGGACAAAGTATCAAACAAAGTAGAAGACAAAGTAGCGGACAAAGTATCGGACAAAGTATCGAACAAAGTATCGGACAAAGTATCGGACAAAGTATCGGACAAAGTATCGGACAAAGTATCGGACAAAGTAGCGGACAGAAAACATTGAATCAAAAAGATGTAAGCTACATTCTCTTTCAACCAAATACAAAATTACTTAAGCAGCGACTGCCGGATACCTACCTCCGTTATACGGCCCAATGTGTGTTTCTGTGAGATGAGCAGTAGTCGGGTGTAGCTGATTTGGTTCCGGAAGTCGGCCATCAGCCGCAGCTCGCGGGCAACGAAACGCTTGAGGAAGTCGGTCTCGGCATCCGGACGGACCAGGAGACGCCGCACCGCCTGCTCCAGATGCTCCTCCGTGCTGACGGCGATCTGCATGGCGTGGTTGAGGTCCAACGTCGCCTTGGTCGACAGAAGGCAAAATTTCTCCTTGGCCTTGGCCACGCGCTCCAGTCCGAAGGACAGATAGGCCAGAGCATGATCGTGGCGGGTGCAGTATATCATCTCCTCCGCCTGGGGCAACTCGGCAAAAGGTCGCTTGTTCTTCATGCGGCGGTAGTAATCTACGACCCGTTCCTGCAGCTGCCTGTGACTATCTTTCACCAGGATGTGGTCATGGACGATACTCTGCAGGGCGGCGAGCAGCTTCTCCTTGTCCAGTCTCTTCCGGATGTACTCCTCGTCCCGTCGCTCAGCTGTGATCACATTTTGAATCAAGTGGGTGATGAAATCGGAAACAATCTTCTGCGTCTTTAAAATCTGAAGTTCTTCATTCTCATCGACTTCGAGCTCTGGAATGTCTTCCTGCATGTCAACTAGGAAGTCTTCGAAGTCCATGTACTTTTTGGTTTCCGGTTTCTTGGGTTCAGGCAATGGAACATCCGGTATTATACCGTCGGACATCGACTCTCGAAGTGATTTAGAACTGCTTGATCTATCTTCTATGACAGTCTGGGCATCGTTGTGCGATTCTCCTGTCTCACCCTCAAAAGATTCGGAATCAAAGCTCTTATCAGCATCACCTACGCTCAATCTCCGTGACCTGACTGATTTTTGAGACCTCGCAGTCTTCAGGTCAAACTCCGACTCTTTTTGCAGCGAAATATCGGAAAGATTGGGCACCAGCATCAGTGTTTTGACCACCGTCTGCATGGGGTTGATGCTCCGTTTTTTTCCGGTCTCCAGGACTTCTGGTTCCGTTTCTGAGGAGGATTCGATTGGAGCGTTTGAGTCTTCGACTTCATCATCCGCTGTGTTCAAAGACGTTGTGAAGGCGGCCAAGTCCGAGTGGCGGTCTATTCTTTCGTGATCACTGCCGACGTCATTATCGAGTTTGTTCCACAACAATTGCTCCTCCTCTTCCTCCTTTTCAAATCTGGACTGTTGCCTTTGAAAGTTGGCCAGCGACCTTTTTCTTTTTTCTTTCTCCAGGATCTGTCGTTCGTGCTCTGCAATTTCATTGATTTCCTGTTCCTCCTTTTCACGCTCCTTTAGACGCTCATTAACTTCCCTCAGCATCTGCAATCTTTCCTCCTTCTCAACGCTTTTCACCAGCATTTCACTGGTCTGCGAGGATTGGGTGGAAACATTGTCGTGAACGGATGCTTCATCTCCCGGAGAAGTTGGGGGAATGGCTTCAGTTACAAGTGTTTCGCGATCGACAATCTCCTGCAAGATTTCATCCTGAATCTCTGCACTTGTTTCAGTTTCCATAATGCTGGCCTAAGACACAATCAAACAGCTGAAAAGTGTGGTTTTTTCTTTCTTATTTTATACTTTTTAGGGGTTAATACCACTTTTTTGTATTTTTTAAAAATATTTTTCAGTGTTTTTGTTTTTTATTGTATTGAGTTGTGTGTGTACTTGTGTACATATGTTTTGTGAGTGAGGCATAACCCCATTGATTGACAGCCTTTTCAGGGAGCATCTAATGCTTATTCAAATTAATGCTTGTTTTCTCGTCCTCATGGTAAACTAAAAGTAGGTTCTCAACTGTGAAAGAGTTTAAAATGTTGCAGCTTAAAACTTTCCTTTAGATTTTCAAGAAAGTCGATAGATAGAACCAGTCTGAATTTTTGTAAAATTCATCAAAGGTAAATATTTTATAAGTTTATGGGAGAATATATATTATTCTAAATGTGGAACTATGTTTTTAATATTTGGACATGTTCTCCTGATAATTTTAATTTTCTTAATAATGTAAAATCATCTTATAATCTTAAAAACCAGCATATTTTTTTAAAGATTTCTCTATTTATAAGAATTTAAAGTTAAAAACAAAGATCCTGCTTAAAATAATAGATATTTGAAAGTCATTCCCCTATTTTATCTAAAAATTCGTACACATAATAATGATAGCCATTGATAAGTCATTTTGATAGATCATAGACTTTATTGAATTCCACAGATGTAAACACTTTCTATATACTTCTACCCTCTGCTTGGCTGATACGACGTGAGAGTGCCTTCATGGTCTCCTTGAGCTTGGACACGGTGTCCTGTTTCTCCTTCAGACGGAGCACGGTTTGGTCGAAGTCGTACATCAGCGATGGCATCGCCAGGATGCCGCCCTGGAAGGTCAGTTCCCTGGACTGCTGCCGCATCTTGGTGCGCTCCAGTTTCACGTCGTAGAGTTGGCTCCGCAGGATGCGCTGCTTATCGATGGCGTTCTTCAGCAGGGTCTTCTGCAGGTCAAACTTCTCAGCCAGGGCCAGAGCCTTCTCCCTGTTGTGCCGGATGAGATGCACGTCCATCAGGTACTGGGTGCGCATCCTCCTCAGTTCGAAGTTCCGTTCTAAGGCGAAACAGGAGTGACCTAATGTTCTTGGTGAGGAATTAACAAGAACATACCTTCGATTTTCTTCTGTAAAGCAAACACTTCATTTTGCACCGCTATAAAGTCCCTTATGCTCAAGGTGTCGCTCAGCGTTTCCAGTTGTGTGATTTTCTAGGGACGAGAAAGAAAAGTTGGGGCTTATTTAAAATAATATAGATAACAAACATCTGAAATTATTATCTGCTGTAGAATTCACGGTCTAAAATATTAATCTTTCTTAAATAGACTTGATTGGCAGACCGGAAAAAAGGTATCTTAAATATTTGTTTACATTATTTCCCTTTTGGCAGGGATTATAACCAAATCGGGATCGGTTTCGGTTTATACCATCTTAAAATAAAGTTTAGGCAACCTTATTATTAATTTTAAAATTTGTAAAGAATATTTAAAATGAAAAAACCGTTCTATTGAAACATTCTTACTTACTCCCAATATGTGACCCAAGGTGTGTTTTCTGGTGATCAGGAACAGCCGCGTGTCGCTGATCTCGTTCCGTTTGGTGGCCATGAGCCGCAGCTCGCGATCGACGAGGCGTCGCAGGATTTCCGAGTCCGGCCGGACCAGGTAGTGCCGGAACGTGTCCTCCAGGCGCTCCTCCGTGATGGAGGCGACGCTCTGGGCGGAGTGCAGGTCCAGGATCACGCTGTTCATCTGGATGGCGTACTTGTGCTTGGCCTTATCCACCCGATTCTTGAGGCTGTCGAGCAGGGCCAGGGCACTCATGTAGCGGGCGGAGAAGCGCTTCTCGTTTTCCGGCGAGAGGGGCTGGAATACCCGGATGTTGCGGCTGCGCTTGTGATAATCAACGAGGCGGTTGCCCACCATCTCGTTGGTGAACTTCTCATACATATATTGATCGGTGATTTTCAGCAGCTCATCCATCAGCTTCTTCTTGTCCAATTTCGCCCGAAGTGCATTGTCCTCGTTCATGAACTCCGATTTGCTGGCCGCCTCCTCAATAAGATCGTGCAGCATTTCCGGGATCACATACCTCATCTCGCGGGCGATGGCAAGAGATGGATCTTCTATTTCCAAGACATCCGTGAATCCAACCGTTGCCATGGCATTGAAATCATCCATTGTAACGCCCTTTTTTTGGTGGTCAGCCGCGGGTGGAAGTTCCGCGAAATCGGGTATGTCGGAGATAACGGAGGAGTCATCCTGATCGACAGCCGCCTCCTCCTCCTCCTGCTGCTCGTTGTCCAAATCCCCAAGCGATCCGGATTCCGAGCTGGAACTGGAGCTATAATTAGACGTAGGATCGGCGAAAAAGCCCAGATCCTTCAAGCTGTTTGTCGTGGACTTGACTTTAGACAACTGCGACGACACAACGTGCTCCTCCGATATGTCCGACAGACTGGGCACATCGAAATCCCTCAGGAAGTTGGTCTTTAGCTGAACGGAATCGGGATCTGTCGGTTTTAAGGTTCTTGTCGATATAACGCTCATGGCGGCCAAGCTCATGCCGGCCAAGCTCATGCCGGCCAAGCTCATCGTATCCTCCCAATCCTCATACTTTGGATCCTTGTAGAATATGGTTCTATCAACGGGTGCGCTTGAGTAGGCTTCTGGCGGAAATATGTCCACCATTTTTTGGGGCTTGAATTTCGTGAGTAGATCCTGTACCGACTCGTCGGAGTCATCGTTCGACTCGAACTCCAGATCGTCGGTGGTGGGTTCATCAAAGCTCACCACGACATCGTCAGGCTCATCTAGTCTCTCATCCTCCTCCTCCAGTTTATCCCTCATCTCGTCGGCATCTTCCTCTTCGAAATTAATTGGTGGTACCTGGATTTCCGAGAGTGTGAATCGAGTGGTGACCAAATTCTTTATGCGCTCCTTTCGCTCCCTTTTTATCCTCTCCTTATTTTCCTCTGGCGATAGATCTTCTGTGGCTTCCGTGTTCTCCACTTCTAGGTCAGCTGAGTGTTCGGTGGTGCCTATTTCCTGGCCCTCCTGCCAAGGCTCCAATACGGTCGATGGTTGGGGTTCCACGTGGATAATGGCTTCACTGGCCTTGGGTTGGATGGCCTCCTCCAGCTTGGGGATCTCCTCCGGCTTTGAGATCTCCTCTGGTTTTGAGATCTCCTCCGGCTTGGGGATCTCCTCCGGCCCGACCATGGGTTCGGGAGGCAGGACCACGGGGGGATCTGTCAATGCCTCGGTGGCCTCGACCACTTTCACAACTTCAGCTGTGGACTCTGCATCTTCAGCCATTATGGGAATTTGTCGGTTTATTTATTATATTACTTTTTATTCTTTAATTATTTTTTTTTTAGTTTTTTTTGGTGTTTTTTTTTTGTATGGTTTTGTGTGCATTTTATGTGTTTGTGCGTAAGAGTGTTTTGTGTGTTTTCAGGTTGCTTTTAATTGTGACAACTAACTCAAAATGCTTTTAATAATAAAAACTAAAAGGTTATGTTTGTTTTTATTTTTATTAACATAACTGTATTATTTGGCCTTATCTTATTCATCTTTTAAATAGAAAATCTATTATCAATTTTTTTTCGCACTAAAAGTTGCTTAAAAAGTGCTTATAAATATAGTTGCATACTTTTAGGCTTTCAATAAAAGGTAGCGTTTCTTGTTTGTTTGATATTAAATAGCCAATCTTAAAAATAGAAAAGGTTGAACAAAACATAAAGTGTATTCAACTTTTTTCTATCATATTTACTTAAAAGGGAAAAAAATTAATCAAAACAGATTTCAAAAAAAGTCAAATTGTAGGTACTTGCACAAGTTATGAAGTATAAATGTAAAAAAAAATTAAAATAAATTCCAATATCTGAGCTTGTTAAGGGTTGAAAATTACTTTTGACCCCCGCACTTTATGTATACATATAAAAAATATACAAAATTCAAGATTCATGAAGTTAAACCCTAATTAAGCTAATATAAATCTTAAAACAATGAAAAACAATATTTAAACAAAATAAAGTCGGTCGAAAGCCATAGTAGCTATGGCCGCTAGCCCCCGATGTAACATTAGTTTAGAACTTTAAGCTTACAGTTTGTAAATAAATAAATAAATATTTCAATATTTTGCAGTATTTTTGTTAAGGTCCTTGTCCTTAAAATTTAAATTTACGAGCGAGCTTAGCTTGATTTAAAGCTCCGATTTTTAGCACCATCTGGGGTCCAATTGGAGGTCCTAAGTAAATCTTGCGACGGCTTTAAAGTTGATTGATCGTTTCCCATTGTGTGCGTGTGCTTTTTTTATTCTGTTCGAGTGCGGTAAACTTTATGACATTGATAAATTTTTAATAAATATGACAAAATGTTGGTGCTTTAATTCACTTCATCCAGCCGCGCTTTTTGGGCAGCACCAGGTGCTGGGCGATTTACATAAAAATGCTGCAGTGCTGGAGATTGTAATTTGCATAGGAAGCACTGCAGCACTTGGAATGGATTTCAGGTCTTAATACTTTCCGTTTGATTGTCTTTCTGGCGTGGAAATTGATTCAGCAAAATGCCAAATGGTTTTAAATTATGCATGAGCCTGCGACTTTATTCCCCAAACCCGCCGGTTGCCTTTGATGTTCGGAGGACATCTGGGAATCATATTCAATAAGCCGTATCCGACGTGGAGGCCAAGGAACTTTTTTATGACAGGCGCAATGGGCCAATCCCCTTTGATGGCTGTTAAATAAATTTGTTTTCGAAGCCGTTTAAGCCATTGCCACGCCTTCAGGTGAATGATAGCCAAACTTCTGATGGACCTTTAATAGCTGGGTAAATACCGGCGACACAATAATTGCTCCTGGACATTCGTCAGTGGGCACATGTGGCTTCCAAGAGGTCTTAATTCCAAGTCACCTCACGTCTTGAACGAAACCAGGGGAATCCTTTTCCTATTTATCATTCCGTCAGAAACTTTTTCATGAATCCTTTTTTGCTCCTCTGTTTGTCTGCATTAAGTGGCATTTTCGGCTCAGGCGGCTACAGTATCTGCCGGATACTTAAGAAAAATCTTGAACTTGACTTTCCCTTCCAACTACGCTTCAATTACGCTGCCACGTTCCGCCTAGTAAAATTGTAATTTACGAGTGTTTCTATGCACAGCGAGATAAGCAGCCGCAAAAACTGTGTCACTTAAGATATTATGGAATAAAGTTGGTGCTTTCCTAATGGAAATTCAGATATTCGCACTTCATTTTCAAAAATCAGACGACTATATAATAAGCTGCCCTAGGAATAATCGGAACATTGTTATCAAAGTCGACATAACTTGATTGGTTTTTAACATATAGGCATAAAAGTCTATATACTTATAGTCGTTTTATAGAATAATTCATATTTATACTTTTGCAGAGGGTATTCTAATTTCAGTCACTGAAATAAATGTATATATTATATTAAATTATAAATATATATATTATAAATGTATATATATATAGTATTGATCAACATCATCAGGCGAGTTGATTTTGTCCGTTTCTAAGCAAACCAGTCCCCAGTTTTAAAGCTATAAACTATTAACTACAAGTCATAACTTTGGAAAAACTCTTCTTTCTATTGCAGTTAGTGTTTAAGTCGAATCTGGCCGGAAATCGAAATCGAAAAATATAATATACAATTTTTTTAAGAGCTAAGAGTATATGTTTGCTTCTTTACTGGATGTTAGAGCTACATGTAAGGGCATATAAACTGTCAGAAGTTAGCTTCCTGTCTTGTTTTTAACTTGTGCATTTAATATATTTTCGTAATCAGTATTTTTATTGATTCGTTGAAACAACTAAATATATTTCTAAATAACAAAATGACTAACTGTTTACTGATTAAAATCATTGTTTGTGTTTTGTTTATTAAAACCATAAAGCTAAAACAGAACTGTTATCACCAATAAATTGTTAAACATACTTGCTAAGGCAGTGCAACACTGTAAACTAAAGTTACATTTTTGTTTTTAAATGTTACCATCCAAACCAATTAAAATATAGTTTGATTTCTCAAAACTGAAGTTACACTTCAAAAGCCTATAAATGGTTGGCATCTTGATGCCACATAAAATTTAAATTTTCAAATAATTCGAACTTAAATGGTTTTTTTTAGTGTATTTTATTTATGTTAAAAATATATTTACAATTTCTTTTCTATTCTTCCTGACTCTGAAAGTACATATATACTTATTAATGAGTCTAGTCATGGGTTTTTTTTTACTGTGCAACGTGCGCGCACACTTAAACATTTTTGCGCTTGTTTTTGGAAAGCCTCAATAATTACGAATTGCGCGTCGGATCTGATCTTTGGTGATCCGCGGGCTTATCAGCCTGCTTTGCTTGGGCGGCTCAATAGTGCATCGCTTCCCACAGCCTCTCAATTTGTTGACATGAATTATGCAAGTCAAGTCTGGAATGCTGAACTCGCAATTGGCACAAACTCGGAAATTGCGCAGCGCTGCGGAAACCGAGAGAGAGTGTTATGTGCAATCTATATGCCAAATGTACGTTTATACAGCATTTGATTGAAGCTTTAATTATATTTGCGCCCGTAATCACAAAATCGCAGTCCACGCGCATAATAATTTTATTTAAGGTTTCCTGGATTTCTTTGCCGCCGGTTAGATTCAGTTTGGAATAGTCAGTCTTGGCGCAAAGTGTGCCTAGAGGATCACAGAAATATATAAAGCTAACAAGGATACAACAAGGATACTAGAACGATGCAGCGATCGGTGTTGCTCCTGCTAGTTTCGTCCCTTCTGTTGTGTGCGGCAATGGCGATGCCCGCGAGTGTGGAGAAGGCCGAGGATGACTGGCTGGACGAAGTGCTGCCGGGTGGCGCGGACAGCGAGGAGCTGCAGGACCTGGACATCAGCACCGGAAACCACATCAAGAAGCGGTCTGCCAAGGACGCCAGCAGCTCCTCCGAGGAGCACAAGGACAAGGCTAAGGACAAGGCGAATAGCTCCGGGGATTCCTCTTCCGAGGAGAAGTCAACAACCACCACCGAGATTCCTGCCAGAAAACGACGGGAAATTTTATCTAGAAGAAGGCGTGAGGTTAACGCAGACGACCAGTTGACGGAGCAGAAATCCAGCGATGAGCCGGAACTGGATGACCAGGCCGAGAAGGAGCTGGATGAGACTTTGGAAAACACCAGCATCGAGGACTATGCCCAGGGCTGTGAGGTCTCGGATGTTGTCAGCGTCAAGGAGGCCAATGAGGTTAATGAGGCCAATGAGGCCAATGAGGCCACCTACGCCGAATGATTTCTATAACACCTAATGATTAACAATAAACATGATGAAAACCTTAAATAGACACAGCTACTTAATAATTTCTGTACTGTAGGTTGGGGCGCATGGCATTAATGTGAACACATGATGCAAAAAAACAAATATGTATAAATTAAAAAACAACTTTCTTGAGATGACAATATATGTACAACGTTAATATTTTTTTAGATTATCTTGAGCTGAAATAAGTGTCGTCGGGGTATTATAAATTGTTGCGGCTTCGTGTTCATAATCAGTTCGAATAAGTCCATCATTCAGAGAGGTTCTTCTACGCATTAAAGCTAATAAAATGCTTCGCTCGACAGTTTTCTTCCTAATCTCAGTCTTTTTGCTAGTTTTAGCAGTTGCTGAGCGATTACTTCCGAAGGATATGATGACCGTCTCTGAAATAGGCGAATTGTGCCCGGGGCTGCAAGGTCGGCATTATAACCCATATTTAAAGGAAATTTGTGAATTATTAAGCACACGCAGTTCTATAAACATGTAATACATTTAATTTACAAAACAAGTAAATAAGTCTTATCTTTTCAACGAAAATTTAAAAACATCCCATATAAGGCTTGATCAGTCCTATTATTTCTATCAAGGCGTTAGTTTAAAAACTTTCTTAATTTAAGGTAAGTCATTAATATCGGTACTTAAACAATACTTTATGAATACTAATAACAATTAGACCCTAAAATATTTACTATTACAATGGCAGAAATTGTTAACTCAAAAATTTCTGTACTGTAGGTTGGGGCGCATGGCATTAATGTGAACACATGAACACATTGAAAAAAACAAATGTGTATGTATAAATTAAAAAACAACTTTCTTGACATGACAATATATGTACAACGTTCATATTTTTTTGTCGATTATCTTGAGCTGAAATAATTGTCGTCGGAGGATTATCAATTGTTGCGGCTTCTTGTTCATAATCAGTTCGAATAAGTCCATCATTCAGAGAGGTTCTTCTACGGATTAAAGCTAATAAAATGCTTCGCTCATCAGTTTTCTTCCTAATCTCAGTCTTTTTGCTAGTTTTAGCAGTGGCTGAGCGATTACTTCCGAAGGCTCAGATGACCGTCTCTGGAATAGACGAATTGTGCACGGTGTTGCAAGGACGGCATAATAACCCAGATTTGAAGGAAATGTGTGAATTATTAAGCACACACAGTTCTATAAACATGTAATAAATTTAATTTACAAAACAATTAAATATGTCTTATCTTTTCAACGAAAATTTAAAAACATCCCATATAAGGCATTATCTGTCCTAATTTTTCTATCAAGGCGTTAGTTTAAAAACTATACTATACTTAAACAATACTTTATGAATACTAATATATTTAAATTTCCGACAATAATTTTGTTGAATGTTTTTCCAACTTAAATTAACACTTAATGATTAACAATAAACATGATGAAATCCTAAAATAGACACAACTACCGAATAACTCTTGACTTATTCCATCTTAAGCAATTTGCGGGCTTATGAAGAGTATTTTTCTTAACCTAGTTGGTTAATTACAAATTTAAAAAGTTTTCCAACCACAGCAATTGTGAATGCTGCGGTCGAACAATTAGACCCTAAAATATTTATTATTACAAACGCAAAAATTATTATCTCAAAAATTTCTGTACTGTATGTTGGGGCGCATGGCATTAATACGAACTCATGATTCAAAAAAACAAATATGTATAAATTAAAAAACAACTTTCTTGACATGACAATATATGTACAACGTTCATATTTTTTCGATTACCTTGAGCTGAAATAAGTGTCGTCGGGGATTATAAATTGTTGCGGCTTGGTGTTCATAATCAGTTCGAATAAGTCCATCATTCGGAGAGGTTCTTCTACGCATTAAAGCTAATAAAATGCTTCGATCAACGGTTTTCCTCCTAATCACAGTCCTCTTGCTAAGTGCAGCAGTTGCAATGGGATTGTATGGATGCCCTCCATTTAGAAGGAATCGGATAAGCTTCCATGAATTTAAGGAAATGTGCTTGGAGTGGCCAGAACCGCAATTTGATAATCCAGAATTGATGAAACTTTGTGAATACATAAAGACACCCAGCACGTAAAAAGTGAAATAAATTTAATTTGCAAAACAATTATGTATGTCTTATCTTTTCAACGAAACTTTAAAAACATCCCATATAAGGCCTTATCAGTACAACTATTTCTATGGGTCAGGAGCTCAAGCCGTTAGTTTGAAAACTGTCTTAACTTAAGGTTATTCATTAATCTTGGTACTTAAACAATACTTTATGAATACTAATATATTTAAATTTCCGACAATAATTTTGTTGAATTTTTTTCCAACTTGAATTTGTATAATACAATTTTAGAAACCAAAATTAAATTCAATAATATTCAATATAGTTCTATTAGATTAAATACAATTTTTATAATACAATTTTTTAAACCAAAATTAAATTAAATAACACATTCTAATTGTATTAGCTTAACACATGATTACAATTTGAATGATACAATTAACAAATATTTACAATTACGTGCCATGTTGATGGAACTAAGGGCGTCTTTTAGGTTCAATCACAATGCAATATAGACATTGATTTCCGTTTTTGTCTGTTATCTGCCAGACTGAATAATGTTTGAGTCAATAATCGCATAATCACCTTTGAGGCGATAAAGAATTTATTGAGGTTTCTTGGACAGCCAGTACGATTGATCAGATACAGTTCGAAAAAGTCAGTCATAGTGCGAGTTACACGCAAAGGAAGGCAGTGAGATATTGTTGAAAAGGATATTACAAAAATAAGCAATGCATCGGTCTGTGTTGTTGCTCCTAATCTCGGCCTTTGTGCTGAGTGCGGCAGTGGCTCTGCCCCTAAGTCTGGAGGAATCAGAAGAGGTGGCTTCCCATTCAGACGTGGAACTGGAGCCTCTGTCTGAAAGCTTGGACACCAACGAGAAGCAGAATTTGGATAGCAGTGTCGAAGAAACTGTCCACAAGGAGCTAGCCAAGGAAGCCAGTAGTTCTGTCGAGGAGCTCAAGGACGGGGGAGCTTCATCGGAGGAGGAGAGCTCGGTGATCCCTGCCAGAAGGCGCAGATCAGTTGAACAGGAAAGGTATAGGAACTTACACGACCTTGCCTATATTTGCCCGCTGGCTGATACAACCGAATTGGAGGAAGGCGACACCTTAAATAGTAAAATCAAAATACCAGACATGTATCCAAGTTTGATTTGTAAGCCACAATTTATTTAAAGCCAACCCAAAAAAATAGAAAATAAATGTGTCTTTTAAAAACAAAATGAAATGGAAAACAAATACAACTCTTCAAATTTCTTTCCCCCGGCATTTTTACCCCTGACCCATTAGTCATCTGCGGACTTATCAGTTTTTCCATCCTTATCAAGACAGCGCCGTCAATGTCACCGAAGCTCAGAACAAAGACGTGTCAGTTTGATGTTAGTGTATGTCTTAGAACTCATGATTCATTTAATTTAATCTGAAGTCATTTGGCCAGTAAGCTGTGTAAGCCCCAACAGAAAAAAATCTGGCCAATTTTTTATTATTTATAGAAACGACTTTAGGTTAAAATTTCATAAATCGTATTCTTAATAAAAAAAACTCTCTACAAAAATTATATTATTGTTAAAGTTAATTTAATTAAATAGAATTCAAAAATATTTTTTTATATAGAGTTTATAGAGTTTTTTTAAAGTGTATAAAATGTAAAGTATTTATGTATAGCTTGTAAGTTTTCATTGGTACTTCAATTTAAATATTAAAATATCTATAAATTTTGTATATGTTGGCTTTGGTATCGATTTTGTATGTTAAACTTGTTTAAAGTGTTTTTTCACTATCTTGTTTTGCACCAAATTTTGTTTTAAAAAATCCAACGCATATTCACAGATTGTATTTGCCTTTATTAAACAGTCTTGTTTGTCATACATACGTGTCATCTGCATTTTAAGCTCGTTCCCAAGTTTGGGATATTGAAAACTTTGCTCTCACATTTTCCTGCCGGCCTTATCCCTTTGTCTGTCTTGTGGCTGTCACATTTGTTGTGGTTGTTGTTGCCTCGGCTGATAAGACACGTTTGGCTCACTCTTTTATGGCCAGATTCAACACATTTTTGTGGCAACTATTCCTTCAACATACTGCCTACACATGTATGCAGTATTCCCTGGGCTAATCGAATTTTTTTTATCAGGTGTGTGTGTGTGACTTTTCTTTGGGCCTTTCTCTTGAAATTTCTTTCATATGTAATTTTGATTTTCCATTGTTATTTATTTGACAAGCGAAATACTTTGCTCGTGAGCTTGGCACGTTCAAGTTGTTCACTTGGCTTTAATACTTGGTAGTTGACATGTGTTTGTTTGTAGTTGGCTACAGGAATAAACAATACAACGACTTTAATAAATCATTTTTCTTTTTATGTAGATTTTATGGTATATTTATATTTTTAAAATAATTTATAAACAAATTTTCTTGTTTATGACTTTATCAGTAATTTGGTCGTAATTTTTTCTTTACTCGTAAGTAAGTACCTATTGATTTACCTATTGATTTTATATAATTGTTACACTAACATCTGTTGTTGTTCTATACAATTCTCATAGCTAACTTAATCGACTGCTACTGTACGCTACTGATTGTTACTAATGGTTTTATTGGAAGTGGTGCAAAGAAAAGAAAGTTAATTGCATGAAAAAATAAATTAAGAATATTATTTTTCCATTCCTATCTTCTATTCGTTATTTGTACATTAGGTCCTTTAAGTAAAAAATGTTTTCAATGAATAACATAAAGTATTCAACGTGGCGAAAATGCAACAAAAAGAATGCAACAATTCTGCGGCGGCACATTATCTAAAAAAAGGAAAAACTAACCAAGAGGGGGAGAAGAAAAGCAAGAGAGAGAATGGGGAAAATGGAAAAGATGCAGCCACAAAGGAAAACTTCTCGAAAATTATTTTAGTTGCCCAAGTCGAGTGCAGTTGTGTGGAAGTGAAAGAGAAGCCAAAAAAAAAGAAGCAGTCAGCAACGGCAAGAAAACGTGTTAAATACACTTTCCATAATTAACTTTCATAGTTGCGGTCTTGGTTGTTCGAAATTTTTGGAGTTTCCGTAGTTTTCCGCATTTTGCAGACTAAGATTTATTAAGATTCGGGTTGTGCAATGCGTGACTGCTGATTATATAAGTCGCACAATTGGCCAAAGTTCAAGTATTCAAGTAGTTCTTTCAGTGGAAAAGTAAGTTGGAAAGTAAGCAAAAATTCAGGTTGTGTCAAAAAGCCGGCAAAACTAGAAAAAAAATATTTTTGCACGGGCGGAATTTTGACAGGCGAACGGCAACAAGCAATCGGGAAAAAGAGCAACTAAAAGTTTCGCAGGAAAAGAGCAACAGAAGAAGGAAAATAGAAAATCAAGAGTGCCGCCGGCAAGAGCGTGAATTTATAAATAAAACCAGCGGATAGGAAGAGATCCGGTGCCTCTTCGCAAGAGTACGGGTAAACAAAGCGATGCCGGAGCCACTGGGACTGGTCTTCTCCATGCCGGAGACAAAGTCGAAGGCGCCTGTTATTAAGATGTCCTGCGGCATCGGCGACACGGATGGCTATCCCGCCTTCGACGTCGACTCGGATGCATATGCCACCAAGGACGACAGCAGGTGGGGATTCCTCATCACCGGCGGTGCCGAATTCCACATGCCGCTGACAGTCTTCCAGGTGAGTTGGGGTCACCACTGGGGTTGCCATTGGGCTGCGACTGTGATTGGAATCGCGGTGGTTGGTGCTTGAGAACGTAACCATCTGGTTCCCACAAAATCATTTTATTGACACAGTCAAACTCCTTTTGAAATGGTTATTACATTACAGACATTATTAGTTGACAGTTTTTAACAATGCTTTTTAAGTTTTAGTAAATCAATATCTTTCTTCAGCATTTATAGTGTTTTAAAGTCGCAAACAAGTATACAATATTGGAATTCTTATTGACAAATTACTATAAATAAACAAGTTTGAAGTTCATATATATCATTATTTTAAATTAAAGAGTGTTTTCGCATTTCTACAAATTAGAAAAGACAACTGATTCTATAAAAATACTTAAAGGCAAAACAATCAAAAAAAATATATAATAACCATGTTATTTAGAATTTCCAATTTAATTAAACGCAGAAATGTTCAATACTTTGTTGAGGTTTAAAATTATTTATTATTACTATTTATACCCGTTACTCGTAGAGTAAAAGGGTATATTGTATTCGTGCAAAAGTATGTAACAGCTAGAAGGAAGCGTTTCCGACCCTATAAAGTATATATATTCTTGATCAGGATCACTAGCCGAGTCGATCTAGCCATGTCCGTCTGTCCGTCTGTCCGTCTGTCCGTCTGTCTGTCCGTCTGTCTGTCTGTCCGTATGAACGCTGAGATCTCGGAAACTATAAAAGCTAGAAGATTGGCATTTTGCATGTAGATTTTAGAAGTTCCTACGCAGCGCAAGTTTGTTTCAAAATGGTGCCACGCCCCCTTTAACGCCCACAATCGCTTATATACGATTTTAAAAATTTAAATATTTCGGAAAAGTAAAAATGCAGTTTTATTGTGTTTATCAATACCTATCGAAATGTAGAAGAAATTTTTCAAATCGGACCATTCGTTAAAAAGTTATGCGTGATCAAAGTTTCTATCTCCATCTCCCTCGCACTCCCTTTACCTAAGTAACGGGTATTTGATAGTCGGGGCACCCGACTATAGCGTTCTCTCTTGTTTTAAAATTCCAAAATGTTCTTGAAACATCCACAAATGTAAATTTGAAGTTCAAAATATTGAATTTAACCAATATAATAAAAAAAAATTACAATAAAATAAAATCAAGCATTTAACAACTAAGCACAAACAAGACAACTAATCAATGAACCACTTTTATCAATCGCCCAATAAAACTTAAGAAAAAACATATTTCTTGGAAAAACCGAGATTTATAAATAAGTATGGCATAGCCTAGCGAGGTTTTACTGTGGCAACTCCTCCGCTGCAGTTGCGGTTTCGTCATCGTTTCCAATTTTTGGTAGCGGGCCAAAACGACAACCGCCCAACCCACGTCAAATTTGAATTCCAATTATGCTATGACGAAGTCGCATCGAATGCAAATTGGCTGCCGCCAAATAGAAGCGAACATTTTATTGTTTCTGGCATCTGCACCTGCCGCGCCCCGTCTTTTGTTTTTAGTTCTCAGTCTTTAAGGCTTTTCTAGTCTTTTAGTTGTCTGCCTTTGCCTCCCCCGTCCCTCTTTTTGGCTCACTTGAGTCTCGAGTGAATGTACAATATTTGGGTTAGCCGAGTTCCACTTCTTCTTCATATATGACATGCCTACAGTTGGTGTAATAAAATATAGATGTACTAAAAATATCAATAAAAAAATTGTACATATCACATAATAACTATATATTAAGCAGTAATGAGAGTTTTTTTTACTCCAAAACTAAATCAATATCAATCATTATTATTGCTTTGTAAACAATAACTTAAACAAATGAAACGGACTGTATCGTGTACATATGTATGCAAAGTGTTTTACCATTAGGAAAAACTATTAGTACGGCTTTCGACTTTTGTGCAACATTTTACTTTTGACGTTTTGCGTTTAGTCTAAAGAAAAATATCAGTATTCGTTTTCTTTGTCTTATTTCTGAATTCAAATCATTTTGGGTTCAACGTTTGAAGAGTTTAATGAACTGGGGGTTTGAATAGTTACCAAGTGAAAACAAAATTATTAAACCGTATAATTCAATTATTTTCAATTTCAAAGTTAAAGTATTTATTTAAGTCACTTTCACTTTTAAGTTCCAAATATGTTTTCAAGGTCAAGAAACTTTAAAACCATAATTACCAATATTGTATGTATTAATTACTTTGAATCAAATGACTGCTGATGATCCACTACTATCATAATAACTCAAAATTAATAATTTATTTTTAATTATACGAGGCCATTGTCCAGGGTATAGACACAGTTGAAACGGGTATATTTAAAAATACCGCATTATGTCTGTTTTGCTTTCAGTTTTTATTGTTTTTCATTATTTGTCGGGTCTTTTCTTTTGGGAGCAGCCGTTCAGTTAGCTCATCTCGTATACATGTCATCTGTATCTGTCGTTCGCGCATCGCGTATATTTTCTGAACCTAAACTCAAAGTACGCAGATATCCATTCAATTGCGCCTCGAAACTCGAACGGTGCGGTTTCTGCGGCTCTTTGATCGGTGGAAAGTGAAAAGTGAAAGGAGACGACGGGGTTTCGGCAACGCTGCGCTCTCGATTTAAATCGACATCTTTGGCTCCTTGCAGGTGACCCCAAACGGCCTGGCCGATAAAGCGGGCATTCGCCTGGGCGACATCATACTCGAGATTAACGAGGAGGACGCCTCGCAGCTGACACTTTCCCAGGCCCACGAGAAAATCAACTCGACGCCCAAGAAGATACATTTCCTGCTGCGCAAGTAGGTTGCCCCAGATGCACTTGGCTCGCGGTGCGTCTGGGTGGCTCTTAGGCCGTTTAACTTATGCAATGGCCAAACCACTGACTTCTCACTTCCGTCCATTCCCCCTGCAGCATGGAGGAGGACGATCCCATGGGCCAGTTCGAGGCCGGAGAGGAGAAGTCGATTGTGATGCGGGTGCCAAAGCCTCTGCCGCCGCCCAGTGGTGAGTACTTAATGCCGCCTGCTGTTAACTCTAATTGCATGAGCCCCAAGCACACTTCAATCCCCCTCCTTCAGCCCCATTCCTCGACCGCACAGAAAAAAGTGACATGGAACTATACGTTTTCAATTTGTAATATAACATGTCTTACTTATTAATGGTTTTTTTTAAGAATCAGCTATTTAAAGCTGTTCATTTTGAAATGAGAATACTCCATACAGAAAAACGTCAATTATGGTATATTATGTTTCAGGTTTATTTGTATTGATTTGTCTTATATTGCGAAAATTTAAAATAATAATAAAGTCAATGGCTTATTTTCTTAATAAACTTGGCTATTCTCGAAGATGTTTCATAAAAAGATAAATAAAGTGTGTCAATCCCACAGAGACATTAGCTAAAATGATTTGTTTTTCGTTGAAAAATCTAAAATCTAATTAAGTTCAATTCAATTTCAAGATAGACTCCATTAATTTTTACTTTAAAATTTAACTCTATACAATTTTATCACTCTATCGATTGCAAAATAAAAAGTATATTTAACTTATTTAGTTTATTGTTAACATAGAACATATGAATAATCTTAAATTTCTTCGTTGCCTCCCACCAAACGTTTTTCGTAGACATTTATCTTAAATGTTGGAGAACTTTGTTTAATAGAAAGAATTCAATCACAGACTGGATATGATATGATTGCCATTTTTTTCTGTGCAGACCCGTTCTGGTACTCACTTGGCTTTGTATCTTTTTGTAGACTTCCACCCAACCCCCCTGCTTGGCTCGCGTTGTTGGCATCCGATAATGTGGCAAGACCCCCCGGAGCCGCCGAAGCCCAAGAAAAAGAAAACCAAAACCGAGCTGGACGACGAGGGCAACGAGGTGGTCATTGAGCTCAGCGAGGACGAGTCGTCCGACGAGGAGGAGCAGGTGAACCAACCACACGATTGCATGCCAACAACTCTGCCATCGAACTTAACCCATTCCGTTTTCCATTTTCCATTTTCCGCTGTGTGTTTCCGTTCCCCGCGTAATGCCCCCGCGATCCAGGAGCTGCCCCACCATCGGATCATCCGGAACATCCGGCGCTTCTTCGCCGAGGTGGGCGATAACCAGGAGCTTCGCAGCAACACCATCGAGAACATGCTGATGGCCCTGCCCAGTGCCTCCAAGGCCAAGTGAGGAGCCGAACTCCCAGCTAACCGGCTTGATCCTTGGCAGCAGAAGCTGCCACCCCCTAACCCCGCACTGAGAAAAAATGTTTGTTTGAAATAGAGAATATTGGGAAAGAAAAATTGTGATTTTACAATCTAAACATTCATATCTGTTTCATTATTGAATTTAAAATTTCAAATCTTAAATACTTTTTTTCTCTGTTTTTACACATGGATAAAAAATAAATTTTAAAGATTATCAGAGTAGCTTTAATCTAAAATCCAGATTACTGAGTCTCGATTTAATTTTTATTATGGAATATTACTGCTCTGCTGCTATTAAGAAAAGTTTTTAAGAATTAGCAGAGTAGTAATATTCTTTAAATTATAAAAAAATATGTTTTAATTATTTCTCTAAAAATCATGTATAAATCATGTATTTTTGTTGTAATAACACAATCTTTGAACAATAATATTCTTGATTTAGATGACATTATTTCTCTGCGCAGAGTGTACTATAATCTCACTTTTGTGTACATAACTTTCGATATTTTGTGTCAGTGTTTGTTGCTTTAATAAAAAACAAATCCCCTGAAAACCCCCGAAATGCAATTGCTCCTTGATGGATTCCATTTAGGACGCATTCGTGCCAGCTCCATCGAGTTGCGCCTGCTGGAGATGCAGCGAAAGCTGTCGGCCATAGCCGAAATACCCAAGATCCTGTGCTCCACATTGGCCACCGTCTCGCAGAGCTTTGGCCGGATGAGTGAGTCGGAGGTGGATGAGGACGAGGAGGCCTATGTGCAGCGCAAGTTCTCCTACGACGAGGATGCCCTTGACTTCGAGCTGAGGGACGGGGATCTGGCAGGTGACACTGAGAGTGACGAGGATGATTTGGTGCAGGTCCAGGAGGATGATGGCTATGATGGCCAGGAGGCGGGGCATGCCCCCAAAGGTGGCAAGCAATCAAAGCTGCTGAAGGATGTGACGCCGGAATCGGATTATGCATCGGAAGCCAATTATCCGGCAAATGAGGCGAGTGATGACACGGAATCCGAAGGTGAGCAAGAGTCTGGCAGCGCTGTGTATTTTATGAAATTGCCAGCGGCACCAGCCGAGGATACCTACTCCTCGACGGAGGACGAGGATGACAGCGACTTCTTGAACACCACCTACACCTGGAATCTCCGCAACGTGCCCAAGCTGCGCATTAACGATGCCGAGGCCGAGGGCGAACTGACAGTGGGACACCAGGCGAAGGAGGTGCCACAGGAGGAGCAGCTCAAAGAGAGGGAGCCACTCTTGGAGGCGGAGCCGCCTAAGGTGCGCCCAGCCACGCCCACACCGCAGGCACCGCCTCAGGATTCCGCCGAGGGACAGACGCAAAAGGTAATGCCATCGCACATCATAATCAGCCCAGTCAGATATCCGCACGGATTCAATTGAATTCAACAAATCCTCAATGCTTTCACAGAAAAATTATACAAAATATTTCTTTAAGATTCACTTTGACATTTATATTAACAAGTTTCCCAAAAACTTTTTATGCCTTTGTTTGGTCTTTGCAATGGTTTGGTTTTTACGAAATAAAAGAAACTGACAAATTGTTTGATTATAGAATATAACATATAACGTTATCGTTTTTTAAATATACTTGTATTTATCATTATGTAATGATCCATATAAAGTTTTACATAAAATTGATTCTTGCATAAACAATTATTGTGCATAAAAAAAACCGTTTTATTTACTTTTGAAATTTCTCGGTATTTTAGTTAATTACTTAGAAAGAAAAGAAACCATATAGTTCGTAGATTGTATAACTTTATTTATAACATCTAACAAAAGCGCGGTTAGATTTTTTATTAAAAAAATTTTTGTATAGGAACAAATGAAATCTTGATTGAACATTTTTGTGTAAAAAAGAAAATCCCTTTTATTTCCAAGGTTATAGATAAATTCATATCACTCCTGATGCTTTTTTCTTAACAGTTGCTTTTCAGACTGGATAAGCTGGAGCGATCTTGGCCCTGGGCGGACCGTGAGAAAATCATTTACAAGTGAGTGGACAAGTGAATCAGACCAGGAATGAATCCCAATTTAACACCAATGTATTCCAGGCAATCCACGTGCCATTTGGTGCCACGGAAGCCGCTGGGATTGGTGGGCCAGCGAATGCAGCTGCTGCTCAAGGACAAAAAGGAGTGAACCCACAGGCGGAGGAAGGAGTCAGACCCCACGTTAAACAGTTCCTGCCATTAGCTTAAGTCTAACCTCAGAGGGTGTACATACCGACTGCGAAGGGTGGGTGTGAAGTGGCCAACTTTTAATTGAGTTCATTATGCAAATACACAGGCGACAAGAGCAGCCTCAACTCCAGCAGCACTTCAATTAAAAGCCGCACACCAGGGCGTATACGAAACTCTATTCAAACACACTTCACACCCCAGCCTTTTTACCCGAGTAAAATTTTTAATTAAAGTGCACTCTCCCGCATGCCAAAAAATCACTGCCAAGTCAAACGCAACCAGAGTCAAAATCGAGACAAAACCAAACCAAAAAGTAGACCAAACTCAGCTCCAGCTCTCCAACTGGCACTTGCCACTTGGCCAGGTTTATGCATTATTTGTGACCACACCATAAATTCCAGCTGAAGGCCAACGCAATGCACTTATCCCTCCGACAACAGGACGTCCAAGTCACGCAGGATACGAGAACGGGCGATGACGATGTCAGAAAATGTTGCTTGAATTTTACCCTTAATTTTAGGACTATTTACTCTTGCAAAGGAAAGTATCACGAGATCAGTGAAGTTTATTTTATAATGCAAAATCTAATGATGTCTAAAAAATTAAAATTCTGCAATTTATTTTCAGTTTATGTATAAAAATATCTACATTAAATAATCTTTGCTGAAATTTAGTTTAAAATGGATTTAAAAGTTAATAAAATTTTCTATAGACTTTGGCTTATTTAAAAGGCGTTATCTAAAAATGATTTAAGGTTTTTCGATTTTTTAAATATTTTTTCTTGCTTAAGTTCAATCCTTTTTTTTATTATTAATAATTAAAACTCTTGGATTAAAAATAGTTTCTTCTTTTACTTTCCTCCAACTAAAATTTCAGGATAATTGTTTACATAAGCATGCTTCATTAAGTCGTAAGTGTAACAAGAGCCTTGTTAGTTTGCATATCATAAATGTTTTCCCATCTGTTAAATTCCCATTCGATGGCAGCCACAAAAACAACGAGCTCTGGAATTAAATAGCTCATTTGCCTGCTGGCTGATGAGGAAAGTTTACTCCGGCGGGCATACGTGGCGTATGAGCTATATCAACCTGGGCTGAAAACAGCATCGTGTTCTCCATGCTTTCAGGCGCGAATAATCCGTAGAATTATGAGTGTCTGAGAGCAGGAGTGTGTGGGCACACGGATAGTGCACAATGTGAAACTGCCACTTATCGCACACACTTTACATTCATAAAACATTGTGCCACACAATGGGGCAACAGCGAGGGCACGTGTGTGCAACACAAACAAACAAACAAAATCGCAGTCACCGCCACAGCCACCCACTGCCACCTGCAGGTACGTCATTAAAAAACCCGCAACGGGAAATGGCCAAACCAGAGCCAGACCTCAACGGATAGTCCTCAATAAGTGTCAACAAATGTTGACAGCTTTGCAATGAAGGTTGTTGCAGTCGTCTGTCCTGGTTGGCCAGAATAAATTTTCTGCCAGGTTGTCTGTAAGTTTGCCTGAGAAAAGCTGACACCCTTTGGCCATTCTGAGTTTTATAATCAGTTGGAAAACTAAAAAAATATGATACACATAAGATTTGTCATTTGCTCAACTGCTAACCAGCACGGTACTTACTTACTAAATAACCTTAATAAAGATTTTTTTAACTACCTCAAAAGTTTAGGTTTTTTTTTATGGTACTTTTTCTCCTTTAAAAGAACTTGTAAACAATTATTTCAAAAATAAGTACGAGCTCTTTTTAGCTTTCATCTAAAAATTATTGCATTTGCCCTGAATTACTTTTTTAATGACACACTTAAATTTAAAGACGAATAATTTTAAAGAATACTCTGCCACCAACATAACTATTTTACTATAAATTCTTAGATGTGCCTAGAATATTTTAAGTACCTTTTTTGTTATATCCAACTTTAAGGGTTGAAGCTTTAATACTTACCTATTATGAAATTAAATCACATGAATCGTTTGACACCCTAGCAACACAGCTATTATTCTTATTATTAAATATTCACTATTAAAATATTTACTATTTACCAACTTTAAGTTCACAACTCTCTAGAAACACAAATAAAACTACAAGCCATTTCAAAATATCTTAATATTGTTGATACAGAAAACCAGCAATTTCCATTAGGCCCCAATATAAATTAGGCTTCTGTTTGTCGCCCAAGCAAGTTTTCGATAAATGGGATTCGGAAGCACCTGTTGTGCCTTCATCACCAGGATGGCTAATGTCCATGGGGAACCAATGGCGGAGAGCTCACTTCAAATGGCATTCATTAAATGAGCATTAGGTTGTTGCTGTTGTTGACAGTCGTATCCTAGAATCATTAAACCAACTGAAAGTTGACTAATTAGCAGAGCAGGGCAAAACCAAAGGAACTCGCAAATGTTCAGCAGACATACATTTAATTAAAATTTTATTACATTTGCGTACATTCATAGACACACTAAAAGCGATTGCCAGAAAGCTCAGCTTACCACAGAGAGAGATATATTTTGGGGAAATGGTTTTAGGGGGGAGGTGGTGGGACTAGTTCTAGGGTACACTTAACACTTAAGACAACAATGATATTTAATATCCACATAAATTCTTACACTCATAGGTACAATAAATATGTTCTCATTCAAGTTGGTCCGTTGCCCGCAAAAGGCTGAAATTTATTTCGCAATTTGCATGCTGAGGAAACCAAGGAAAACTGAGGAATATACTTTGAAAACTTAACATTTACCATGCTGCAACTTGTGGCGATATAAATTCCAGTCTTGCTGGCTACGGAATTTGATTCTGTGTGTTTTGCAAGTTGTCCAGCAGTTTTCTAACAATATTTCAGGTGTCTAATGGTAAGCAAAAACTTATATAATACGTTTAACGAATCTTGCTAAACAAATAATACATTTTGGCGGTAAGACTAACGATGGTAAAAATAAACATCTAAAAAATTAAATCAATAGCCAGATTTTCCCTTAAAAATATATGGTTTTTAAAATCGTTAAGGTGCCAAAAACAACTTGTGTTAATTTTTATCATCGTAAATACAATATGTAGTTAAAGTTAATAAAAAATTAGTTAAATTCTATTCCCTAGTTATGGACACCCGAAATATTATTTTAAAATCTCCATGTTTTTTAGGAACATTCCTATGCGATAGTAACTGGGTTCAATGGGCTGTTGCATTTGGTGGGGTTTTGGGTTGTTGATCTGTTTTGGTTTCGGTATTTCAGTGGCTTAAACTATGAGATGTTGTGTGACTCGAGGGGTTTAACCTAAAGCGCCTCATCGGCCATCTGTTGTTGGCCAGCTCCCTCCATGCGAACGATGACGGTGCCCATGCCGTTGGGATGGCCATCTGCCGGTCCAGTTGCTCCGGAAGCGTCGGATGTTGCTGCCACGTCCGATGTTGCTGCCGTTGCTGCCTCTGCAACATCTTCCGCTATGGTCGTCATCAATGTCGGCCTGTCGGCGGTACCTGGACCGGCTGATGCCTGTGGAGCTGGACCTCCGCCGGCGGCCTCCCCCTCCTCCATGAGCGGCTGGCTCTGGCGGGAATTGTCGATGGTCTGGCGGCGTTTCAGGAACGGCATCCGGCTGCGCCAGCCCTCGAGAAAGGTGGATGAACCCGCCAGGCTCTGGCTGCGGGCCCTCTGCTGCTCCGAGGATATCTGCTGCCCCGGCTGATGCTGCTGGTGGTGGTGGTGTTGGGGGCCCGAGGAGGCCCGTCGCTTGGCCGACATGTCCTTTAGTCATACCTTCTCCTCTCCTGGCAGTGGCGGTCCGCAGCGCACGAACTACAATCAAAAGAACTGAGAATTTGCTATCATGGTGGTTGGCCAGTTGGCAACGGTGCGTTGGTTTCTGTAACTGTCTTAGATAATCTTTTCATTTTCATTTTTATTTTTATTTTTTTTGGTTGCATGCGGTTAATGCGTATCTATAGGCCAATAAACTGTGAGTGCTTAAGTGTGCTAGTGCTGCTGCATTACTCATACGCGCCGTAACCCGTGGTACAAAATTAGTAGAGAGAAAGGATGGAAGAAAAGCATGTGAAGCTTTTAGTACAAATCTTACCGAGACCTGAGTGGCTGTGTAGGAATTGGTCCGCGGTCGGTTGCTGAAGCACATCATCCGCCACTTGCGCTTCATTTGGGCAATCACCTCGCCGTTGAAGAAGCAGAATAAAGTGGCCACGCACAGACCCTGCAAAAATAGAATTTGGACAGAGTGAGCGAGCAGGCTAAATTATCGACGGGGCTTATCGCAGTTGTCCTTATTACAATGCCCATTACTTTTGTCCCTTTTGTACCCTGCAAGTGGGTATTATAATTCCATATCTCTCCATTTCTCAGGTGACAAAACTTGGAGTCGTAAAAAGTCGTAGTACATTTAAGCATAATTTATTTTAATAAGCGAGTAAACTCCATAAATGTCGAAGAATGGTCGGTATTAATGGTACTAAGTTTTTCGATAATAAAAATAGATTAAGACAGACGGAATATTTCTCCATTCACTTTTTTAATTAATTTTTAAAAAAATATAGAATTGAAAAGTTATTACTTATTAAATTTAGCTTTGTAATTTATTGCATATTTTAAAACATCCAAATAAATGTATTTAAACTGAAGTTATTGATATAAATAGCTTTGAAAGTATTTTTCAGTCAGATTTAAATACACTTTTTACAAATAAGCGATTTTCCAGGGTATACCGATTTCCGGTAGCCGCGGCCATTCTTTCTTTATTTTCTTGTTGGCCGTCAGTTCGTCCTAATACAATACATAATAGAATTTTGCTTGTTCCTTTGGTTATTCCCCCATCCTGCCACCGAGAAGGCTCGGTATTCATTTCGCCTGTCAGACGACCACTTCAACGAGCCGTGAGTCCTCCATCCTTCGTCCTTCGTCCTTTGTCCGTCCACAGGATCCATAGCGATCCAAACCCTCTGTTTACCATTTGTCTTGCCACTTTCTGCCTGATTGTCGCAGGCGGCATTCGTGTGGGCCATATATATATGTAAATATTTAATGTATGGACGGGTACGTGCATTGACTGCCACCAGGATTTCTGGTTAGCACTTCGGAGTGGGGTTTCCTTTGATTGCCACTACTCACGGAGGCCCATCATGGACTCAATCAGCCACAGTTGCCATCCATTTACTCCTATATTTTTGCAGGCTTTCCCGTCATCGAAATGGGGTTTGTTGCCTTTCAGCATATTGCAAGTTAGACATTTGTTGTTTGATTGCAAATGAAGAATTTTTTTCTGGAGTGGAGTGGTTGCCTCCACCTGAATTGCTTGATTTTCTTTTTATTAAAATGAGGAAAGCATATTTCAAGTAATCTTATTTGAGCTAGGAAGTTTCATATGAAGCTTTAGTATATTATGATTGATTTATTAATATTTTTGGTACTTATACTCATAGGCAAATTGGTGTTGGCTATTTATTTATTGTATATACTACATTATTGTACAAATAATTTATTTAATGTTTAGGCACTGCTAAAATGTACCTAATTTTTCATTTTCACCTGTATATTTTGGTATCCTTAAATGGATAGATGCAAAATAAAGCTTGGTTCTCCATATTTTTGTTTTTAATTTTTTTGCTAAATAAGAAACATAAATTGTTGTCTTGTGATGCTTCTGCCCACATTTTTTCTGTTTCCATACTTTGTGTTTCTTTTGTTGTTGTGGTTAGCTTAGTGCTTCCGGAATAAGCTTGACCAAAGCATGAATAACTAACATTGTAGTCCATGAAGAACACAAGACAAACCCAATATATGAACAGGACCTTGATGCATTCATTCTCCCTTTTCTCTTTTGAGCCATTTATAAAGTTTCCGCTTTAACTATCGTCCTTTGTCTTGCAGTTTACCCATTTGTTAAGAGTGCTCGTGGTGTATTCATTCCAAATTTTACGCTTTTTATGGGACTTCTTTAAGTTTTCTTACTTCCCGCGCTTAATTATAGATTTAAACTTTGCTTAACTCGATTTTGAAATTTAATTTTCACAAAACCACTTCACCCATCTAAAGCCAATTAGTTGATTTAAAATATTTGGCAAGAAGTCCAGATCTGCCATGAAAACTTTTAAAACCATTTTTATATTACGATTCTGTTGACATCTGACGTTTGTTTTTCACTTTAGCTTTCTGCCAGGCGGAAGTTTTTAATTCAATTTGGGGAGAACGTGTTTTGTCTGCACATCTGTTAAATACAAATGTCCCTAAGCTCTTGGGGGGAAAAGCAGTGGAAAATCTCTGGGGAAAAGCTAGCTAGCTGACAAATGCCAATTGCAGCAAGTTTTGCATTTCGGCACAAAAACAAGCGAATAAACACGTTTACATGCATATAAATTCTCATCTCCGACTAAGTAGTTTCGGGCTTTTGCATTTCCCTCGTCGGAAAATCTCCCCGTTCCCAACTCAAAAATTATTTGATATTCTTTCCGGAGCTGAAAACTTGCGGGGAATCTTTTACGACTGTCGACATAATCATTGCGGCTGCCACAATAAATCCAAATTTTATGCAACCACCGAGTTCAGCGACAAAAGTTTTTCATCTTAGCAGCAAATACGGGAACGGAAAACAACGCAATAAAAAATAAACAAAACAGAGAACAGGGAAATGCAAAAGTGAAGTCCCTAGTGGCTGGCTTTAAAATCTCGGCTTCCGAATAAAAGATTTTATCAATCGATTGACATTGACGAAAACGATTCAGCAGAGGTGACATTGCTCAGTTGCCGGGATATATAAAAAGCTGGCAAGAGCTCAACTGCAGCTTAGCCAAGAACATTTTATGTTTATTTGCTAGATAATGGATTTTCTTTTTGTTTCAGGGGTTTTTGTTTTGAATTGGTTGTCTAGCTAGTCTACCTTTTTTTGTCGATTAAATCTGTGATAATTTATTGAAAGCAACTGCTTAAAGAACAGAGTGTAAGTGGGAGATATATAAACTTACCATTTCTCCCCAAAAAGTTTTATAAAATTATGAGTTGGTACTAAAATATATAAAAATATACAAAATATATAGCTTATGTTATTAAAACAAGATTAACTATTCTCTGTTCTGGAAGATAAATAATTGATTTTTATTGAGGTCACCTTCTTTCCTATTTATTAGATTACATATATAAAATATGCTTCAATAAATTTGGCTGGTTTTCTTGCTTCTTTTGAAACCCAAATTTAATAAAACAAAAATTTAAGTTTCCAATTTAAGAGAAAACGTATCAAATGAAACACTTTCTGTGTCCCTGCAAAATAAATGTTTTGCCAATATGGAAATCTTTTAAGTTGAGACCGCAAAACATTTACCAGAGCAATCGTTCGACAAGATACTTTGGGGACTCAACATACAAAATGCTCATGTTTTTAAAGTTTTCCCGTGTTGTCTTTAAGTTGTGGCCAAGGAAAATATGTTAACTGACTGTAAATGCTGGTCTATCGAGACTGACTTGGCCGGAGGACAAGCTCGAGTTGCTTTTACGAGGAGCTGCGTGCTGCAGTGCATTTCATGCTCAACTTGCTACATTTTTCCAGGGGGAAACTTCGCTCCAATCTCGGCCAGCAATTTAATATACTGAGAGCGGGGCAAATGCCAATGGCGGGAATTCCACATTGTGGGTATTTTCATTATTGATTCGGAAAAAACCCCAGGATCTAATGAGGTTGGTATTTGGTATTTGCTGGCTTATTTGCATTCTTAGCTGTGGATACACGAGGCGAACTAACATCATAACTTTTTAGCCAGCTCAGAGTCGTAAAGTGATTTTATGAAAGCGTGCAAAACAAAAGCCGGAATGAAACGAGGACAGGAACGAAAACATTTTACTTACTTGAAATGAGGCCGTAAACGCCGAGATGATTTCGTATGTATTCTCCCAGGGATGTCCGGGTGCAGGACGAAACGGCGTTACGATGTACTGGAGGCCGAGCAGTGGAACCAACAGCAGTGTGGCCCTAACAGGATGAGAGGGTGAATTATAATGCCTTGTTTTGCTTGGGTTGTGTATTAACATGCAAGTCAACGCGGCGTATGCGTAATTTAAAATGTAAAATGAACCAAACTTCCAAGTGCAGAGCGCATAAACAATAAAAGAGCTGTCGGATGTAAGGGAGGTTTCTAAAAAGGAATACGCAACGATAAATACGGGGAAAACAAAATATAATTACGCATTCGCCCCGTGGGCCAGTTGAAAGTTATTCGTTTCGCTTTTAAACGCTTCAGTCTCCACAGTTTTTTTTTGTTTTGTTTCGGCAATGTGAGTTATTTCGTAAAGGAGAAGGAAGCAACTTACCGAAATGCCTGCAAAACAGTTCGCGATGGACCACAACTGCCCTGAATACTGGCCGGAGCATTCAGCTTCAAAAGGACAACGCGCACGATATTGCACAGGAACAGCAGATTGAGGAACATGGAGATACACACGGGCACCACCAGAATGTTATCGTAGTCGGTTGGGCTCATCCAGCAGCTGCAAGGAGGAGGAATACGAGATGAATCAGAAGGTGAATTGCTGATCGATTTGATTTGCATTTGCCAAAGCATCGGATAGACCAAATATCTTTCCTACACAGAGACAAAAGGGAAACAATTTTAAAATTGCCGAAGGAGTCTTCATTTAATCGAAAAATAGATTAGTATAAAATTTATTAGAACAAGTAAAGTTATATGAATTTTACTACAATACAAAGATAATTATTCAGGGTTAAGTAATTAAATTTGCAGATTTAATTGGATAACTAAATTTCAGAAATCCTACCAAATTATAAGACCTAAATTTTACTAAGTTATAAACAGAGATTTTATAATTAAATTTGTTTTTATACCAACATAAAAATATTTACATAAATTTAAATATTTAATACAGGTATCTCATATATCTTGACTTTGTTTTATTTTGAAAAGTGTTATTTTATTATCAAGAAACCTCCCCCAAATGAGCCAGAAATACCTATTTAGCTAATGAAAACGTGTGATAATTTGCTCTCTCTGTGCATAATACTGCCATTAATTATTCACTTACTGCAAATGGTCCTCGGGAGTGCCGCCCAGACCGCGGGCCATGCTATAGACGAATATGACGATGGCCGGCGAGCCCCAGCCAAAGGCAATCAGCCATTTGACCAGCCGTTTCTCGGAAATGAATGCGGCCACCAGGACGGTGTGCAGGTAGAATCCTTCGCAGAGCATCCACGAGTAGTTCGATAGGAGGAAATAGTGCAGGTTTATGTGCAGAGCCACGCAGCGCATCTGGGGATTCACACGGATATATGGGGATTTTGGGAAATCGGAAACCGAAGTTGATTCATCATTACGCATACGCCAGGTGCGCCCACTTACCGGACTGTGATGCAGGAGCTCCGTATTCGGCATGACCAGCAGGTACCAGACCAGCCACAGCGAATTGTTGGCCGCAAACGAGGCGAACAGATTCATGTGCAGCGTGATGCGGGCGCACTTCAGGGATCTGGGCAATCGAAAGACAAATATGCGAATAGAATTACTTTGGGCGAGAAATTGTTGTAAGTTTTTGCTCTTTTTAGTTTTTTTTTTTTTGGCGAAATAGCAAGTTTGTCTGCCGATCAATTTGCATTTGGCCAGGGGCAAGTTGAGCAGATTGGATAGGACGATAACCAAATGTCCAAAGTTCATTTTCCATTTTCCTTTTCTATCTTGCACAATTGCATTGATTGCTGACATCTGGCCAAGCTGAATTTTAATTTGATTCCTCCCCAGCAATTCAATTCGAAGGCTCAGATTGTTTTCTTTCACATTATTTAAACAAGAGAGAACGCTATAGTCGGGTGCCCCGACTATCAGATACCCGTTACTCAGGTAAAGGGAGTGCGAGGGAGATGGAGATAGAAACTTTGATCACGCATAACTTTTTAACGAATGGTCCGATTTGAAAAATTTCTTCTACATTTCGATAGGTATTGATAAACACAATAGAACTGCATTTTTACTTTTCCGAAATATTTAAATTTTTAAAATCGTATATAAGCGATTGTGGGCGTTAAAGGGGGCGTGGCACCTTTTTGAAACAAACTTGCGCTGCGTAGGAACTCCTAGAATCTGCATGCAAAATGCCAATCTTCTAGCTTTTATAGTTTCCGAGATCTCAGCGTTCATACGGACAGACAGACAGACAGACAGACAGACAGACGGACAGACGGACAGACGGACAGACGGACAGACGGACATGGCTATATCGACTCGGCTAGTGACCCTGATCAAGAATATATATACTTTATAGGGTCGGAAACGCTTCCTTCTAGCTGTTACATACTTTTGCACGAATACAATATACCCTTTTACTCTACGAGTAACGGGTATAATTAGGTTCATTCTATGAGGAAAATACAAATAATTTAATCCATTTAACTTTAATTTAAAAATGCTTTTCAAAATAAATTAATTTAATTTCATGGCGACAAAAGCAATTTGGTTATTTTCTTTGCATAGAATTTCATTATTAAAATACTTTAAAGTTGCTCAATAATTTAAAAAGAAAGTTAAGATTGTAAAAAAATAAGATATCAACTTTCTCAAAGAAAACTCATTTATTGCGTTCAGTTCAGTGAACATTAAATAAAAAAGTTAAATTTAGTAAAATGTAAAATTCTTGGTAACAAAAAAGTACTTTTTTTAAATAAACTTGTAGCTTTAAACGGAACTTACTTAACTTTTTCTTTTAACCTTTTTAAATTTGTGTGTAATAGTATTTAATTGTATTTATCTTAAAATTAAAATAAATAAATTTAATTCGTCCAGACACCCACAGTAATTTCTCCATTCAACCAATTAAATTTTATTTAAATTGAAATTCCCTGGTATTTTCATTACAGTTGTTTGAAGTGAGTCGGTTTGTGGGGTGGGCTATCCAATCCCGAGTTGGTCACGCTTCTTTGTCATTAAACTTTTAATTATCCACTTTTTTAGGGCAGACCAAATTCCCACACGTCGCTGGCCTCGTTTTATTTGCCTTTGGCACACAATTTAAAACACTTCTGTCAGTCAGGACGACCGTCCTGTCCATGGAATTCGTATCTATCTGTATCCGTATCTGAATCTGCTTTATCCTTAGCCCCACATCTCTATCACATTGGGCGATAAACAAACTGAGAGCACTAATTGGTCTGCAGGCACTGGGAAATTAATCGATATCCTGCTTGAAGACCCTATTAAGAGGAGGGGGGTGCGACAAAGTATTTTCCCATTTCCGGCGTCAATTGTGCCGCATTAAGTGAGTGCAATGAGCATTTGGGCCAGCACCCAGGTTGGCAGTTGATTAAGCCATTGTCGCATTGTCACATTGTTTGCCGTCAATAAATTTCACTTTTGGCGCCAGTCGACATAATATTAGTCGTAGTATAACAACCCGCTAGCCTCATTACCCACGAGTGGATTTTCATGCACCCAACAAAGAAGCTGTCAACTTGCGGCCAAGATGAAGGAGTGGATGGGGGATGCCTCAACCCAATACTTACTTGAAATAACCCAATATGGCCAACGACAACAGTATGGCCAGCAGGGAGATGCCGTAACCAACCTCGTAGATCAGATTCACATTGTGCTTCCACTAGCGATATAAATACATAGATATATTCCTCTTAATTAATCGCACTCGGGTAAAGGATCAGCTTACCTCGAGGTCGTCCAGATTTACGCAGGTTGTGTAGTTGGACCATGTTTTATTAGTCAACGGATGCTTAAACCATTCGCCATCGAGGCCACACTCCTTATGGGCATATCCTGTTTATATATAATAATTTAAATATTATTAGCTTTCAATAAATACAAATACAAACAATTGCAGTTGTGTTTAACAAAAAGTAAAAACCTCTGCTGCTTACTTTACTTATTACTCTTTTTTCAATAAATTTTAAAATAACATTTCCTTGAACTAAACTTTTTTCCCAAGTCATCTGCTTGTCATCCGTGTAAAACACAAATATTTACGCTTACTAAATGTGTGCGATTTTCTTACTGACAGTTGGATAAATATTTCAATGGATAATATAACCAATGGCAGTTTTGTTTAACAAAAAGTAATAACCTCTGGTGGTTACTATACTTATTAAAACAAATATTAAAATAATATTTCCTTGAACTAAAATTTTTCCCCAAGCAGTTATTTTATTAAGGCAAATATTTATTAAAATCTGCTTGTCATCCGTGTAAAACACAAATATTTACGCTAACTAAATGTGTGTGATTTTCTGATTGACTGTTGGATAAATATTTCAGCTCATATTTACATTTTGCGGTGGACCAGAGGATTAAATTGTATTAACCATTATTTATTGCATCTGCCACCGAACTAACCGCAAACAAGATGTGGTTGGCATTTGAAATGAAATCATATCAATTCGTTTTGTGAATTAAAACATTCATAACCATTCCCTTATTGTTGAGGTCATGTATTTATTCAAGTCGAAGTTCGTGACAAAACTTTTCCGTTGCTTCGAGTGCTGTTCGATTGCAAATTATCAAGTTTTCGGTGCAATTTGCCAAGTGGCACTTGTCGGAAAAGTGCACAGAATTTTTCGGTGAGGAATTTTTGTGGGTGAAGGTGAGTTTTATCAGTTCCTTCTATTTTCCGGCTTTTTTCGACCGATGATCTTTTGCTCGAAGCCATTTATCGCCGTTTGGCACGCAGACGGGTAAAATCACGTATACGCGCTGTGTGGCAGATAAGTAGCCGGTGGGGAAAGGGGTGGGGGAGTTGGCGGGCGTAGCTCACCACATCGACATCCGGCGACCGGAAGTGCCATAAAAGTTAATGGCGGCGCAGTGCCAAAGCACATAATCTTGTACAAGCTGGCGGCGACCCCGAAAGGAAAGAAAAAAAAACGGAAAAAGAAAAGGGGAGGCGCCAATCCAACCACAAGCTAAATGTTGTGAAAGTAGCACTTTCTTGGCCATCGCCTTGTTTTTCTGCTCTCGCTCGCTGCCATAACAAAAAAAGTCATTCAACTTTGGCTATTTTCGTTGTCCTGGTCATGGCCAAAACGAGGTTAGGGTTTAAGTTGGCTTGCTCCATATTGCTAAGCGCCACCCATTAATGCAAATTGATATGCAGCACATGATTTATTCCATAAACTGCTTCAAATATTTATACATATTTATGCTGATTTTCCCAGAGCGTGCCTGTGTTTTTTAATATTTGATTTTATGCTCGAAATAATGAACATTTGCCAAGCATAAGTAATTAGTTTTCGTTGTGTGTGTATAGTTATTCGACTGATTAATTCAAATAGCACTCATCTGCTAATTACGAATTAAATGCAATATTGTGGTGCAAAAATATGAATTATTAATCCAGTCACCTTTGACTGATATCCCACATCAGCATTAATGATTCAACAATGAGTTTGAAAAACTATAGAAAAAGGTTTTCATCTCTAATTAGATTATTGTGGCCGTCATCAACACCTTGACAAGAAAGCTGATTAATGGTTTTAAAAGGGTTTTTCATTTATATTTAGTTTGAAAAAGATAGTTAGCTATTCATAAAAATTCTTTTCATTTATTTATCCTGGTTTTTGTGCTTTTCGTGGCTTTAAATATACATTTCCCACTGCTACTGCTACCTGAATTTAATTTTACCCAGCAGCCAGAATCCATTTCGTCCTGTTGTCTACGTTACATTTGATTTTCAGCGAGATCCCGGCAAATTGTGGCAAATCAGGCGAAAACATTTTAGCATTTTGTCGAGCTCTTTTGGATAATTTAGTGGCCCAAGGAGTTTCGAGGAGCCTCCTCCCTCAGCCCGTGTGGTTTTTGTGAATATTTTATGTAGTCATACGACACGAAATCAAAGCATAAACATAACATGTTTCCAATTGATTTGGCCTGGCTTCGAGCGTATTTTCTGTCTTATTTATGTGTATATAACGATGGGGCTTGGGATGTGGCCAATTAGAGGGTAAGTAGTCTACCCATTTACCCAACCGCAGTGCCTCGTGCAAACACATTTCCCTCTGGATAAGTACATATAAACATATATATATATATATGTACATATTTTTTCGTGTCATATGCAGATCCCCAGCTGACCCCAAAACGGATGTAGCTTTGTGGAATTTAATAAACAGTTCAGCTCCTGCCGGCCGTACTTACTTGCTGGATCGAATCCCGTGATGAAGTCCGGGCAGAGTTCGTAGGCGGAGGAGCCCGGGGCCGTATCCGGCCAACAAAGCCAGCCATCAAAGGTGCCGGAGCAGCGGGGTCCTGTGTCTGTTTGTCGGGGGAGGGAGAGGGGGAGGGGGAAAAGGGCGGCAATTTAAAGTTACTCGTGCATAATGGACACCCAAATTGCAGTTGGCCAGAGCCGTTTCCACGGAGAGAAAATGACATTATTATATATCAACTAGATTGCAATCTTAAATTTTTGTATTTTCATTTATTAGTTTTAAAATTCACAAATTGTATATTACTTTTACTATCAAACTCAATTTTAACTTATTTTTTATGTTACTTGTGCAACATTTTTAGAATTCTGATTCTAAATGTTCTCATCGAATATAGTTAAAAATCTTTTATAATTTTCTTGTTTGGATATTAAGGCGATTTTAAACTTGAATGTATAAATGGGCTATATCATAAATATCAATTGCAATTTAATGTTTATGTCAGTGTCCATACTGACACAAAAGTAAAACGAACGTTTTTTAAAAATGTTTATGACATTAACGTGATATATAAATTGACTTAAGCTTTTATATGTAACAATTTTACTCCAAATAAATTTAAACAATTTTTTATGAGTACTTTCTGAATACGGAGTTAAAACTGCAGTTGTAATATCAGTTTCTCAAACAAAATACATTTATTTTTAGAAGTAAAAACAAATGGTTTATATTGAAGTACCTCTTTAATATTTATGTAAAAATTCACAATCAATAAGATATTTAAAATCACAGTTGGCTGATATTTTCTCTCAGTGCAGAACTCACCCGCCAGTTGGCCGCTGCCATTTAGCCGCGTTTCGCAGGCGGTCCTTAGTGCATCGAAGTCCGGACCGCTCTCCGCCGCACTTTCGGCGATGGAGGCGGCATTGCTGCCACTTCCACTGAAAGATACGTTGGCGTTGTTGTTGCTGTTGCCAATCTGCTCGCTCATGGCTGCCTGCAACTGCTGCACTGCGTTCGCTGAAATGTGGCAAATAAGTTTCGTTAGTCAATCAAATTGGTTTTGGGCGAGCTCATAAATGTATGGCGAATGTGTGCCGCCTCCCCATAAGTATTTTCCGTTTTTCGGTCCAGTTGCAGGAAAACTTAATTGGTTTTCCAACAGATTGCTGCTGTTAAAGTTCCAGGACTACATACTGTGGCAGCGATTTCAACTACATTATTTATGGTTGCACTCATTGACTTTTTACAAACAGCTTAGGACTTGCGTGACTAACTTAATTGAACTTCAACAATTGCATCAACAATTAAATAAACGTATTTATTGCAGATGTGGTTCAATTAATAAAAAGAATGGAATAAAATGTTATCAATCAGTTGCATTAGTTAATTAAGTACTTTAAATTATAGCATTATACAAAATATTTATTTAGAGTAGGAGGAATTAATAATGGCCTGTTCAAATTTCAATTTTATTTAAAAATTTCAAGACGCCAATTTAAAGTTCCTAAATTTGTAGCGGTATTGTGTTTATAAAGGAAAGTATGTATTTGCAATTTCTTTAATTCGTAAGCAAAAAGTTTTAACGAGGCTATAGCCACTAAAACTAATTTAATTGAATTGGATCAAAATAGAGATGCAGTTTATATACTTTATACGCTGTAGACCAGTGATTTCAAATAATTTTTATCAGTTTCCTTTTGGCGATGCCAGTGCAAATAATAAATATATTGAGTTTTACTTGAATTGAATAGTTGCTTTATTATTGCATTTCGTTTTTATTAATACTTCCTTTTGATCAATAAAGTTTTATATTATGCATTCTCTGTATATTTGCATATTTCTTTAAACCAAATAAATATTTACAAGTTTCTCTGTGCATATTTCTGTCAACTGCAATGAAATTCACCTGCATAAGCTGACAATGTTTTTGTGGACAGCAAAAAGCAATAAGGTGTGTGCAAATATTCACTTGCCCGGCACAGACAAATATTTGTGCCGAGATGTTGCTGTTGCACATGTTGTCCTGTCCATGGTAGCAATGTCCAGTTGGCAATCGAAGATTTTCGATTTTGGAATACCAAACGACAAATTGCTGGCATGTGGCAAACAGAACAGCACAGGTGATTTTCCCCTTTTCCCTCTTTTCAGTTTGTAATCTTATCGTTTAGGCAAATTGCTGCCTGCACTTAAATGACAAAAGTGACAAGAGCAAAAACCACAAAGGCAGCCAGGAACGCAGAAAATGCTGCTCCGAAACGAACATCATAAAATCTAGGATTGCAAATTGGTTGTGCAGAAAATGAAATGAGGGGATTCCCCGAGGGTTGGGTAATGGGAATCTGAATGCATTTTGTGTGCACAACACTTGGTGAGCAAACTGCGTTTTATGACAACTCTCTGCCATGTTAAATCGCTTTTTGCTGCTCTGCGTCTCCTGTTGTAATAATAATACAAGTTTTATATTTATTACGCAAATTACATGAAATCGGGTAACATCACTCAGGGCAGCTCTTACAACTTTCGCTGGTGTTGCCCTCGATTTTGTTAAGCTCATCTCAAAGCAATTGGGTTTAATGCTTAAGCTGAGCAGACAAATTTGGTTATTAACTGGCCGTAGCCATAAAAGTCATTTGAAGAGCGAGGGCTCGGTCTCGGGGCCACTTAAATTTTACGACTTCTCGGTACGAACTTGCCCATAAATCCTCGTCGCTGAACCTGAGCATCAGCCATTGAATAAATAAGCGATTCGGTATTCAAGTGGGTTGAATAATAGTTAGGTGATAGATAAATCGGATAAATCATGCAGAATGTGGTCATGCAGCCAAAACAGTTTATTCGAGTAGCTCGAGGGTACATTTTAAGTAAATAACGAGAAAAGCTTTTATATCAAATAGCTTATGCTTAAAGAGTTTTTGTTTTTCATGAACGGGCTCATATAAATTACTTTTACGAACTATCAAAAGTTAGTAAAATGTATGGCTTAAAGTTATTAGGACATTATTTTATAATAGTTGTTATTGTGGAAAAACTCAGAGAGAATTCACTATTGCTTCTATCTACTTTAGATGCATTTTTTTGCCTAAGTACTGTGTAGGGAAATCTTGCTTCTAAGTTTTTTTTGTTGCTATAATAGCTATTAGTTAAAAATTAGTAGGTTTAATTTTTATACCCGTTACTCGTAGAGTAAAAGGGTATATTGTATTCGTGCAAAAGTATGTAACAGCTAGAAGGAAGCGTTTCCGACCCTATAAAGTATATATATTCTTGATCAGGGTCACTAGCCGAGTCGATATAGCCATGTCCGTCTGTCCGTCTGTCCGTCTGTCTGTCCGTCTGTCTGTCCGTCTGTCTGTCCGTCCGTATGAACGCTGAGATCTCGGAAACTATAAAAGCTAGAAGATTGGCATTTTGCATGCAGATTCTAGGAGTTCTTACGCAGCGCAAGTTTGTTTCAAACTGGTGCCACGCCCCCTTTAACGCCCACAATCGCTTATATACAATTTTAAAAATTTAAATATTTCGGAAAAGTAAAAATGCATTTTTATTGTGTTTATCAATACCTATCGAAATGTAGAAGAAATTTTTCAAATCGGACCATTCATTAAAAAGTTATGCGTGATCAAAGTTTTTATCTCCATCTCCCTCGCACTCCTTTAAAAGTAACGGGTATCTGATAGTCGGGGCACCCGACTATAGCGTTCTCTCTTGTTTTTATTAAAACCTAATATTTTAATTATGATTTTTTAAACTAATAATTCTCTTTAACTTCTTATTTCTCAATAGAAAAGTAGCAAAAAGAAATCTTCTATTTAATAGTTGAAAATGTTTTGATTTGGACAGAATATTTGGAATTCAACTGTGATGAAAGGTGACTGTTTGTTAAGCATAACTCGAAGAAAACAAGCTGAATATAAAAATCGGAACATAAAGTTGGTGTATTTTGCCTAGCATACTTTCTAGCGTGTCTCTTGGCTGAAATGTTTCAGCTCGACTTGCTTTTAATGTCCCAGGATGTGGGGGGTGGGGGGCAGGGACCTTGACGCCCCATAGCCACCCCCTGCCACCCCGACACACCCCCCTCGATCAGCTAATAAAAATATTTTTACGACAACGCGCGAAACTCACGCAAAACGTTGGCAATAACAGAAATTAGCAATAAAAGCGTGTGGAAAAGTGCCATAGGCGAAAAGTAGCCGGGAAAAAGTTGGTCTATAGGGAGGGGAATGAGGGGGAGGGGAGGGTGAGGGGGTGGAAGGGCCAAGGAGGCAGCTGCGGTGCGTTAAACAAGCTTGACTTGACTTGACTTTGACTTCGGCAGCCCTGCGCTAATGCCTGATGTCAGGGATCCGTAAATTGCATTTGGTAAAAGCGAACGAAAGCGGGGAAACTTCAATAAAAACGGCGGGGGAAATGGGAAATGGCGCAGGGGGGGGGGAGTGGTGGAAAGCATAAAACTGGCAAATGTATTTCACTTTCTGTATGTGCGTTACATGTGTAGGGCATCTATTTTAGCACTCTGCATTGAAGTGTCGACCCTGGCCACGCCCCCTGCGCCGCCCCTTTTGAAAAACAGAAAAAAACTGACATAGTGAAAAACTTTGTTCGCGAAATGTTGGCAAAACTGTTGTGTATTAAAAAACGTAGCCATGCGAAATTGTGCCGTCTGCATCTGTCAAAATGTTTTCAATGGCTGGTTTGGTTTCGGTTTTCCCGTGTGTGTGTGTATACGGTCCCCCTGACGTATGAGTAATGAAAATGTTTGTTCGCCGATTTCCAATTCGCTGGCTGTCAGTTGTGAATCGAGTCGTGCTCAGTGGTACGTAACCCAACTATCCCACGGATTGTTTATCTTCATTCCGCGCTTCAGCCAAAAACATCTTTTAGTTTTCGCTGGTGAAATTTATTAGGCGCATAAATCATAACGCATTGTCTGCACCAGCTTTATATCGCCCACATGTTAAGATCATTGCATGATTTATGATAGATTTTCCCTTAGATTTTGTTCGCTTTTTAAGCAAACAACAGCATCAATTATTAAATGTGCTGGTGGGTGGCAATTAATACATCCCTGAATTGTTGCAAAGAACACCATTGAATGTGGTATAAATCAAATGTGTTATATGCTTTAAGAGATTGTGTTAAAAGCCAGCCATTTCGACAGAATTTTGTATTCCATTAGGTATTTTCTGTGGGGGAGGATTTGTTGAACGGGCTTTTAAATTGTTTAATAGCATTTCGCCTAAAACAACATTTCTGCTGTTGCGACAAGAGTGGCTGAAACGATTTAGCCTTGGCCCGCACAGTGGCATTCCATTTGGATTTCCCCAGATTGGTATTGATGCACCGAATCGTTTTCCATTTTCCACCACTTTTGTTGCAAACGGAATGACACAGCATAAAGGCAATTTATAAGCTTCCAATTTCGCCTGCTCCTGTGGATTTCAGCCGGGGATTATAGGTAAAATCTGTTTTTATTGAAGAGAAATTTTATTTGTTCTTTACCGTCACCAATTGAGCCTGAAAAATGACTTAAAGCTTAAATTAAAAAGCAATATGTTATTTAATGACCGAATATGAACCCATTATATTTATTGGTTCACTCAAAATGTAAACTTAATTTACTGCAAACAACTATTTAATTTATTTGGCTTTTGCATTCATTTGCGATGCATTTTTAAGTGATTTTTTAAAGCTGGTTTTTAAATTTATAAGAAAAATCTGTAAAATGAATAGTTTACTGCCCTTGTGTTGACTTTGTAAGCTGGGGATACTTTCATTTTGAGCCCTCGTATTAATATGCTTTCTTTTATATATTTCACATTTTATTGCCCTTAAAAAACATTCTCCGATTTATTTCCCCTATTATCACCCAATAATGTTAGACATTCGTCTCAACCGAGAATGGAATTTACTCAAAAAGGAATTGAAATCGTCTTGTCCACCAACTGACAGACACATTCCGCTTAAGTTGCCTATTCAAATCGCATTTTGTCATCTTGTAAGCTCCACCAGAAGTA